CGAACTTTCTCTGGCAGCACAGCCAAGGCTACGAAAGCCAAGCACGCCCTTCTTTACTACTGCTTCTGCATGTACTCCACGAATGCTAACATTTGTACACTGCGTAGCTAAATAGAAAATCTAAAAAGAAAATATATAAACATTATGTTAAATATTGTTCGCAATAATATCAGGAAGCATCACCTGTGCAGGTTTTTCGTTATTTGCTGTTTCTAGGTTTCTGGTGCCATTGCACCTTTTCCATGCCCCGGTAAACAACGATGGCGTCGCTCAGTTGCAGCAAGTTCACATCGAATCTTGTGAGCGAGAGAGAGTGCGTGTTCATTACGTGATTTGTATTCATCGAGCAGGGAGAAAGAAGACAGTGCCGCGTCATGAAATATTTTGTTTCCTGCACATGCAATCACTGAGAGCTTGTGTGTGAGTGGTATCATCAGCGAAAGTGGGACTTTAATCACTATAGCTGCCGTGAAAGTGAAATGGCGACCGGCCAGTCTTCAGCAACACCGGCTGCTTGGAAGAAAAATTGTGATTGGAAACTGTATATAAAACCAATAACCCTGTTCCTAAATTGCATTGCATATGTGGTCAGTGTTTTGGCTGCCTAATATTGTTTATCTGTGGGGTCTACCATCCCAAAACCACCATATGAATATGAGAGACGCCGTAGTGGAGGACTCCAGAAATTTAGACCACCTGGGATTTTCTTAATGCGCACCCAAATATGAGTACACGGGCCTACAACATTTCCGCCTCAGTCGAAAATGCAGCCGCCACAACTGGGATTTGATCCCGTGACCTGCGGGTCAGCAGCCAAGTACCGTAGCCACTAAACCACTGTGGAGGGGCTGCCTAATATTGTTGATACGATAACGCTGATGACCGCGTATTGTAACTATATACCGTAACATCGCTCCCGTTGACGTCTACAGAGGGAGTCGTTCCTCGCGCATTACCTAGGTAACAGATGCGTTCAAGTATATTACCCTGTTGATGGTACAAAAACAGCGTTCTTGGCCTAGTAAAGATTGCGTTTCACCCACTTGGATTTACTAATGTCCAATGCCAGCTCATGGCTGATTGGTGTTAAGATTACTGCTTCCCATCGTGGCCTTCGCGTCTCCTAAAAAAAGAATGTGAGCGTCTCCAGAAAGTTCTTGCATTTCTAAAAGAAGAAAAACAATTACACTGACCAGGTATGCACTGAAATTAAGGAAATGGTTTTTTGGCTTTGAGTGGTTCCGATCTCCCAGTACCTGCTCTGCCGTACCTTTTTTTTCTGAAAAAAATTTCAACGCTTCAAAGAAGGCTGATGTTTTTTTCCTTAAAAATATGAACATTTCATTTATTTCCTCCCAAACTCCCAAATTAATGTAAGATTTATTGCATGGTGGTCTCGTAAAAAAGTACGTTGGATACGCTTGCGAAACCGAAATAACACGAAAACGAACTACTTGGCGTAGTTACACATGTGCAGAAGCTCCACCCACGTAGCTTTGGCTGTGCTGCCACAGAAAGTTGTCGCCAAGTATAGACCAATTGCAGGATTTGCAGAAAGGAAAATAAGCTCTAGAAACTTGCCGCATTGTCAAAAAAGAAAAGCGATCATTTGCCTTCAGCACTTTCTAAAGCGCACAAAACAATGGCTACGGCTACTTTCAGTAGACGAGTGAATGAAGCAGACCTGCAAGTGAACCTTTATCATGGCCCCTGGCACACACGTGAGTCAGCATGTGCCAAGGCAAATTGCGCATGTGTCCCATGATCGAGTATGTCTGCATGATAAAAAGACATGATTATTCACTTTGCACCAACGTCACTAAAACTGCATTGCTAGTGCACGACGCTGACGGGAGGTGAAGCGGTGTGGTCATGTTAAGGGACAGACAATCAATTTTTATGATGCCTAATTCTTTTAGTGCGATGGAAAGCTCACTGGACAGTGTTTAATCACAGAATGATAAGGTGAAATATACTGTGACACATTTGTAATCACAATTTTTTTTATCTGCAGTGAATATACATAAAGTCTTACGTGCACGTGACAACACATACTACAAACAGTGAGCGCAACAGCTGTTTGTGTTCAATCGCAGTGGTTTACTGCACATGCATGCAATCCTACACCCGCACCGCTGCTCAACATGGTCAACCAGCTGCTGTGAAGGCAGCGCTGATTCTCACCATGCAACTCCCTTTACTTTGTAAGCAGCACAGAGTATAGCGGTAATGGATAATAACATACCTACTTTAATGTTAAGGACTAATTATGGTGCACATGGCAGCAATTTACTACATAAATAAGTACACCACAGTGATAGACTCTATAGTTTGGCTTCAAGGCTCCTCCACTAGCCTGCATGACATACTGAGCTTTTATTACATTTGAAGCAGATTTCAAAATATTAATCCTACTCACAAGGCAAGAAGGATGCTGAAATCTGTCACAGCGTTTCACGGTCTTATTCATGTTCACTAGGACCTAATCACATTCTAGCCCATTTTCAGTCCCTTTAATGTTATCAGTACACTACATGCAGGATATTTTATTATTCATAAACACAGTCCAATAAAGCTGCGGCGGTGTACTTTAGGGGCGAAGCTCCTTATAGTCTAACCTTGTCTCTAGTCACGCGTAACCAAGAGAAGAGGCGAGAAAGAAAAGAAGGCAAAAGGAATGGGTGACCATTTCTGGTCCATTTCCTAGATGGTGTTACTCTGCCGCTACTCTCCGATTGGCTGCTGCGCGTGCTTTGCCTGAGAGCACGAACGAGGGCCTCTCTCATACCCCTGTCACATGTGGCAACTTAAGGGCACTTTGAGCGAGTACACTTCACCACGAGCGTCGTTTGCACGCTGTCACACGAGAAAGTTAAGAGTCACTCGCTGTGAAGTACACATGCCGGCAAGTGTGTTCGCCAAGCTCACTTCACTGCGACAAAGTGAGTAGCCTCAGTACCAGTGGCTTGTACAGAAATACGTTGTTGCCTAAAGTGGCACTCATACAATATTTAAACAATTGTTTTCGTTATGAGTAATACTGCTATGTATTAAAACAAGTCATAAAATACAACAAAAAGCCTCGCTGCTCTCACCGTCGGGCAGTTTGCGGCCACGTCTGCTAGGGGGATGCGGCAGCAGATGCTGTGCAATGGCTGCATCCGTTGCGTGGTTTACTTCCAGGCACACTTGCACATGTGTAGGTGAGTTGTTCTCATGTCATTTAAGATGGCGTGTGCCACAGTTGCTACTTCCCCGAAGACAATGTGGTCTGACGATGAGACACAGGTGCAAAAATAAAAAATATGTGTTGAACTACAAATCTGTCAATTGCCACTGCCATCATTTCCAATGTACACTTCACTTTCTCGTGTAGCAGCGACCCGGCAAAATGAATTTTCATGAGCGTCAATACACTCGCTCAAATCGCATTAAGTTGCCACGAGGGACAGGGGTGTAGGTCACCTGGATAGTCACCACACGTGGCAGATCGTTGGTGAGGCATGGACGGAACAAAGTGGTGGGCGCATTGAAGACGCTTGCGTTCGCTTTTTTATCTCACGTCTCGTCGGTGTTACCCACTCACCATCTATATATATTCTCGAACGCGATCGGACGCATGGACGCATGCACGGACAGACGCTTCGCCCCACTCATTATTGTTCACTCCGTGGATATGCTACGATTTTTTTTTTTTCACCTTATATCAGCTAAGTCCCTACGATATAATGCTGCTTTAACCTTACCAAAGCCACCTTGTTAGAGCACCAGTACATACGGATTTCTTTTTTCCCTCCATGCCAGTACGTCAAGAACCTGTGTTCATGACGTCACGTACAAGTTACGTACTTACCTCGGGTTGGGGACGCTTACATTGTGAGGCATCATCCTGCTGAAGAGTGAGGAACCGGCTAGGTACAGCACAGGACATGAGCACTGGATGAGGTCGTATCATGAAAGTTGAATCCGGCGGCTTTGGGTTGTAGTAATAAGTCTCGAAATGGAGACCGCAAACACGACTGCCCTGTACTGGGGACCAGTCCTGGCGTCCGCAGGCGCGCACGAACGCGATCCACTGCTGCCTCCGAGGTTCGTCGCGGGGAAACGCATGCAGCGGTACGCCAGATTTCGTGGTCGAAGGGCAGAGGGGAACAACACAGTGAACTGCCGGCATTGTGGCCTGCCACTGCAGCCCAGGCAGCAAAATAAAATCAAGGAACCGGAAAGCAGTCTCGCCGAACACGAAACACTCAACACGTGGGGCACGGTCTCGCGAACAGCCACCGAAGAGTACGCTTCTAGTGCACAGCATAAAAGAATAACTATCCTCTGTGGTCTGGCGCAAGCGCGGCAAAAAGACACTCCCGCTACGGTCTGCACTCGCGCTAAATCCTGTAGCGCTTGGCTATTGGCTTGACTCGGCCAGCGCCTACTCACAGCCTACTCGGCTTAAGTGTGGTGACGTCACAGAATTCAGGGGTGATTGCAATGTCGTCAAGTGCGGCGTACAGCGCAAGAACGTGCATGCGAATAAATCATAAGAAACTCTATTGTGCCAACTACTAAACTTATATATGCTTTTCGACCATAAAGTTTTATTGTATGAAACTCTACGCTTCCAAACAGTATTAGCTGTTGAGATATGGTAGGAATGACATACGCATGTGTCTAGGAATTAATCCCGCAGTCTTTCTCAGCCACAAAATTCTGAGTTATTAGTATCCTTTTAAGCTCATCGCTTGCGGAATAAGAAAATAAGTAATGAACAAAACATAGCATCTATTACAGCCTGTACAGCCTTTCAGATGTGTGTCAGTTTATTAGGAAGAACAGTCACAAGAAATCAGACTTCAACACTACCACACTCTGTCTCTTAAAGCTTTGTTGTAAGAATTGTTTCAGACAAGCAAAGGCATTCACAAAAATGAAGTACTTCAACTATAAATATTTTGGGATTCTTGGTCTCACTCACTGCAAGAACGTTAAGCGGTATCGACAGCAAAATGGCAGCTTCCATGAACATCACTTAATATGTATCGCGCGTTTTGATCTAGACAGCATCCGCGTTTGAGTCAATTTCCGCCTCACGAGCGGGAGAATTTTTTCGTCTGTGGAACCTCGTGAATCATCCTGAACAATGCTTGACTCGATCATCGTTTGACCGCGCCGTTTGGCGACATTGCTCCAAAATCCGACACTCACGCTAACCATACAAGTTCACACGCTCCGCACCCATCAAACACGATGAGTGAAACTGACAAACGACCTCAGTTCGGCCAACGCTATCTGGACGATGACAGCCGAGTATTCGAACACAATGCCTGGTAAGTTCCGTTTCGCTTCTGTTTTTTTGCCCTCGCGTTTCATGTCGCGCACAAACGAAGTCTCCGCGTGGGATCTTCGTCTATCTTGTGATTACTGTTATGTAACACGACATACAGGTCCGCATCAATACGGCGCGCAGCTCTAATCAGTAGAAATAATTCGCGTTCGGTATCGCGACTAACGCAAAATGAAGGACGATTGAAAGCTTTTGTCATTGTTTGTGGCGAGAGGAAGCCTGCTTCTCTGCAATACATTGTGCGAAACACCTTAATAAAATTAGTGCAACTTGCATTAAATCGTGCAAGGCTGGGTCACAGCGTAGCTGGTGGGCACGTCCAAGCTTCTCTTGTTTACAATCTGTACATAATGCTTGAGCAGCGATTGCGTGCGTGCCGACGTGTGGTGATGATACTTTTCTATCTACGACACACGGCCAAGGAACGGTAAAGAAGGCAGGGAGGAGAAACCAGACCAGGAAAGCCGGTTTGATACCCTACACGGGGAACGGAAAGGGAGAGATTGAAACAGGTAGAGAAAAGAGTTCGGCTCGTGCCCGCTGTTGGAGGGCAAAATATGAACATATCCAACTTCACAAACCTCACCTGTCATCACTAATGTTTCGCTATCGCTGCTGTTATTGCAGAGTAGCCAAATTAGTGCACCACAATCTCGTTAATAGTAGGGAAGGAAATGAGAAGCAAAAGGTTTGTGCTTATCCTGTAGCCTGTCACTTCTTTACTAGTTATGGTCTCTACCCTGCAGGCTCAAACTGAGCCGTGCTATTGAAAAACAAGATTACAATATCACCTGCTCTGCCAACACATCTTCAGAAGCAAAATAATAATAATGAAGAAGTGTTGCACCAATGTTTTTAAAATGTAGGGGTGTGTTGGTTGACAAACTTGGGTGGCATCTTAGTGTATAGACAAAGATGAAGTGGACAATTTGCTATTCTTCATCGTAGAACTGCGATTAGTGTGCTAAACTCACCTTGAAGTCTTGCGTTAACTCGGTGACATTTCTTGACAGCACTGTAAAAGCTACAGAACCACAGCACATGCCTGTTACCGCATCAAAAAATAGTACTTAAGCATACTGATAATTTAGATTTTCCTTGCTGAAATCAATGCTTCTTTATTTATTATGAGACTCAAACAGCTCCAGGAAGGCGTAGGTAAAATGCTTGTTCAATTTGCAAAAATGCCTTCCTTTACTTTTTTTGAACAGCACCAAAAAAAGCACGCTTGTTTTTCAAAATAAACATGGCGTTCCTGAACTAGTAGGTCTGCATGCGACCGCAAACGTGCCCTTTAGTTCTTCGAGAAAATACATTCGTAGTAAGACTGAGATGTACACTGAACCATCGAAATTTCTTTCTTGTTGATATTTTTCGTGTTTTTCAAAATACGCTAACTAACGTGAGCGAGCAAAATCGAAATCAGACCCAAGCTGCCGTACCGATTGCGGAGCAATGCGAATGTGTGAAATTCTCGCCTCTGCTCCAATGTCAAGATATGTTGACGCTTAGGGTACATCAATCTAAACCATGCTTACACAGGGACGACATCTGCTGGACAGAAGAGCAGCTGAAAGCTGCCAAAGAAAAGGTGGACGAGAACTCAGTCATCAGAGTGGAACCAGCCGTTAGGGGTAAGAGTCATTGCTCATCTGCAAAAAGCTCTGAAACTGATACGCTTCGTGTTCCTCAACAGACCAATACGAAGCTGAAGCAGCACAATACTGGGACAAGTTCTACGGCATTCACAGCAACCGATTCTTCAAGGACAGGCACTGGCTGTTTGTGGAGTTTCCCGAGCTGCTGCCCGGAAACGCTTTTACCAGGGATGCACCGCAGGACGACAGCACGGAGGAATACCCAGGCAAGGACAGCTTCACTAAGGATTCTCGAGGTTTGTCAAAGCACATCTGCGTTTTTGAAAGTGCATCAACTAGCATATCACGGAAGCAGAGGCCACCAAACACACCACATTCATTTAGTACCCCAACCTCTTCATGCAAACCAGCACTAGAAAAGACGAAGCGTTAGCGTGTCTATGTGCAAAGACTATTAGGGCTTGTTAGTGGTTTAGGTGGATTCGACTTCTAGTGAATGAATAACGGTCCGAAAATACAATGACATGAAAAAGACGCACAAATGCGCTGGCACATCTAAAGACTATTAGCAATAACTGGTGCATTCAGACATGTTAACCTAAACAGGACTGGCGTGTAACAGTCTATTGAAATGAGAACCTTTAGGAGGTCTATAGCCAGCATGCATTAATGTTCTGTCACCTCTTGGACTTTTATTCTGGCATGGTGATGCACAGAAGTTTCACATTTCGTTAGACTATGGGCACACTATCTGTTGATTCAGCCAGTTCACGTGCACCGAAGCAACCAGTTTTGATTATGGTCTGATGGCAGTCATAAAGTCATTTTGTAGCATTCCGTGCTGCATCTACATGCGATAGCTCATAAGCTATTCAATTCTGTATGATTCCCAGTGCCTTAGTACAACGTTCAAGTACTCTTACGGACTCTGCCTCCTTGTACTTTCAGTGTTAAAAAATACGGATTTCTCAACGTATGGATGGTAAAAAAAAAGGGGGTGGGTGGGGGGGAAGTTGCTAGGTTTTGAGATAGAACCTCCCCATGCCAGACTAACGTCACAGTGATTTTTCAATCTATCATTAGCATAGTTATAATAAAAGTGCAACATACATAATGTAGTAAGAAGCACATACATTTTAGAGGATTTTTTTGTGTTGCTTCAGTACCTACGCCACACACACACATGCATTGTGTAACACAATATCTTGGCTAGTTTATTAGATTTTGTGTGCCTTATTTGGGCTATGTCTGCGTAAACTTTCACTGAATTGCCATACATTATGACAAGTTGATCAAGACGTTAATGAAACATTCATTTTTTTTTTTTTTTTCCAGATTGGCTGTGGTGTGGGAAATACAGTGTTCCCCATACTAGAAGTGAACAGGTCAGTCAGCATTTTTAACGAGTGGACTCCTGGAGTGTTGAGGCATTTTGGGGGAACTGCATTACCTTGTGCAAGTTCCTTCAGTACCTATGTCTTTGTCGGGGCAGCTTGAAGCAGTTACAAGGTAGCACATCACAAGAAATGTTAGCCATCCTCTCTGTGGTCTCTGAAACATTACTGCACTCAAACCTCATAACAACACTCGCATATTCAGCGAAAATAGGTTAGTTATAACTGGAAATTCATTGTAAAGTTTATTCATAACACTAATATCTATTGCAAGACTACTTTTCATTTACTTCATTACATTCAGGATCGTTATATCGAGGTTTGAGAGTATAAGCCTACTTTAAAGGAGCACTGACATCAAATTTCAAGATAGAGATGTGCCCATCATACGATCGCTTGGTATGCATAGGTCTTCTTGGCCAAATTTGAATGGCATCCGTCGCGTGGCAGTTATTTTGATTCAATGTCAAACAGCGTAGAAAAGCTAAGGAGAAAAAAACGGAAAATAGACTGCCCTGCGACATTGACACTAGTGCTACGTGTTCGGTGTGATACATTCCACAAATACCATCCTGAGTGACGATGTCCTAGTAGCGATGACGTGTACGATCCGAGTGTTCTTATCGTGGTGCCGACTGGTGCCGAAGCGCAGAAACGCACTCGCCCGTCACGTCTGATCTTCGCGCACCGGTTTGAATGATTTCGTGCAATCAGCAAGATAAAAACCACCTATAAAAGAACAGCAAAAGAAAAGAGCATGATTAAACCTGTGCTTGTTGGTCAGCAAGCCGGGGAATCGTTGCGAGTTGCAGTCGTCTAGTTCGAAGCACGGTTAAGCGCAATGAGGGTGTCTTTTCATATCAGGTATGTGTTACACATCAACACGACCACAAGCTATCAAAAGTGGAACAGCGTATAGTCAGATATCATCGCTAACAAGTAACACGCAGGTATCGTTGAATTTTAGTTCATCTGTAGACTTTGCGTCCATGTAAAAGTGGTAATACCATGTTAACCCCGAGAGGCTGTATAAGTGGGGCCTTCTGAAGGCGCAAAAAAGAAGCTGGCAAGCAAAAAACCTATTCTATTTCTCCGCTGATGCTCATTCGCGATAGCTATATTGCATTGACCCCTCTGCGTATACATGAATGCTTTGCACGCCAAAACACGCCAATATAGCTAACTGAGACACACGAGCGAACATGGCTGAAGCGTGCATCTTCGGGCACCTCTGCATTGCTGCTTGGAACAGCGTCCATTTCGGAATCACTGTTGTGCAAAAGGTCGATCGAAGCAAAAATAATTCGCGACGTCACGAATCATGGGGATTCCAAGCTCCAGACTATCGTATTGAACCTGAGTCGACACTTTGTACGGCGACGACCGCAATGCAGGTGACAAGGCATGACTGAATGTGTCTGCCTAGCAGACAAAATGCTATGCGGAGCAGCTGAGTCTGACGTCAATCTTTTCTGTGGAGAAGTGGTCCAGCTGTGGCGTGATCTGGAGGTTACCGCGAGGTAGCGCCACTGCTGGTGCTTCCAGCGCTAAATATGGTGGGATTGCCGGACCGTTTTGAATAGTGCTAGATACCAGTGATATAAATAAATAAAAATGATAGTTATTCATCCCTCAGTTGCGTTTTAGGTCGCGAATCACTGCTACGGGGTCTATAGCTACTCGCTGACGCAAAAGTCTTGGCATGAGTAAATTTGATGTCAGTGCTCCTTTAATCAACTGTAGAGTCTCTCTGCTTTGTCCTGTCCCAAGTTGCTTTACGTATCAACTCTTTGCAGATTGAGGTAATAAGATTACCGGTGACTTCATTGTGTGCTGCTTAGTCTCACACTAATGGTTCTGTCTAATGGCCAACTAGCATTGAAATCGAAAATTTAAACCACTTTTTGTTACATGTGCAGGGACTCGGGCTTGTTTGTGTATGGCTGCGACTTCTCACCTACAGCAGTTTCTGTTCTGAAGGTAACTATGCACATTTTTAAGATTAGCACAGTAGAAACCTTTGCCAGGTACATCTAGAAAAAAAAAAAGATTACCAAGTAAGCTGTCGAAAACAATTCAGTGATCTCATTTGTTTGTCTATGCAGTATTTAAATAACGACTCCGACTACACCTTGCAGTATCTCACTTTAAACATTTACATATGAATATCTGGCAAAATCGTCGTTCGTTCATGGCAGCAAAGCCAATCACGTTTAGCGTTTTACCTACACCATGATACCATTACGGTTTCATATCAAATTGCCTGTACTTCACTGTTCAACTGGAGTTCTTTCAAAAGTTAAACTTTTCACTCCTAATCATCCGTCGTGCTTTTTTCCCTTCTGGAAACTATTCTTGCTTTATTTGACTACTGCACAGTACTTAACTGTTCGTACAAAAAGCTAGCGAGTCATGATTCTCTCTGCTTCCAGTAGCACTTGACATGTTTTCTGTTACTGAGATGTCCTAGCATGATGATATTCATTTCTATTGCAGCTTCCTGATGTAATTTGTAAGTCAACCTATGCACGCAGTGAATTTATTCTTTTGAAAAAAAAAAAAAGCTAGCGACAAACAGTAGTCTTTCTTTCATCATTGCCATGACTGAAATTAAATGTTGCTCTAAAGATTACACACAGTGCTCCATTTCCTATTCCGAACTGTCCAGGAACACAAGGACTACGATGAAAAGCGCTGCCACGCTTTTGTCTGCGACGTGACCAAGACGTGGGATGTGCCTTTCCCCGAGGAAAGCTTGGACTACTGTGATGCTCATTTTCGTCCTTAGCGCCATCAGCCCCGACAGGCAAGTGACACTAACCTGCAGGTACTACTTTGGCAGTGTGCGCTCTCGTGTTTCTACAGGCTAACGTCAGAAAGGAGCAGCAGTGGCCGTTCGACACGCGCTACCGTGGTCCGCAAAATTTTGACCACCACTGTACAGAGCTCCTGCAGTAAAACACAATAAAAGTTGTGGAAGTGCATGCAGCAGCTGTAATGTTAAATTTTGTATTTCTAATTGTCATACTATCACATGTTTTGTATAGTTGTTCCACTTCAGTGGAAATAAACTGACCACCGATAGACACGCACACGCAAGCATTCACACAAAGCTATGGTGCGTACTTTTTCATTTCATGTGCAATTTCTACCGCTCTTCTACCTTTCACGATGCACTGTTCATACTTAGTACAATTAAAGCACCGATTCTGTAAAATATAAACTGTCATTTAATATTTGTTTACCGAACAGTTTACAGTTTCTACATTATCTGCCACACTCTGCATTATATCTCAGTTTTCTGATACAACTAAGCTTGCTGTATACAATTGTAGTCTTCTAATTTTGATAGGCTTCTGCCCAAAACCTGCTTCTGTATTTTTATCTCTAAACTGTATTATACTATTAATTTAATAAACATGACAGATCCTGCATATGCTTTGAAGTACCATGTCTTTTACTATTTAGCTGTAGTGGTATAGTGAAATGCCTCTGCAATAAAATTACACGTGTAACGAAGGTTTCTTTACGTCCCTGCTCCATTGAGAGTGTTACTGTGCGCAACCTTTACAACAAAGCGACCCAAAGAATGAAGTATCTTGAACTCCCAAGCCCCGTCTCATAAAGGCATTTGAATGCATTCAGACTATCATGTAGCCCTCCCTGTTACAACACTCCATGTTTGGTAATTCATTCCTTGCATTCTTCTCTAGGATGCAACACGTGATAGACTCAGTGGCTCAATATCTAAGCCGGGAGGAAAGGTGATCTTCAGAGATTACGGTCGCTACGACATGGCTCAGCTGAGATTCAAGAACGGTCGATGCATCGAGGACAACTTCTATGCCCGCGGCGATGGAACCAGAGTGTATTTCTTCACTCAAGGTAACAATCTCTGGTTTCCTTTTAACGTGAATGATAACAGTGACAACAGAAAAAAAAAAAAAAAGAAACAAAAACAGCAGTGCACACATTTCAGATTACAGGCATTGTTTGTTTGGTCTATTTAGCAATTATGAGATTAAGAACCGAGTCACATTAGTAAGAATCATCTAAATTCCAATTTCGATTAAACGAGCACTCGTAGATAATGGTACGAGAATTTTTCAGCATTCACTTACTAATTTTACTTCCATTTTTAAATACAGAGGTTCTATCGGAATAGATGTCTATTACATGCTATCTCCAGTGCTCCAGTGCTATCAGTGTTTCTACAAAACACTATATGTAAATGAAGTTACAGCTTTTAGAATGAAAGGGAAAAGTAGCGCTTCTACGACGAGTTCACAAAATGAAGGACACTTGTTTTTTCCCAGTCCTTGTTGTATAGGCGCAGTTTTCCCCTATCATTATACAACTCCAACTGGCCAAAGGCTTCTCACTTGAGCAACACCTTTTAGGGCATAATTCTTTAGATAGCCTGCACAATACTTTGTTTACAGTTCTATATAAAGTTATAACAACAGAAGAAAGCAAGTAAATAAGGCCAGCATAACTGTTCTGCAACACATCACAGCTTGTTGGCCGGTTGCCTACTCCCGCAATCAAATAATAAATGAAATTCGCATTTGAAAGGATGCTCCCTGTCCACTATTGGACTTGTGCACGTACACAAGTGCAAGAAATATGGTTAGAGAACAGCTGTCGCAGTAGCTGTATCAGTGAAGCGCCATGTGCGTAATGCTAAAGATGAGAGTCATCCCCTACCAGCGACGCATTATCTTTCAGACCTCATTAATTCTCATTTTGTAATAATTTTTTTACACATTTCAGTGAAGCATAATCAACTTCCCCTCTGCTTCTTCGTAGCGCAGTGCCTTGCAGTACTGAACAATATTGTGCTAGCATGCAATACTTGACAGTACTAACCCTTTCTATGCCGTTTATGAAAAGGCTGTAAGTGCATCAAGCTTGCATGTTATTTCAATGTGCTTGATATTCAATTGCAACAGAAATAATGCTGCAATATGTTATTTATTCATTTTATGGTCATTAATAAGTAGTAGTATTTACTTATCCTGAAGTTATTGATGTTCCGTTTTTATATCAATTGAACCTAATCGCAGGCTAGAATATAGTGCAAGTTCATTTTTGTGTTCATTTCATGGAAAGAAAAAAAAAACTTTTGACATGGCTTGCAGAAAGCGATCAAACACTGCAGTTCCTTCAAAAAAGTGACCTCAATGTATTTTGCTCTTTCTAGTTGACACAGCTAGCAAAAGCCAGTGATGTGCAAAATTGTGTACTAAGCATTTCACTGGAGTAAGAAAAGAAAAAGAAAGATGGAAATTGTATAAGAGTCAATGTGGTTTAGTGTGTGTTTTTTTTATTTTTGTCAACATTCTAGACGAATTGACGAAGATGTTTACCAAAAGCGGCTTCGAAGAGGAGCAGAACCACCTGGATCGTAGGCTGCAAGTCAACCGTGGAAAGTTGTTGCGCATGTATCGAGTGTGGATACAGGCTCGATACAGAAAAAAAGAGGCCACCTCCTGACAAACTGTGATTGTTAACACATTGCTGTGTGATAAAACTGAGTTTCTGTTCATAACCCTTTGCAATATATCTCCATGAACTTAGAAACAGGAACACAAATTCTGTGTAATATACCTACTCATTCAGCATATCGTCGTCGTTTTTAACTGCATAAGATCCTTTCTTTCTTGGAAGCAAAAAAAAAGTAAAACATTTATGGTGGTCCCGAAACCCCCTAAATGCGAAGCTGCTACATCCAAGGCCATGGAAGACTTTAAGTTCAGCATCGTGCTAAAAAAAAAAGAATATTACTTATGGCTAAACCGAGTAGACTCCAATGATGCTTATGCAAATTAAGAGTCAAGCTAATCCTATTCGATTAAGATCTGTGTAGTACGGAGCCATCTCATTTTGCATTAGGATTCTGATGACATATGCAAACAAAAAAGCTTGAGCATTCTTTTTTGTTTTTTAGTGAAATAAAGATATGGTCAATGCTCTAGACAGGTTTGTTTTATCCTGCTAGAGATTGCTGCACATCAATCATTGAAACTTCACCAAGACCTTTAAAGTTTTCTACTGTGTAAAACCCACCACAAAACTTGAATGCGTTTGCAAACATTTGTCTGCATCACAGAGATCTCCAGACATTTCTTACACTGCTGTGGTTCAAGTGCAAATCTGCAATCCCAAGTGCCTAGGGCTTAAAAAGGGTGCCTTTGTATCTCCAGTGTGTATCTACACAATGCTGTTTAGTTCATAAAGCACAACATTGTACCAGAGATCCAAAAACATAAGTATGATATTTGAACCTAAAAATTTACAGGCCTCTGTGTGTACAGCAAAGTCATTATTATGGAGAGATTTTGTCAAACTCCCCCTGCAATGCGTTATTTTTAACACACCAATGACCATAGCGTCGAGCCAAAACTCTCTTTCACTCAAGTTCACCTCTCGTTAAACTCCAAAGTGGAAAAGTAAACTCTTCAAACCTGTTTAGACCAGTTTTTGCTTGTTTGCATAGAGCGAGAATAATCACAGAAAAACAGCATTAGTTTATTTTGCACAAAACATAGCAGCGTGAAAAGATTTAAAAAGAAAGAAAGGAAAGCTCTATACTTGACATTCATGCCAAAAAAAAAAAATATCTGAAGAAATCGCATTTTGCAACACACTTCTGTCACACCTGTTTCAACTTGCATGATCAAGAGCAACTGTTTGTCGAAACAACACTCCTTTAAACTCTTCAGATACATATGTCTACATGGTGACTATGTTGCTGCCACCAATTTTAACTTCTCAGGAACATGTTACTAACCTACTACTCTCGTAACTCATTGATTTGAAAACCTTGATAACGAGGCTACCACACTTAAAATTGTAGCAACCTTGCATGCATTTAGAAATAAGGTAGCACGGTTCAGCTAATATTGGAAGTTCCAACCTGAATTGAAAATAGCTTTATTAGTCTTGTTCGACAAAGAACAATATTGTAGATCAGTTCTCGTTCTGCACCCTGTTAACAACAAACTGCATGCACTGCTACAAAAAATTTACGTAACAAAAATATAATACTGCTTCGAATACCCTGTAGGGGACAATCTAGGTGTCAGGAAACTGAACATAGTTACCAATACAGCTTCCTATTGCCTGGGGATGTTTTCCTCATTCATGAGCATAGCATACCATTACGTTTCAAATTGTCGAAAACCGCTACACGTTAGGTTGCATTCAACGAAAACATTACAATTCAACGTGGAAATTCAAATCATACTCTCAATACTGCTACTACTACTGCAAATGAGTTCTGCGAAACCCGAAAGGTGGCGGAAGGGTCTAGAAATGGAAAGAAGGTAACCAACCGTTTGTAGCACAAAGCCACAAGGAAATCCATAAGAATTTCTGAAAAAGAAAGCCTCTTAGTTGCCGAAAAATTCGTCCTAGTGTGGGGTTCGAACCTAGGAACAAATGCCCATCAGGGGCGGTCGCTCTGCCAATTGAGCTAACTAGGAATCCAACAATTGCTAGTACTGGATTTCCTTGGGACTTTGTGCTACAAATGGAAGGTTGCCTTCTTTCCCTTGCTTACTACTACTACTGCTAATCAAATAATGCCACCTTCAGTGTTGTTGAGTTTTTTAAAAACTGTGTGAAACAGTTATTTCGATACATGAACTGCCTTACTACTAGTTCAGCTATTAGCACAAGTTTCAGTGATTGTAAATAAGCAAAAAAATTACAATTGTCCCTATTGTGATAAAGTGACACTATTATGAGGTATGTATGAGTTACAGTTATGTACATTCACACAATCTCAGCTACGAATGTCTTCAGTCTTAATATATTCCATACTTTCCAGCTATAACAACAGTCACACATCAACTCAATAAAAGACTAAATTATAGAGCACGCATTCTACAATTTAAAAATACTCGTATATTCAACTTGCATCCTCTTTTTCACTGGTTCTTGAGCACGACGCCTAAACTACCAAAAAAATAATAAGGCACACTTTAAAATCAGTTACGTGCATTTGTTCATCGACAGCAGGCCCTACAACGAGAGCCTTCACGTGTTGATCAAAACATACCCATGCCCACCTGCCATCAAGTGACAGTGAAAGTCCCGCTGCAGCTGAAGACAGCAAACCTTTAGGACAGCACATGCCTCGACACAAATTGTGGAGCTGGAAAAACCTCGTCCAGATGTATCGCAAGAGACGACAACGAGGAAGCCTGAGTTTAATAGCAGCACGTGCCTACGCGGAAAACAGAACGAACCAACTACAGTGGATTCTTAGCCAAAGACGGTACTAATGACTGAAGTGAGGGAAAGAGGAAGCGCTTGCAGTCCCCGAGCCACAGCTCTTCAGTATGTTCTCAGAGCAAACAACAACCAAAGCCTCCACTCCCACCGACCTCTTGGGACCACTAAAAGTCCAAAGAGATTTCCCAAATAGCCAAACCGTACAGACAACTAGGCCAAGTCCAAGTCTGCTGCCTCCGTAAGGTACAATCGCTTTAAGAAAGAGGTGTACCAAGAACTTATGAAAGGATAAAGCCCATGGGCCAAAAACACTTGTGCATTCAGGACGTGCCCCCGCACAGAAACAAGTGCTAAGCGCTGTAAATACCAAAGCTAACAAAAACACTGAATTTAATATGGACTGATATGTGGGGTTCAACATACCAAAACCACAATATGATTGTGAGAGACGCTGTAGTGAGGGACTCCAAGAATTTCGACCATCTGGGGTTCTTTAACCTGTACCGAAATCTGAGCACACGAACCTACAGCATTTACGCCTCCATTGAAAATGCAGCCACCGCAGCCAGGATTCAATCCCGCGACCTGCGGGTCAACAAACGGGTGCCTTAGCCCCTAGACCACCGCATCGGGGCTACAAGAACGCTGGGATAACAAGGCTTAATGGAACAAAACTTCTAGCAGCCAGGATTCAATCCCGCGACCTGCGGGTCAACAGACGGGGTACCTTAGCTCCTAGACTACCGCGGCGGGGCTACAAGAACGCTGGGATAACAAGGTTTAATAGAACAAAACTTCTAAAGTACAGAATTGGTTTGCAAGAGAAAAGTGCAAAATGTTCCAAACCTCTGCAGAAACCACAGCATCATGCAGTTTCAGCAGGGGTTGATTGATTGATATGTGGGGTTTAACGTCCCAAAACCGCCGTAGTGGAGGGCTCCGGAAATTTCGACCTTCTGGGGTTCTTTAACGTGCACCCAAATCCGAGCACACGGGCCTACAGCCGCCTCATCGGAAATGCAGCCGCCGCAGCCGGGATACGATCCCGCGGCCTGCGGGTCAGCAGCCAAGTACCTTAGCCACTAGACCATCACGGCAGCGCCTTTCAGCAGGGATTGGAGGGAGGAAGATCTGTTTGTTGGGAAACTGTGAAAAGAGTTGCAGAGGAGCCTCCTGCAATGAACAAGAATTACTTTTGGACATCAATGTGCGACCTTCCCATTAAAGCCGTTGAGCACAAGGCAGGCTTTTGGAAAACTTTGAAGGAGATTTCCGAAGAAAACATTGAAAACAGCAGCATGGGAGGCTCCTCTAATGGACATGAACAACCCTTTGACAACAGTGCCCCCGTCAGTGCGCGACCTTCCCAGTTGAAGCTATAGTTGTGGTTGCACGCGAATTATGAAGGACCTATTGCAAACAAAATGTTGGCAATTGCGGATGCACACAGAAATTGGATGTTCCACAAGACTAAATCTCTAAAATATAAGTTAATAAAAGTGAATTCACCAATGCCTCTCGTTCTGTTCACAGCTGTACAAGCAAGCTTACTAGGCTTGGCTAGTTGACACCAGCTACAAATCAAGAGTCTTGGCCTCGTATAGAAATGGGACTGCAGTTCAAGCAACAGAAGGAGCAAAGAATATGCTAAGAAGCTTCCCTAAGCACAGATGGTTAGTCGTTGTAACAGCAGTTGACAAGTGCACATGTTTCCGAGCAATGGTCAGAGGCCTTGCACGATGCTTCTGTACAACTTCGTTGCACTAATATGCAGAGCAGCACCCCGAGAAACAAACTATGGAGTTGCACCTTCAACAAAACTTCACATTGTGCAAGTTAATCGGACGATCTTGCTTCTTGCTACCTGTAGCAAGTGGCTAAATCGATTGAGAATTACACCGCTTAAAGAAAAGAATGCCCACTAAAGCTCCATTATGAAACCTGAAGAGCAGCTACCTTTTGCCAGTTTCTAAGGTACACTCCAACCTGGTATAACAAATTTGAGTACAGTGCAGTCCACTTATAACGATACCACATATAACGATATATCGGTTATAACGATGGGTCGACTTAACAGTCTCATTTTATGCATTGGGGCTATGGGGAAAAAAACCATATATAACTATATGTTATCCACCGCATATCGGATACAACGATGAAAAGTTTGCCGTGGACGGCATGTTTCATTCAGAATAATCGTAACATTTAGATTGATAAGTTCCTCTGAAACGAACTATGCCGAGACAAGACGAAAAGTTAGCGTAGGCGAGTACCTGCCGCCACTGCAGCACAGCGCCGGCAGCGCGTCAAGGCCGTTCAAAAAGCCGAGGAGAGCATCGCGAGTTGGCGCGACGCGCTACAGATGGCGCCAGCTGTGTCACGTTTTGCGCCTCGCCGCGCGTCAACCGCGGAGAGGCTGAGAGAATTTTAAAAAAAAATGCGAAAAGCAAAGCGCCGCGCTTCGCGGCTCCCCGCCTTCTACAACGGCAAGCCGGCAAGCTACTCGTAGCTTGCCGAACGAAAGCGGGAAAGAGAGAGAAAATAAAAAAAGCGAAAAGCAAAGCGGCGCGGCGGCATCGGGGCGGGGCCTCGTTGGCATTCCGGCTGTGTACCTCTGGCTGTGCTTTCTTCCTCCCACTGCTCCCGCCCCGCCGTCGGTCAGTCTCTCTTCCTCAGCGAACGCGTGATGCGTTCTTCCGAGTAAGAAATAAAGTCTTGTTTTTGACATCCTACTATCTACAATATTTATTAATTGGTGAAAATAGCGAAATGAAGCCTGGAGCTACAAAAGGTACGTCCGGCGACGATTTTTTGGCGGCAGTCCAGATATAACGATCACCGGTTATAACAATCATATTTTTAGGTTTTCTCGATATCGTTATAAGTGGACTGCACTGTATAACAAATCATCAGTTATAATGGAGTAAGTTACCAATAGCTTTACCATAGATACAGTGTTACAAATAATTATTTATAACAAAGTTCTGGATATAACAAAGTATTTTCCTGGCGGATGTGACTGTTATAATGAACTCTGAGTGTACATGTGCCATTAGAATGCCTTGGTGGGGAGCTTAGAATTAATTTTCACCACTTGGAATTCCTGAAAGGCACCTAATAAGCACATAGGTGTTTTTCCCATTTTGACCTCATCACTTAAACGTGGTAGCCGTATCCAGGAATTGAACCCACACATTCCGGATTGGCAGCGCAATGCCACATCCTAAAAGCCACCAACATGGTAGGCCGAATGCCACCATGCTGACCTTTCTCCTGCTGCCCTGTTAAAACGAATAGCGGGGCATGATCAAATCAAGTGGACCCACTACACACCGTACGGTTATTGCACCAGATAATGTCAATGCACCAAGCTGGATCACGGGTGAGCAGCTGCACCGTCACCGCAAAATACGTCCGTTCGACATCACACCGAAATGCTTCCTTCACGGAAGGAGGTCTTGCCAATGAGGCAGTTAATGAGCACACTGTGGCCCTCTCCATTCAGCCTCTGTGCCTCCTTGAAGATTTCAGCCAGCCGGTCCTTGTCGGGCAACGACACTAGCATGCCCTTCGCACCCAGGCCCTCGGCTGACTTGTGGTAGTCGGTGTACTGCGAGAGGCAAAACGTCAAACCAGAACCAATTGCAGCAAATTTCTCAGGAGAGGAACGAATGAGAAATTCGGAGAACAACAGCACTGTGCTAATAATTGGAGACCGAGTTTTAGGCAAATACCAGTTTTGTTCCTTGTGCTGCAATCGCCCTACTTTGATATATGAGCATAAATTAGAGGTTAACGAGGGATTTTTATGGTGCTACTATACCATGTATAAATGACTTAAATGCTGCCTATTTTTAGCGTTTGTGCCTAGCTTATAAGTGCCTAGAAATGCCTCCTTTCAAAATTGACACCAATATGCATAGATCGGTGAACTTGCTCACGAGTGGACAAATTCTGACTCACTCAGGCTCAGATAGGGCCATGAGTTTGAGTGAGTCTGCATGAGTAATATTTTGGTGAGTTTGAGTTCGAGTGAGTCCAGTTGAAGAAACTGTTCATGAGAGTGAGTCCAAGAGGGCCGTTTCAGTGAGCACCAAGCAGTGCCACAAACAGAGAAAGTGCATGCATAAGACACCCTTTCCAAAGTTAGCAGGTAGTAACTGTTCTACTCTTAAGAAAACAGGGAGAAAAGAACACTTTCGATATTCTACTTTTTCCAAACATGTGCATCATGTATGAAAAATTGCTTCAGGGGAAGTGCATCCATAAGTTCGACATTATTAAAACCATCCACGTTGCAGTACTCACACTCAGCCCACACGCAACGTTGCTTTTGAACATTTTGACCTGCTCCCTAGAGATCTGCATCCAACACGCATCGTTGCCAACAACGGCCATGACCGGAATCTGCAAATGAACCATATGAAGAAGTGAAATAAAAATAGAACATAGAAATGCCCAATGTTTCTCACTTTACAGGTGTTTGTTTGCTACCCTGCACCTTCAGCCTTTATCTTTTCTTTTTTTCAAAGTTCTCACTCACCAGACGCTGATCAGGAATCATAATGTTTATTTACCTGCACTCAATTACAGCTACTGTGTTAAATGCCAGAACCTGTTGCTAGTTTTTTACAATATTAAATTTTGTTAGAATCAAGCCGACTACTCCTTTGGTGATTGAGTATATTTCCTGCACTTTATATAGCTGTAAGCAGTGCTACTGTTCCACCTAGCGCGAGTAGGACTATGTTAGGGGGTTAACGACCTCCTTTTGTCCTGACTGGCCAATGCCTTGTATTGTCCCAAAAGCGAATAAATTATTGAAATTTTGTTTCATCTGCACCTTTTTGTGCCATTCCTCATAGCCTCTTATGAAGCAATGCTAGTGCAACGCTGAATCATTGGCATTGTTCCCAGTGAGACAGGTTACCAGGAAAAAAAATATGCACGACAATCTTATGTGCTGTCGTTTAGGTTCTGTGGGGATGCTCCACCATGCTAAAGAACACTTTAATTGGCCTGGAATGGGACAGTCTGTCCAGGTGTATGTGGCCAGCTGCACGCAGTGTCGGCACCACGAATGCCCATCCACTGCTCCAGCTGGTCTTCTTCGTGCGTAACAATATTGTTGTTTTAGACGTTGTCGTACATTGCGCTTTTACTCTGACATAAATTGTTATTCGACTTTAAGTGTCCCTTTAACCTTTAAGTGGTGTTTTGCGGCAGTGCGGATTTCCCCTGGGTACGTGTTTTCACGGCTCAGCACCATTTACTGCAATGGAACCACTTTTATAGAAAGTTACATGCTAAATAATAGTGTACACTTGAATAAAAGCTTTCACGGCTTAGCACCCCTTTCTTACAGTGAAGCCACCTTTACAGGGCATTACTATAGATTATTGTGCATTTGAGTTGCAAATGTGCAACTCGAATAACTCGAACTTTTCAATTTTTTTCAATAAAATTTCAAGTGAATTTGAATACTGCATTATTTGTTTGAATATTCAAAGCATTCTAATATTCACACAAGCTTAGTAAAAATGGCTGTCACACTGCCATTTTTAACAAATCGCGAAGTCCGTGGGGCCATGCAAGCTCGCCAGCACCACAAAAAGATTCTTTGACCTTTGCACGCGCAGGCCACTCTCAAGTTTTCTGCATTTCGTGGAACTTTCAAGCAGGATATCCGGCAAACCAAGCTGCCTTCTTCCCGCCGTATGCTCCCCCCCTTTCACTGTATCGCAACTTTTTCGCCTGCCTCTCGCAAGTCTGCTCTCCTCTCTTTACCGCAACTCCAGTTCCACGCGTCCTCGCTTGTATGTCGGGCGTTCACGTGTTGCTTGTTGTTGGTGTGCGGGTGTGGTCAGGATGGTCGACGGGAGGCCTTCCGCGCCTTTTCCTCAACACATAGAAAGTGCGGCCGCTTGGCTTGACGGCCGCGTTGTGTAGGGTTTCCATAGCTATTGACTACCCAGCAGCCAACTTGCCGCTTTGCGTGTCCCTGTATTCAGCTGTGGAGATGGTGAAGGCTCCCTGGGTGGATGTGACAGCTACATGTGTGTTGAAACCGTTGTCACGAGGCCGACTTCATCGACGTTTGACACAATGTTGAGCCTGAAGCCTCCTGGCAGCACCACCCCGGCGGCAATTTGTGGCAGCGGGTCGTTGACACTATGGGGGGCCGAGGGATCTGCTGGGATGATTTAATTACGGCCTATTATGATGCCGGCACTGCAGAGCCATGCGTGGATGAGGGCACTGTGAACGAAGTGCGCGGCAAGAGCGATTTGGAGGAATCGGATGGCGACGACAAAACTATGGAGCCAGTTCCCACAAGCGTGCCTGTAACAATTGCCTACATTAATATCCTCAGGCAGCTTGTATATGCCAAGGGCCTCGACGAAGAGCACACGGCCGCTTTAAATAAATACGAAACCAACCTTATCGCTTCTGCTCTTCAGAACATGTGCACTATGGACTTCATTGTGAATAAAATTTTGTGTTCTCACTCGCCGCTTTTTTTAAGGTGTGTTTCATATACTACGAAATTTGGGATAGAGTGAACGAATGCCGCCTCACGCTAAGGCTCGTTATAAGCGGGCCCGATTGAAATTTGATTCCAATTTGCATCATCATTGCAGCACTACCATTAAAAGACAATAATTAATGGCCCCTATGCTGCTGGGTTATTTTGGTCCTCCTAGAAAAAATACCCCTTCTTTCGCTAAGACAAAAATGACAGCTACACAAATGTAAAATCGTATTTACGTCCAACAATCAAACAAATCATTAGAAAACACATTAGATTATACATGGTCAAGAAATTCGAAGTACATCTAATGTAGCCATGAATGCACAAAAGGTCACACATATGGGAACCGTTGTCACGAGGACGATTTCATCGACGTCTGACACAATGTTGGCCGCTGCCCTGTAAAGCCCTAGCCTCGGTGACCAACTCTGGGCCGTCCAGCAGGCCCGCGAGGCGGCGGTCAGGCAAGGTCTTGACGTCCCCACGCGGGAGACCTAAGGTCCGGTCGGCGAAAGCTCTGCCGGACTTCCAATAAAGTTCTTACCAACCAATGAGAATGCACATTCCAATCACACATGGAAACTTCTTGCATAATCACACTCACCTTGTGCCTGACGAAGGTGTCAAACTCCAGCATGGAGTAACCAAGAGACCCATCTCCATATATAATCACCACCAGGGATTCGGGATGGCACAGCTTTGCACCCAAGGCAAAGCCCCCGCCAACACCCAGCGTTCCGAAGGCGCCGGGATCTAGCCATCTCAATGGCCCACTTGGCCTGTAAGAGAACACAAGTACTGATTAAATAGCACTGGTCTAGAGCAGCCAGTCGGCTGCTTTGGTTGCATTTCTTGTAAAATATACTGAGACTTGCCGTAATGATACCAGACATAGCCGTACTGCATGCTAAGTCCATGTGCTACGAATGGGAGCTTGCAGCAAGAAGCTGCGGATGGTGACGACACACACAGTCGTCTGCTAGACTGCTCGAAACATGCGCATTAGCAGGGGGATGAAAAAATGGCATTTGCCTGCCCATCTCCAAGCCTCACTATCGCTCCCCTACTGCAATGACACATGGGTTTGCAGCCCGTAAGACAACATCATGCTGACAGCCATGACCCTAGACAAGCGTGATTCAGACTGTGCACCCATGGTGCGTTTGGAAAAATTCCTTTAGTTCTACCTTTTTCTCGGTTTTTTTCTTTCTGCCCCTTTTGCTCCTCAGCTCAGACAGGGTAACAACGTCGCCAATCTGACATTGTTTCTAAGACTGGTCACTCCGTGAGATTTCTAATAATTACGGTCGAGCTTTATCCGGTGTGCGGCATGACCACTCTTACTGTGCATGCGCGTCCCCTCTCCTACACTTCCCTTCTCTCACCTCACAACGTAGACGCAGGCAGCGCCTGCTGGCCAGCTCTCACTCCCCCTCTCTCTCCTCTAGGCATCCCTCCCCGCGACGCTTACACCCTAATTGTGCATGCGCGTCCCATCCCCTTTCTCCCCTCTTCTACGCCCCCTCCTACCTCGCCTGCTAGGGAGTTTCTTGATTGAAAAAACCGACTGCTTGCACTGCACAACTGTTAGCTAGCCACCCCGAATATATAGGCACTGGATCTTGACCTTCAAGGTAGTGCCGGTAAGAGATTTCTCCAGTGCGTTGTTGAACGATAAAAATTTGCAGCGTGTGCGTTGACTAAAAGTGGATTGCGGGTCTCTGTGTCCAATCGGAGTCTTCCGAATCTCATTGCCCATTAGCAGTGACTGGCATGTTCCAGTATGAAACGCCGGTCTGTCACCGCATGCTTTGAATCTCCCCACATTCCTCTTCTGCGCAACGCCGCGATGAGCGCCAGCGTCAGTGCCGCAAGTGTTAGCGCCTGCTGCCTTGCGTCTACACATGGATTTTTTTACCGGGAGATGGTGTAATTTTTTCCCCTTTCTATCTCTCTCTCTATTTCTCGCTTCCTCTTTCATTCTTTGCTTCTCTGTATTTCTCTACCTTCTGTCTTGCTTGTTTTTCTATCTCACTTTTGCGTGTTTCCTTCTATTTCATTCACTTGCAGTCTATTTCTTTTCACGCCTTTCTATATATTTGTATTTATTTACTTTGTTTCTTTCTAGTTCTCTCTTTTTCATTCTTTCTATCTCATCTTTCTTTCTCTCTCATTGTACTCGTTCTCTTGCTCATCAGAGTTATTGCATCCCACACTGAGGAAATTGGCCCACTCGTTCTGACAACCACGCAGATGAAGACGAGGATGAAGAGGGCACATGCTAGCAGAGTTGTTACGCTCATGATGATGTAAGTTTACTTTGTAGTTAGGCTTCCCAGTTTCTTCCGCGCATGCCCGATCCATATTTTTGGTTCGCCGGACAAAACAACTATTTGCTGAACAGCGCCACTGGTAGAAGGCGGATTATTGCTACAGAGCATTTAACCTATGTTTCCTTAAGTCGAAACATCACCTCATAAACATGGCCACTGCTGGCTCTTTGGTTTGAAGAAAAGAACTTTTTTTTTTCCTGGAAACTTGTTTTTTTAGATTCCTCTATAATTCCAAAATCTTTCTCAGTCTCCTCCATGCATGAAAGAACCAATTCTTGACCAGTACACTTCGCTTAACTGGTCAAATTTCCATGCCACAATGCAAGGTCTTGATCTTAAGATTTCGCTACATTGACTGTATTCGCTTCTGCTTTGGAGTCTATACCTCAAGCACTAGACAAAAAAGTACTGCACTGAATGCATTTCACGATTCAGAACAATAGCACATGTTAAAGCAACAAAGTACTCATGTTTCTGGGACCCAAGCATGCAATGTGTGCAGTGAATAGGTAATGTACGCACTTTTCAATGCTTCAGGTACATTTTGCGCATAACTGTACTCTGACTTTGCCCACCTGAGGATGTAGGCTGCAGTTCCCACAAAGTCACCGCCGTCAGCAACCAGGATGGTGTCATCTGGTAAAGATGCTTCCAGTTCGCTGAGAACCTTCAGAGGGTTCAAATGCTTGTCAGCTGGTGCGTCCACCATCGCTCTGCAATAGTAACATATGAAGGCCTGTAAATCTATTACCTGTTTGGGTCTAACTGCATCAAAAGATTGGGTGTGCAAGACCTGTCCACCGTGTATTCGTCTCGAGCTGAAGGCTAAGTAGAGCAATTTGAAACAGCTTAAAAATTTAGTTTCAGGTCTCGTAAGTATGTAGCAGCTGTAAAGAAGCTTCCGAACACTGAAATTGGTGGAACTCTCAGGTGCCTTCTAGTGGGTCTACCCAAAAGGGATGCCGCTCGCGCTGAGAACCCGTGCTTGGCCGTTACTGTCGCCATTGTGCTTGCTCGCTGTGGGCCGGCTAATAAACGCCTTAACATTTTGGTGGAGAGTGCTGTGCCCTTCAAACATCTTCGGTTCACATTCGATGCCCTTGGAGCTTGAATCCCGTACCGTGCCTTCAACCATGCAACAAGACGCCGCCCAGAAACGCTTCCTCCTGCGCCGACGCCATGTTCCGGTGTCCCCCGCATCCGCGACCCACCTGTCTTCACCGGCGCGGATGGCACCGACGTCGAGGACTGGCTCGCCATGTACGAACGCGTCAGCGTCCCCAATCATTGGGATGAGGCAGGTAAACTCGGCAACCTGGTTTTCTACCTCGCGGGTGTGGCCGGCGTGTGGTATAACAACCACGCGTCTGATTTCGCAACCTGGTCCGATTTTAAGACCGCTATCACCAACGTTTTTGGCCGCCCTGCCGTTCGTAAGCTGCGAGCCGAGCAGCGCTTACCCGAACGCGCTCAGCAGGCCGGTGAATCATTCACCAGTTACATTGAAGATGTCCTGGACCTATGCAAGAAATCCAACGACAGCATGTCCGAATCAGACAAGATCCGGAACGTCATGAAGGGCATTGCCGATGATGCCTTCACGATGCTGCTTGCCAAAAACCCAGGCACAGTAGCTGAGGTCATCACGCTGTGCCAGAGCTACGAGGAGCTCCGCCGGCAGCGTTCGATGACCCGTCGCTCCACACCACGAGATGCAGGGCTTGCAGGCTTGGAGGCGAGCTGTGACCAGGTGGCACTGGTGGCAGACCTCAAGTCCTTCATACGTGAGGAAATCGCACGGCAGTTCTCTCTCCTGCCCTTTGCCCACCCACCGGCTGCTCAACAATCGGCCACTACCATTTTCCCCCCCATCCGCCGAGCGATTGAGCAGGAAATAGCGGAGGTCATGCCTGCGTACCACCCACAACAGCTTCCGGCTCCTGTACCCCCAAGTTACGTCCAAGTGGTCGCCAGGCCGCCTCCAGTCGTTCAAGCGCCCGCCCCACTGACTTACGCCGAAGCTGCCGCACGACCTCCATCCTTTGCAGCGAGTATGCCGGCTACGTATGTTGACGTGACCTCTCAGACTCAGCTCCAGCACCCCCTGCAGCCTTTCCAGTCACCGTTCCGTCCATCGGCTCTTGCGTCATGGACAAGACCTACCCCGGCGAACCGATGGCGCACATCCGACAACCGGCCCATTTGCTTTGCCTGCGGTTACGCCGGCCACGTAGCACGTTATTGCACTCGCGTACAGACGCCCCATATCTCGTCGCCTGTTGCTGGCCAGATCAGGCGTACCTATCACGAGAAAACGCCGTCTATGCCACCGCCAACTCGCCTAGCTTCATCTTCTCGTAGTTCACCGTCTCCACGACGTCGTTCCCCGTCCCCCATGCGGCCAAGTTCAGCTGCTCACGGAGCCGAATTTTTTTCTTCTCTCGATCTGCGCTCGGGGTACTGGCAAGTACCCATGGCTGATGACGCTCGACCGAAAACTGCGCTCATCACACCCGACGGCTTGTACGAATTCAACGTCATGCCGTTTGGTCTATGTAATGCACCTGCGACCTTTGAGCGCATGATGGACACCGTTCTGCGCAACTTGAAATAGCACACGTGCTTGTGTTACCTCGATGACCTTGTTGTGTTGGCTCCAGATTTCTCTACGCACCTCCAACGTCTGAAAGAAGTTTTTGCACGTGTCAGCAATGCCGGCTTGCAACTAAATCTGAAGAAGTGCCGCTTTGCAGCACGGCAACTCACCATCCTTGGGTACATCGTGTCCAAGGATGGCATTCTTCCTGACCCAGCCAAGCTTCGGGCCGTGGCCGAATTCCCCAAACCTGCGTCCGTCAAAGAACTGCGTAGTTTCGTGGGCCTGTGATCACACTTCCGACGCTTCATACGAAACTTTGCCACGATCATATCACCGCTGACGAAGCTCCTTGGAAGTAACGGGTCCCTCAATTCGTGGTCGTCTGAGTGCGACGACGCGTTCGCGAAGCTCCGCCATGTGTTGACGTCTCCTCCCATTCTACGCCACTACGACCCTACGGCCCCGACGGAGGTGCACACAGACGCCAGCGGTGTAGGCCTCGGCGCTGTCCTGGCGCAGCGCAAACCCGGATTCCCTGAATATGTCGTAGCATATGCAAGCCGTACGCTCACGAGAGCTGAGACGAACTACACCGTCACGGAGAAAGAGTGCCTAGCGATCGTCTGGGCTCTTACAAAGTTTCGACCGTATTTGTATGGTCGCCCATTCGATGTCGTCACCGACCATCATGCACTATGCTGGCTTTCATCATTGAAGGATCCCTCAGGCCGTCTCGCCCGGTGGGCTCTTCGTTTACAAGACTACGACATCCGCGTGCTGTACCGCAACGGACGCCAGCATGCTGACGCCGACGCCCTCTCGCGCTCCCCTCTGCCTGAAGGTGATGTGCTCTGCTCAGTATCCTGGGCTGCTGTTTCTGCCATTGACGTTGACATAATCGCTACCGAACAGCGAAAGGATAATTGGATCGGCCCGCTGATCGACTTGCTCTCTGATCCATCCGCAACGCCATCCACGCGTGCCTTGCGTCGTCGAGCTCGCCATTTCACCATCCGTGACGGCCTTCTACACCGACGCAATTACGACACCGATGGCCGGCAGTGGTTACTCGTGATACCCCGCAGTCTGCGGTCAGAGATATGTGAATCCTTTCATTCTGATCCGCAATGCGCACACTCTGGGGTATTCAAAACCTACCATCGCATTCGGCAACGCTACTTCTGGCGCGGGATGTACCGCTACGTGCAGCAGTTCATTCGCTCCTGCCTCGCTTGCCAACGCCGCAAACCGTCAGCACACACGTCGCCAGCCAGTCTGCAACCGTTACCTTGCCCTGAGCGTCCGTTTGGGCGCATAGGTATCGATTTGTATGGACCACTTCCTCTGACGTCGGCTGGTAACCGCTGGGCCATCGTCGCCGTAGATCATTTAACGTGATACGCCGAAACCGCCGCTATCCCTGCGGCTACTGCGCGTGATGTCGCATCCTTCCTTCTGCATCGATTCATACTGCGCCACGGTCCACCTCAGGAGCTTCTCAGCGATCGAGGCCGTGTCTTCTTGTCAGAAGTCGTCGAAGCCATTCTCACAGAGTGCCATTCTGTCCACCGCAAAACTACTGCTTACCACCCGCAGACGAATAGTCTCACCGAACGCTTTAACCGCACCCTCGGCGACATGCTTTCGATGTACGTCGCCGCCAACCACACTAATTGGGATACTATACTGCCCTTCGTCACATACGCCTACAACACCGCCCCTCAGAGCACAACCGGGTTTTCACCTTTCTTCTTGCTGTACGGAAGGCACCCCTCACACACTATCGACACAATACTCCCGTACACGCCGGATCCATCTGAATGTGCACCTATTTCTGAGACAGCCAGGCTTGCTGAAGAGTGTCGAGAGCTTTCCAAGACATTTACGACGCATGAGCAAGAGCGGCAGAAGAGTATTCGTGATGGCTCCGCCACTTCTGAGCCCACGTTCCTTCCTGGTTCTCTTGTATGGCTCTCAATCCCGACCTCTGTAGCTGGCCTTTCTTCCAAACTACTCCCGAAATACGAAGGCCCCTACCGTGTCATCGAGCGCACATCTCCGGTCAACTATCTGATCGAACCAATTGAACAAACTTCGGACATGCGCCGTCGCGGGCGCGACATAGTCAACGTGGAGCGCCTGAAGGCTTACTATGACCCGCTCATAGTGACAAGCTGTTAGGTCGCCAGGCGGCTCCCTCTTCGACCCCGGGGTAATTGTAAAGAAGCTTCCGAACACTGAAATTGGTGGAACTCTCAGGTGCCTTCTAGTGGGTCTACCCAAAAGTGATGCCGCTCGCGCTGAGAGCCCGTGCTTGGCCGTTACTGTCGCCGTTGTGCTTGCTCGCTGTGGGCCGGCTAATAAACGCCTTAACACAGCCTCGGAGAGAAAAGAAAAAAAAAATCTGTTTGACGCATAGGTTGAGCAGCCCTTAAAGGCTAAAAAAAAGTGCACTTCATCGATGGTGAAGTTTAAATCACAAGGCCATTAGTGCCACTCACCGGAAGTGGTGCACAACCCTGATGTGATGCAAATTTCCTTTCACCCGATTCTTTCCCGGTGGTTTGTGTCATCTAATTTTCTTGCAACATGCACCAACTAGCCCAACACCAAGTTTTACTGAAGGACTACATTAGTACTAGAGCACCAGTTCAAGTTAACTGTAAGTTAGAATTAATCGAATTCACATTAACGAGCTCTTACTCTATTACAGCATAGAATTACCATAATCAATTCTAAGCACCCCCCCCCCTTTTTTTTTTCACGATCACAATATTAAAAGCTAGGGGGGTGCTTAGATTAGAAAAATGACAGCACCCCCTTTTGTGACAACAAATTAACGTAATTGATGCGAGAAATTGTATTTTAATTCAAACAAAATAAAAAGATAAATAGGGTGCACACGGCAAACGCACCACTCGTGTAGCAGGTGAGTCACTATCATTGCCGCTCGAGTCCGTCGCACCATTTGAGCAGTCACTCTCGGTGTCCTACAGCAGATCGTCTTCCATGCCGTCCAAGTTGTTCGTGATGCAACACTTCTTGAACAACTTTGTGACAACGTCAACTTTGATGCATTGAAACTCACAGACTTCCTCTTTGAGTTCGGCTGTCAGCCCTTGTGCGGTTTCGTGAATTTATTGAGAGTCGTGGCACCTTTGAGAATGTGGCCCCGCTGCTCTCGGTACCTAATGATGCAGGCTCGGTCCACGCCAAATTCTGTAGCAGCACTGTGATTGCCATTGTCCTCGACAAATGCGATCGCAGCTCGCTTAAACTTCACGTTGTAGGAAGCAACTCTTTACGCTAATTCTGAACGATGTCAGGACTATCAAACAGCTGACAAGGAAACGTGCGCATGTCATCCGCCACCGTGAAACCATCGCAACTTGTCCGGATTTGCGGATTGGAATGGATTACTCGCCGACTCTTGTGCCGCCATCTCTTGTCTGAACCTAGCAACATATTGTGCCACTGCTTCCGAGATAAGCGACGAGAGGGCGCGCTTGGCAGCCCCCACTGGGCCGTGCTCGCAGAAAGGAAAAATAGGGGGGGAGGGGGGGTGCTTAAATTCGCAAAAAACATTTTTTCCTAAATATTTCTTGTGAAAACAGAGGGTTGCTTAGAAATGCGTACATTTGGTATTTAAACGACACGCACAGTCAAAGTAAATCAACAAATCTTGCTTACTTGTTCTTTTCTTCTTTAGCATTGTCCATGTTTCGTAGCGTTTGAATCCATGATGGATCGCACTTGTAGTCTGGCAGGGCTTGAGTCAAAGATTGCAGGAATGATCCAACATCGGCTTCAACAGCCACCGTTGGCTTCCAAAATGCATCAGAGTTCTGCAAACAACAATGTACTGATAATAGTCGTTCCTTTAAAGCACTAAATCATGGCATGTGGAGTTGTTTTTACAGGCCACAACTGTGACATAACTGTGACATAACTGCATCAAAAACAAAATGCAGAAGGAATGGAGCCACTTTCATTACTGTTTCCAAGCATGTCTGTATGACCACACTGAATAAGGAGGAGGAAAAAAATAAGCAGAAGGACAGGGAGGTTAGCCAGCTCTTAGACCAGGGCTGGCTACTCTGTGCTGGGGAAGGGGCAAGGGGAGTAAAATATGATAGAAAAGAGATGTTACGAAAAAAGGGAAAACTAAAAAGGAAAATCAAAGTTAAAGAGAATATGACACTAAAGTATTTCTAAGGCCAGCTGTCCACGAAAATCGTAATAAAGCTTTCAAAGCTTATGGGCTAAAGATAGACTCAGCCAAGGACCCAGGATCCCTTGTTCCGACCAAGGGCGATCATCTACTCTAGAGCTTAGGTAAGTTCTTGTCTTGGCACGTTGAAACGGGTACACTCACGCAGAAGATGGACGATTGTTTCTTTGCAGGGCAGTTATTGAGCATAGAGGTGCTGGCCATTCCAATAAGAAAGGAGTATGCATTTGTGAAGGCCACTTTAAGTAACAGGCAGCACAGAAGAGTCTCCTCAGCTCGAGATATTTCTCAGGGAAGACAAAACTCAAGGGGGCAGACTGGCCTTAGGGACCAAAAAGTGACAAAAAAATTCATTTTTTAAAAATTGACATATTTGGTTTCTGCAAGTACTTTCCTATCTCTCTGCAAATTTTCACGCACCAGGAAGTAGTAATTTTTTGTAATCTCATTCTAACTCTCTAGATTATTGGTGCTGTTAACATGCAGAACCTGTAAAAAAATGAGGAACAGACTTTGTGGCTTCTTTATAATTTGACAGCACCTGTGTCTAAAGCTATACTACCAATTTATGAGCGCTTTTATGAAGAAACTGTGCGCTTTCAGTTTTTCCATTTTTCTCAAAAAAGTAAATTTGCGACTATTTAATTTTGAGGCCTAAATATCTCTGCAGTTATGACAGGTACAACAATAATTCTCTTTGCAGTGTAAATATGTATGCGTGTAGAATGCAAGTATGGGAGCATAATTTAGAGCACATGCCTTTTTAATTAATTTACTAATCAAAATATATAACATAATTCCAACTTCTTTTGAAAATGAATAGTTCATTTTGCTGTAAAATAACCAATAAAGGCCTAAAAACAAAAAACTCTTCCATACTTTCACTCTATAGTCATTAGTCAATGTTGGCATATCCTAAATTTCACTTTTAATTATTCTCTTTTTTTTCTATGGCGGCCTTAAACAATAGGAGGTGAACTTCAGTTATCTCAGGAACAAGGTGAGTTACAGGAAAACTAATTAAATATTTGAAATCAGCAGAAATAACAGCTTTATTCTATGCAGTTTGATCAAGATCACTCAAGAAATAAACAAAAAATGTCAAGGACCAGTCTGCCCCTTAGAACAGGATCCAGGTTATGTAGGCGAGCATTTGTGAATACCGTCGAGTTCCACTGTGCTAGTGTGAGGTATCGTGCCAGCGAACGAAGTCTTGTAGCTGCGTCGGTTCTCGAGAGTAGGATAGCTGCGTATTGCATATACCGTCACGTGCAGATCTAGCGGCCTCGTGTGCGCGCTCCTCCCCGTATATACCGCAATGCCCTGGTATCCACTGATACGTTATGCTGTGTTGCTTCTCAATTGCTTGGTGGTGAAGAAGCCTCTTATCAGTGATCAACTGCTCATTAGGTCCATGACAAACGGGTGACATGAAACTGATTAAAAATCTGCCTTCATGTCTGAGAACACGGACCAAGCTTGCGAAGGGTTTTGCAATGATAAACTCAAGTGCTGCACGTATGGCGGTGAGTTCTCCAGCTGTCGATGACGTCAAATGCAAAGTCTTGAATTTAACTTTGACGGACTTCGCGGGAATAACCACCACCACTGCTGAGCTTACTGAAAAAACAGAACCACCCGCGTAAATGTGGAGGTGCCCGTTGTGCTTCTTGTGCAGAAATAGTAGTGTGGCCTGTTTCAGGGCTAGATGCAATGACTGTTTCTTCATTTAGATGCTAGCAATGGTAAGGAGAGTAAAGCTTCAAGAGGGTGCGGGCGTTGCAATAGTAACGGCAGCCGTGCTGCATACGTGAAGTGCGATGGAAGCACTGCGCAATGCTGAGCTACGGATGCGCTCGAAGTTCGAAGTGAGGCAAGGTGATACAATGGAATCCGAGCAAAATGCCTTAAGCGCATTCTCAAAGCACCAACGCTGATGTATGTGCTGATTGGATAATCACATAAGTGATACGTGATGAGCACTGCACTGTAGCTGGAGTGTTGTTGCCCAGCCCGGTGAAGATTAAACTTTTTATTGGGGGAGCCTGTACCCAACAGATTAATACACTCATAGCCCGAAGATAGCGGCAAATGCAGTCACTGGTCAATGATGATCCCATCTTCAGGGAAACGTGACAGCTTTTATACGTGCGTCATCGACCATTTCAGCTTTATGACTGGTGCTCGCAACAAAAACACACACAGTTGAATACATTATAATTCCCGGTTAAAAGCTGACACATTTCACCAAAAATTAGACCAGTTGGAACGTGATCACTGTGAAAAACGTGTGTGTGTGTGTCAATATACACAAATGCCCATTTACGTGACTCTAAGGGCCTCACACAGAAGAAAACAAACAGAACTATATTGGATTCTTATGGAAAGATTTTTACACATACACCTTCTTACCTTGTAAAGCTGTGACCTGCTTCGATTTACGGCAATGATCTTTGACTTGCGGCTCAGTACACGGCCGTACGATAGGCGAAAGTCGCACACCGAGCCTGCAATACGTCGAGAAAAATGTCTGTCTGGTCCGATGTTTGTCTCGTGATGTCTCTTCCAGCTCCAGGGTGAAAATAAATGAAGCTAGAACTGTATATTAAGAGAAAACTTTCAGTTCCCTACTGAAGTGCACGTAGAACACCTTATTTAAGCAGTCGCAAGGAAAATATCACACTTTTTATTTTTCATTGATATACATGCTAAATATAAAAACACTATTGACATCATGCAAGCAAACAGATATAGACTTTTTACATCTGTAAGGAGAGATACTGTGCCTTGAGAGTGACTGATGCAGATCTTGGTTTTGGAAACTTACATTTTCCATGCTATCCCGAAATTTCAAAATTACAGCTACAACAGATAAAATGAGAAATGTAGCACCAAGTTTAAATGGTCTTAACAGTACTTCTAAAGCGATATGAAAGTATCGCCCTAATCTAAATTGCATCTGTCATGTAGAAGTGCGACATCACCACACTTGTATCTTAGATACAATGCCCACTTCTTCATAATTAAGTTCTGATGACAGGTTTGCAGGTTAAAATAACACATGCTTCATCGCACTCAAACTTAGCCCAAACCAACAACTTCAAAGTACAATAGACTATACACCACTACATAATCACACACACAAAATGCCCTACAGAAAAATCGGCCGCGTTTCTCCACGCCTTGCCGCAAAGGATGTCAAAAAACGATAGTTTCCTGTCTGGAGGTGCTGCATGAGATATGTCGCCACCAGGCAGTAATGCGAAGAAACGAAAGTTTTTTAGAATGCAGAGCCACTGGTAGGTTGCAGCACCGGGTCGTTTTAGTTAAAGCCCCTGAATTTTTCAGAGAAGTGCAGGAAACACCCGCCTTTTCGTTCATAATGTGACATCGTCAGCGCAGTGTAATAAACACTCCACTCTTTAGAATTACATATCTATGCATTTTCTAAATAGACACGCTGCATAACACTTTCGTATTGATGTCGCCCCTCAAATATGCATAAATGCTTTTTGATTGACAATCTTCGCGATTATGAACGTAACCACCACATCAAGATGGGTGACCATTGAGGAAGCGGGTTAAAATGAATCGATCAGCAGATGGACCCAGACCACAATTTCTGTGTTCAAGTATCCCAAGAAAGACTATCGTCTTTAGAAGCCAACCTGCTAGGATGACCACGTCAGCCTGTGCCAGGGCATCCCTTCGGCAGTGGCGCATCTGCAGCTCGCTGTGGCGACCCAGCAGGCCACGAGCCATGCCTCCAAGGAAGCAAGGAATGCCCAGTTTCTGAGAGATAAAAAGGGGCGGAAGCGGGAAATAAAGTTAGAGCGGTGCACGTTGAGAACAGGAGTTTTATTAACCCAAAATGACACCCGTATCAATGCTATACAGGTGTTAGCCATTGGCAGCAGTATACTTGTGCCAAAATTACAAAATTCGGGGCTAAATTTCTTGATTGTCCGTGGCAAAAATTCGTTGTAATCAAGGAGATCTTCCACTGCTACTACATGCAAATACATGGGCTTCTATGGAGTAACATCAGGGAGTATAATAACTTCGTTATATTGAGCAATTTGCTATATGGAGGTTCGTTATAAGCAAGTTTGACTGTATAGCTGATTTGGTATACAAAATTTATCATATTGCAACGTAGCTATCGCATGAAGGGTGAACCATTCTGTGGGTAGAAGACGACCATGAGGACTGGTTTGCTCGCTCTGTGTGCTGCGCTCCGATTTTATCAGTGTAAATACACTGGCAAATAGTGACGTCCCATTTCATTTTATGTAACATATTTGTGGTGGACTTGCTGGTCCTTCACTGTACCCATCACGAAGCTCCGCAACAGCCGCATCGTCACGGGTCCTACCATGTCACACGTTCAAGGTACATCGTCTTCACCACCCGCCTCTTCTGTGACTCCTACCTACATTGTCCTACCTCCCGCTCGTGATCCTGGCATATTTTCCAGACAAAATGGCCTTGACGTTGACAAGTGGCTCAACGTGTATGAACGGATCAGCGCCACCTTTAGGTGGGACCCGACACTCATGCTTGCCAACGTGCTTTTTTACCTTGATGGCCCTCCACGGGTGTGGTTCAAGACGCACAAAGCCGACATTACCAGCTGAGACACTTTCAACGAAAAGATCCATGACCTTTTTGTGAACACCGCTGCGCGACAGATAACTGCTCTCTGGCTACTCGGGCACAGACGTCTAGCGAATCCTACGTCGCATATATTCACGATGTCATCGCCCTTTGCCGCCCGGTTGACGAACAGATGCCCGAGCCTAAGAAGGTATCGAATGTGCTTAAAAGCATCGCCGACGATGCCTTCAACCTGCTTGTATACACTACTGTCACCACCATCGATGAAATCGTCAAAGAGTGCCGGCAGTTTGAACACCCCAAGAGCCACCGTATCACGCACAAATTCACACGACTGCCCAACACGGCCGCAACTTCATCGAGTGAAGCCGCTCGCCAACCACCCACCTATGACCACATCAAAATTGTTCGTCGGGAGCTTGAAGCTGCCTGTCCAGCTCCCATTCAACAGCCTGTTTTTACAACCCAAGGACCCATCACACCCATCTGTAGCCTTAATTCAAGCTGTGGTAAGGCAGGAGTTCGATAATTTCGGTCTTCCGTCAGCGTGTCCCGTGACTCACCCTGAAGTACGCCCACACCACTCGGGTAACACTTGCCGATCTCTTCCATCATTGCCCTTCCGGAACCCTACGCAATGGCGAACCCCTGACGACCAGCCTATCTGCTTTTCCTGTCGTCAACCTGGACATATTTCTCGTTATTGCCGTCGCCGCTGGTCCAACCCACCACGTCAGAGCTAAACTGCTTATATGCGCCTTACTACTTCTGGACGTCCAGCCGCTACACCCTCCAACTTTTACACGCCGCCTCCTCATGAGCCTCTCCCACTGACGCCCCTTCTTCCGGTCACCGCTACTCCCGCTCCCCGTCGCCACTACGCCGCCAATCCCACTCTCCGCCGCCTCGGCGCTTTTCCTCTCAGAGCTTCTCTGGACGATCACCGCAGGAAAACTAGATATTGCAGTTTATGGAGGTGCAGCTGCAACGACGCCCCGAAACCCTCTACTAACGCTGCCCACACACCACAGTATCATTGAAGTAAAAGTCGACAATGTTCCTGTTACTGCCCTTGTTGACCCAGGCGCCCACCTATCTATTATGAGTGCACATCTATGCCGTCGCTTGCAGAAGATCACGACGCCCTCTACGACTCAAGCCATACGTGTTGCCGATGGCGGTGCTGTAGAAGTCATCGGAATGTTCACTGCTCGTGTCAACATTGCTGGTCGCCACACGGTAGTCCTTTTTGTTGTTCTAGATCGTTGCCCCCATGACCTCATACTAGGCCTTGATTTCCTCTCTGCACACTCAGCTTTAATTGACTGTTTTTCTGGCACGCTCAGCCTCGACCTTCCCCTGCTCTGTGATGCCTGTGAAAAGCCCGTCAGCCGCTTGAGTCCAACCACTTTTGTTCGCTTGCCACCTCGAGCTGTGACATACGTCTGTCTGTCATCGACCCCTCCAGTTCCCAACGGAGACTACATCGTTACACCGATCACAGACGCACGACTGACACGCAGTGTTACAGTGCCGCATACCACTGCCACCATAGTGGACAACTGTGTTTTTCTCCTGCTCCTAAATTTCGGCCTCATTCCTAAAGTGTTGCCCTACCAGATGTCGCTTGTTCTATTCACTGCCATAAAAGATGATGACATAAACGTTGTCGCTGCAACGCTTCCGGACCAAGCCGAAGTCTCATGGTTACCCGGTTTTGCCGAAGCAATCTTTCGAAATATGATTGGACGAGACCTTTTGCCTGATCAGGCCGATGCTCTCTGCCGCGTTTTGGCCTCCTACAGTGACATTTTTGATATCTGTGATCGTCCCTTGGGCCAGACTAATATTGTCAAGCACCGAATCAACACTGGTGACTCTGCGCCCATCCACCGTCAGCCTTACCGTGTGTCCGCATCAGAACGAGCAGTGATTTAGAAGCAAATGGACAACATGCTATCGAAAGACATCATCGAACCATCACCAAGCCCTTGAGCCTCCCCAGTGGTCTTGGTAAAGAAGAAAGACGGCTCCTGGCGTTTCTGTATTGATTATCGGCACCTCAACAAAATAACCAAGAAAGACGTGTATCCTCTTCCACGTAATGACGACGCACTTGACTGTCTTCGTGGCGCCACCTTTTTTTCATCTCTCGACCTCCGATCTGGCTACTGGAAAATTGCTGTAGACGAAATGGATTGTGAGAAAACTGCATTCGTTACCCCCGATGGCCTTGACCAATTCAAGGTCATGCCGTTCAGTCTCTGCGATGCCCCAACAACTTTCGAGAGAATGATGTACACGCTGCTTCAAGGATTTAAATGGGCGACGTGCTTGTGTTACTTAGATGATGTGATAACCTTCTCATCCACCTTCGCCACACACCTTGAATGCCTTTCGGCCATTCTATCAACATTCCGACATGCCGGCCTCCAGCTGAATTCCTCGAAGTGCCGCTTCGGTCTTCGTCCAATTACTGTGTTGGGCCACCTTGTTGACGCTTCCGGTGTACGACCAGACCCAGCAAAAGTACACGCAGTAACGAACTTTCCCGTTCCGTGCTCTATCCATGATGTTCGCAGTTTCGTGGGCCTATGCTCTTACTTTCGCCGGTTCGTAAAAACTTTGCAGCACTCGCACGCCCACTCACAGACCTTCTCAAACACGACGTCCTGTTTTGTTGGGGCCCTCTTCAAGCTGACGCTTTCTCTCAACTAATCATCGCTCTAACGACACCACCGATACTTGCACATTTCGACCCAGATGCTCCTACAGAAGTGTGGACAGATGCTAGCGGTCACGGCATCGGTGCAGTTTTGGCCGAAACTCAGCGGGGCACTGATCGTGTAATTGCATATGCAAGTCGTCTCCTTTCAAAGTCAGAGCGTAACTACTCTATAACAGAACAAGAATACCTTGCCCTTGTCGGGGCAGTTTCAAAATTTCGTCCTTACTTGTATGGCCGCCCGTTTCTTGTCGTCACAGATCATCGCGCCCTCTGTTGGCTTTCTTCACTGAAGGACCCTTCTGGACGACTTGGTCGTTGGGCGTTGCGTCTTCAGGAGTACTCCTACTCAGTTGCCTACAATCCTGGACGCCTCCATCTGGACGCCGATTGCTTGTCCCGCTACCCTATTGACCAACCAGATCAATCAGTCAGCGAGCCTGGCCCCAGCGTCATGTCCATGTCTAGGTTTCGTCAGATTGGTGACGAACAGCGTCGCGATCCTTCCTTGCGGTGACTCATTGCCCGTCTGGAATCTGACCCTAACGACGTGTCACTCCGCATGCTCGTTCTCCTAAATGGCACGCTGTACCGTCGTAGCGTCCAGCCAGATGGCCCTGAGCTACTTCTAGTCGTGCTTAACCATCTCCGTTCAGCAGTCCTGAATAAGCTTCACGATGAACCAACTGCCGGCTACTTGAGCATATTACGCACGTACGACCACGTCCGGCACCGCTTCTTTTGGCGTGGTATCGCGCGGTCCGTTCGATGCTACGTGGCCTCCTGCGATGAATGCCAACGTCGAAAACGACCTGCCGCACCCCCTGCTGGACTCCTTCACTTAATCTCCATCCTTTCTTCCGTGTTGGTGTAGACCTCCTCGGACCGTTCCTTGAATCAAACCCTGGGAACAAGTGGGTCGCCACTGCTACAGACCATGCGACCAGGTTTGCCATCACTAGAGCGCTCCCCACCAGCCCTGCTACTGACGTTGCCAACTTTTTGCTCCACGATGTAATTCTACACCATGGCGCTCCTCGGCAATTGCTCACCGATCGTGGACATGCATTTTTGTCACGAGTACTCGACGACTTTTGCGCTCTTCCTCAAAGCAACATAAACTGACCACTTCCTGCCATCCTCAAACAAATGGCATTACCGAACGCCTAAATCGCACACTCACAAACATGCTCTCAATGTATGTCTCATCTGACCACCATGATTGGGATCTAGCGCTACCTCACATGACGTTCGCCTATAATTCATCTCGTCATGATACAGGAGGTTATTCACCGTTTTATATGCTCTTTGGCCATAATCCAACTTTACCACTGGACACCCTACTACCGGCTACTAACCCTTCACCGAGCGAATGAGCACGTGATGCTACTGCTCGTGCCGACCACGCACATCAGATTGCCCGCTCCAGGCTGTTGGCTTCACAAGCAACCCAGAAGGCTCTCTACGACAGCAAGCATGTCGACGTCGACTTCTCACCTGGTTCTCTAGTTCTTCTCTGGTGCCCAGTTCGTTGTGTTGGATTGTCAAAGAAGTTGCTATCTCCGTACAAGAGACCTTACCATATCATACGACGGGTAACGAACGTTACCTATGAGGTCATTCCAGTCTCCGGCACTAACCTGTCTGCAAACACCGCCAGTGACGTAGTACACGTTGGTAGGTTGAAATCATACTGCTCTATTTCTGAAGAACACGTATAAAGTGCACCGGGTAATGCTACGTAGCTATCGCATGAAGGGTGAACCATTCTGTGGACAGAAGACGACGAAGAGGACTGGTTTGCTCGCTCTGAGTGCTGCGCTTCGATTTTATTGCTGTAAATACACTGGCAAACAGTGACGTCCCATCTCATTTTACGTAACAATATAGAGAAAGTATATTCAAGACAATGATAGAATGTTTGAAATACACCATTTGTTATGTGCCGGTCTCATATACGTGGGTATGAATGTACTGGGATTCCGTACTAGAGCTCCAGCATTTAGTTCCTGTACAATCTTCAGTTTCTAAATAAGCTTTAACATCCTAGTTAACTTTTTATTCTTTTTTGTTCTATTTACATTTTCTTTACCACAAAGGAATGCTGCTATGATAGACCAATGAGACAAATAATAAAGACAGCCAGCAAAAAAGCTTTTCACGCACCAAAAGACTAAATGAAAAAAATCCAACACACATATCTTTGTCCTCACCTCGAGTGCTGCCCTCATTTCCTGCACAGCTAAGGGAGGTAACGTCGCCTGGCTGCCCACGATACAGACGGGTCGCTTGGCGCGCGAGATGATCTCTGCACACTGCTGGACTGCGTGGTATCAATGGTCGATCAACTTGGCATCATCATGTGATCTATGCATAGATGCAATGAAAACAGGTCATAAAAACAGAAAAGCAAGGGTGCGGTGCACCTGCATGTGCACTTTTAATGCACATGCAGGCGCACCGCATGTGTACATTGGGCTATGTAGATAGGATGTGAAATAAAAAAAAAAACTTTCAAAGAAGTCTGATATAAAGAGAGGCTCGTTTACTTTACAAAAATCTTGAAATGTATATGGTATGTGCCCTTGCAGTTCTTTGCTTTCATGTTGCTCTAGTGAAAAAAAAATTAATTAAATTCTGGCAACTATGTCAGCTGGCAACCTCATATGTAATGTGGATACAGACGAAACAGAGAATATTCTTAACAGTATCTTTTACAAAGCCAAAACACGCAAGACTTCCTGCGACGGTTATAGACAACATACTTGGCCCGTTGTAAAGTTAATGGATGTCATGGCTTTTCTTCAGCTTGCATACAGGTACTATTTGCTAGGAAGGTCAGCAGAACTGTGCAAATAGTAAAATTTTGAGTACAAAGGGAATTGAATTATTTTTAATGTTTTTCTAATACTCTGAAGCGGATTTACCGAAAAACAGCTGCAGAAGATCCCCAAGCATAATCTTAAAGAATAGTAACATGAAAGCGTTTCTTTTGGCTAGGCTGATGAAGCACTGCAGCAGTGCTGCCGAGTCATGTTCCGTAGATGTCTTATCAAGAATTAGAAAATGCTGAGGCCGAATTATGTTTATTTACACGATTTCATGCAACAAAAGTGCTGTTGACAACACTTTACATGTTGGTGGTGTGCTGATGATGCAGGTCACATGGTTTTCGCACAGTGCTTTAACGGACACCAGACGAGCGTGCTTTGGAAAACGTGGTCCAAGTTGCACTTTCACATTATAATCCAGTGCAAAACATGGCCTCCCAAATAAAAATTCCTCTTGCGCACCAACCAGTACACGTAGCAGCAGCACACTGTCCGCTGTGTGAAAATCAAACTGGGCTGCTAGCTGCTAGCTGTCGCGTGGCGACGCAAGTGACGTAACAAGCAGTTTTGCCAAGAGCCTGGATAACTTAATTTATTTTTTCGCTGCTATTTGGGTGATACTAATGAATTTTATATCACAGGTTGATTTTGTGGAGCCAAGACATTATTCGGAAAGCATGTTTCGCAAAACGAATTGATCGAGTACAAAATCAAAACCACGCTTGTAGAATTAGCAGTAGCCAATCACCGGTGACAAACGTAGTGCCATCACTAGGCTTGTGCAAAGTGTTTTTGGACGAATAATTTCGAATCGATTTCAAATAGTATATATTGCCACGGGAAACTGCCAACGCTCAGTGTAAGGCAGACATCGCGAACAAGAGAAGTGCTGACGGCATCGCTACAAGAGACGAAGCCACAATGACATATAAAAATGGGCATATTTATCATGACCTACCTAACCTGCACAATATTTTTTTTTATTTGAAACAAGGCCCCTACCCAAATGACATTTTTTAAAGGTAGTTGAAACAACTTTGAGTAGTAGCAAGATTTGACTTTCGTAAGATGCAAGTGATAACCTGGAAAATGCATAACATTCTAACATTTATTATACTTGAAGCATACAAGCCTGTATAACAAGAGCTTAAAAAATATGAATTGATTTGAGGGTAATATGTTCAATTAAAAGGGCCCTGCAATACTTTTTCAAGTAGCCATGGAATTAATTCACTAAAGAAGGTTTTTGCCACACGAATTCACCGCCGCAAAAATTTTAAGAACACGTCCAGTATGGTGGTAGTGGTTAGAAGATGAGAAAAGGCACCTAATTTCTGCAACCCGGTCGGGAGCACGGCGCAGTGCTTGACACACGTCCAGTAAGGGCGAAGCTGCGAAAATTTGTCCCATGCTGCAGCGGCATTCTCTCTTCTCCTCCCGATAAAAGCGCTAGATGCTAAGCAGGAAGGGACGGCATGGGGAAAGAAAATATGTCACATGCACCTCGTGACCTTGAGCACTTTTCCTCCTTTTTTTTTTTTTCTTCTGGCTTTTCTGTGCGATCATGCACGTACACAAGGACAAGTAGTGGCCTCCTGCAGCAGCCCCAGTAACGACAGAGTGCGCCATGCTCAAATCAGCCAATGGCTGATACAATGGCTGTGACGAGTGATTTTTGAGCTTGTGGCATCATTTGCAGAGATAAGAGAGCAATATTTAGCTGAATTGAAGAGTTTATTGTGAATTACAGGCTGCCCGCTGCGCTATAATGTTTGGCTCATAAGTTCTTGGTAGCCTCTGTTACTAATTCAGCAGAGTTTTCGGACCACGCTCAAAGTGTTGAACGGCCCTTTTAAATTTGAAGTGGGGCTTCGTGGTGAAGCGAATTTCCCTTGAATATGTGCTTTCACGACTTAGAACCCCTACACCGCAGCGAAATCACTTTAACAGGGAGTCACATGCGGATTAACATTACACCTATATTCGTTCATTGCGAATAATTTGAAAGCTTCAAGAACTTAAATTCGAATCAAAGTGAATTCGAATACTCTACTGTTCGTTTGAATCTTCACAATAGCCTAGACATCACCCTCACAAAGTGGCAACAGAATGCATACACTATAACCTTATTACAACATAGTATCTGTGGATAATCTCTTTGTAGCCTTTATTGGCACTGCATGCAATGCCGTCCAAACATGGCGTATATTCCAACTATCCAAGCATCCCAAACAGCATTTGCCCTACTTCCCCTTCTTCTTCGTCTCTTCACGCAATTTTCTACACCCTCCACCTGCCGACAACTTCACTTGCATAATTCCAGGGGAGACAGGAGTTGTATCAACTTCGTAATCTCAGTGTTGTTCGCTAATCGAATTCTGCATGCCCTAACATGTCCATTCGTACTCTCGTATACCTTACAAATCCTTCCCATTTTTCAGTGAAGAGGGTTTTGATCTGTTGCAAAGGGACACACCGCGGCCGAGCTTAGTGCTTGTACGTGGTCCTATAGGTGGTCATCAGTGGGGTTTGGTCGAGAACAGTGTCTGCGATCCTGCCGGCAGTCACTTGAAAACCATGGTTGGGAAGACTATTTGTTGTGCAACGGTGGGAAATGTAGCCAATGTGAGAACAAGAGTAAGAAATACGGTCGATCGTCATTGGTGCGCCACTCAGATGGATTGCGGTACCATGGGGGGGAATGATAGAACCTAAGAGGCTGCAGCAACGAGTGGGGCAGCATTGTGGGCGGGAGTTCATATGCAGGGCGAGCGAGTGGGGGAGGTAGCACGCCCATGTTGGCAAACTCCTGCCAAACAACGGCTTGAATTAGTGAGATGGTTGCCAAGAGGTCTTGCGCAGGGGACGTACAGGTAGCAGGGGCCACGGCTTCCAGCGAACAATCCTGGTGATGGTAGAATTCACGTTTGAGTGTGGCGGTACAGGATCTTCACACGAGGAAGTTGCAGCTGTGTTTGGAATGCGGTTGAAGCGCTAAGTAATCCACCTGCTTTTAGCTCACCGAAGGCGCCGACATTCAGTGATGACAGAGTCAATAGTGGCACAGTTCTTATACATGAGGAAGTTCAAGGCATCGTCAGCTATGCCCTTTAACACACTACTGACCTTGCCTCTGACATGTCTCTGTCGGACTTGCGGCACAGGGTAAGCACGTCGTAAATGTAGGCGACGCAAGACTCGGAGGACGATTGAACACGCGAAGCGAGTTCCTGTCTGGCTGCCATATGTCGAGCAAGAGACAGGCCAAATTAATTGCGGAGCTTCTGGTTGCACACGTCCAAACTTGTCGGTTTTTCCCCTTGGGTCTCATACCACACGCATGCCATACCCCGTAGGTAGAATAGGATGTTTGCAAACATAACAGTCTCGTCCCACCAGTAGTGCTTGCTCACGCACTCGTATATGCGAGCCATTTGTCGACATCACTTTTGTTGGTTCCGCAAAGAGTGCCGGAGTCTAGAAGGTGACAAGGAATCACAGGGGATGGAGTTGGCACGGACTGCAAAGAGGCAGAAGACTGCGGGCCGTCTTCAGGCATGGTGGCCGGACGAAGGTGGCGGCCGCTGCGGAGATCCAGAGCCGGGTTGTTCTAAGACACGCTACCTCCTCCAAAACAGATGTTACGGGGAGTGTTTACTTAGGGGCCGTCAGTCGGTACCAGAGCGGGATCACAGTGCACTGGGTGCACAGAATGCAAGTCAACAGGACAACCCAGACCCGGCCCCACAACAATTTTGTCATCTTCCATTCAGAGCTATTTCAGCGGCTCTGCCAAAATGGTATTTCTGGCAGAGATATGCACACTCTCTTAGTCTGTAGTTGTCTTGCTGCGTTACTATGGACATTCTTAATCAGTTATGTCAAATATATGGGTGTAGGTGCAATTGTTACACTGAATTATTAACCAATCTATCTATGCACAGATAGTGATCAGGACAACCTTACATACAATGTGAACAACGTCATGGCCACATGAAACATTCAAGTCATATCGCTTTATACTGTTTTCTATAAACTGCAACGATTTGCTTCAGGCAATCTATTTAATCGAATTTTTCGATAAGCTTGAACTGTTGAGCAACCATTATTTAGTTCCTATTAAGAGGAATTCAGATAACAGAAACACAGCCAGAAGGTACTTTATGTTCTCCTTAATTGAGAGAGTCCACTTGCTGTCTTTGCTTCGAAACATCAAATATATCTGCACGCTCTTAATTTGCTCTGCAACCGCTCCCCTTTGCGTCTTGTGCAAGCCACTTGCCTTCAGATGGTCTAGCCAAGGGAATGGAGACAGGAAGAGGCGAAACGTCACGGGACTGGAAGGCACCAGCAAAGAGGTTGTGCATGTAGTAATCCAGGTATCTGCAAGGGGAAAAAGAAGGCAAGAAAGCATGCAATGGGGAAGAATGTTAGACTGTCAGAAGAACAGTGTTCAGAGAAATCAAATCGGCAAGTTTTGCACTGAAAACAAAAGACGACGTGCCAGACACAATAGGGCTCATGTTTATCAACAATGCAGCAGCCACAGTATACAAGGTCTGAAAGCCACAGTTGCACAGTAAATCACTGTACCAATTAGGTGTTTCATTTTATGTTCAGCAGTCTGCTACAAGAATGATATCAAAAACAAAGTTATATTTTGACATCTTGGTAAGATAAATATGGGGGTAACACTAGGAACCAGTCCATGATATAATTGCTGATCATACATGCTGACAAAACACGCAAGGTTAGAACAGAGCAGTTCTAAATTGTCACTCGCAAACCTACTCAGGCCTTTTACAAGATGATCAGGAGCCAGTTTATAGAGGCTCACCTTTGAAATACATCATGCATCGCAAGAGTCAGTGAAAGACCTAAACCCAATATAATGCAAAGATTGTTTTTACTCAATACATTCCTTTCTCATACTAATCTACAGCTCACAGTCACCCAATCTTGGCAATAGTGTAAGCGAAGTGCCACGTGAAGAACTCACAAAGGACATACAAAAAGTGAAAGAAAGAAAAATCAGAACAGAATCCTTGCACTATTTCAGTCTCTGCAAAGAACCTGCAGCAAGCTATCTGAGCAAAATCTTGTTCTCCATATACATCCCAATAAAATTATGAAAATTAAAAATGGGACAAATATCCAACTAGACTTGCAATTTTGCAAGTTCCTGCTTTCTATTTTTCACATGCACATTAGTTCAAGTTGTTGTGTCTAAGTAAGCTGTTTTATACTTCCAATTAACATTTTGAAGTCTAAAAGCTAACCTACTTAGACATGGCATGGCTCCAGCAAATCGAGTTTTTTACACACATTTGTCTCGTATTGAAATAAATGTGCAAAACAGATAGCTTGGGCAACCCACGAGTAAGCCAAGCTATCCACAACACTACCTAAAACCAGGCCCTTTATGCAATTCAGAATTTTTTCACAGTTGCAACAAATATCGCTGTCCCCAAAGGGCATAATTATATTAGAAATAACGGCCTACAGCGCAAAATACATCTAAACAGAAGTCGGAATGTAATAAAGCTGGCGTACAGTTTAACTAGCTTCTGTCCAAGGCTGCCCGGCCGTTCTTTGAAGCCAACTTCAGACTGCACTATTCCGTACGGGTAGAGGACATCAATTGGGAGCTCCACAAACACAGGGCCTGTAACAGACACACATAGTGCACTTAGCAGGTCACAAAAAAAAAAGAGGAGCACACTATTGCAGCAAGATAGAAGAAAAAAGAAAGAAAACTGAAATGTATGAGCAAAACGAGTTGAAGAAAACATCTTTCTTGGCTAATTAGCACGTGAATTTCTGCTGAACACTGATGTATATAAAAAAATTTGACGGATCCCTCGTACGTTGGGAATCGACGTTATGCGAAGCATGCGGAGGGAAGGTGATGGTGTTGCAATTTTTTGTTGAGCGACACGTTATGAAATGACGCTAAATGTATGTACAAATTGTGCACACACAGATATTGCAGATGTTTATATAACCAGTTGCAGATGTTTATATAACCAGTTGTTTGCACTGTTGCAACAATATTAACAGAAACACCAGTATTAGCAATACCGGAAGGGATAAGCTGATATGAAGCCCTGGTGCTCGCAAAGATGGTAGCCCTGGACACTGCTTCATAATTCAACTTCAGCGCATGGCACCTAAACTACGATTGATGTTAACCCGCCTTGACAGCTGCATAACATTACACATGCAATGCTTATAAAATTAGATAACCAGCACTGCAACCGCAGTTGACGTTTCACGAACGTTAGAGCTTATTTGAAAAGTAGTTGCGAGACCTGGTGTGGCTATATAGTAGAATGCTTCATTGTCGCAAGGAATGCTCGGGTTCCATTCCTGCTGGGATGATAAGGCTATCCTAGATTTGAGCCCGGGACCTATGCGTTTTGAACACTTTGGTCTACCATGTGAGCTGAACAGGAGGCTAGAAATCGCAGCACGAGGGTGATTTAATGAACAGGTACAAACACAGAAACACACACCATGGAAAAAGACAGTTTACACTAGCCGTGTAAAGTTTAAGAAACAGCGAAGCTGATCGACCTTAGGGGTTTAATGTGGCCGTCTTAGCTGTATGCAAGGGTTTCCTTGGCGTAGACAAAAATTCAAAGCACAGCCTGTCACAGATTATTCAAGAATCTTCAAGCTCCAGCATCAGAACTGACAAGCAAAGCTGGCTGCGGCAGCCCCTGTAGAAGCGTGACCTTGTTGTCGCTCGTATTTGGCTCGCGCGGCGGCTGCGCGGACTGTCTCTCTCAGTGAGCACAGCTGATAAGCAGCGGTGCAGAGGGCTTTCTGTGGACACCCAACGTTTTAACCTGAGCTTCATTTCTACTAAATGATACAAATATGTCACTGTCGATCTTCCATCCCTGTCAAAGTACTCGTATTCATGGTGTAGATCTCTGGTAAGCATAGGTCGGCACTTTGAGAGACTACTCACTCATACTAACTCACCACAATTTTTTCAGCCTTCACCCTCACTCACGTTCATACTCACATCTACTCCCACTCATAGGCCTTCACTCACGTTCATACTCACGCCTACTCGCACTCAGAGTACTCACTCACGTTCATACTCACTCCTTCTCACACTCAAAGTACTCACTCACGTTCATACTCACTCCTTGTCACACTCAGAGTACTCACTCACGTTCATACTCACTCCTATTCACACTCAGAATACTCATTTACGTTCATACTCACTCCTACTCACACTCGGAATACTCATTTACGTTCATACTCACTCCTACTCACACTCATGAGCACCCACTCACGTTCATACTCACTTCTACTCACACTGAAAGTACTCATTCAGGTCCATACTCACTCTTACTTATACTCATCAGTACTCACTCACGTTCTACTCACTCCTACTTATACTCATCAGTACTCACTCATACTCACACTCACCATGTTCAAATGAGTATGAATGAGTGTGAGTGAGTGTACTCATGAGTGAGTACGCCGAGCTATGCTGGTAAGTGGTCAGTAATCTCGGAAATCACGAGACACAGAACAAACGTGTAGCGATGCTAAATCATAATTTAAAAAAAGAAAGGAGAATTGCAAGCCAGAGTGTCCTGTTTGGAAAAAATTTGTCTGAAAGTACTTGAAAAATTCAACATGGTGCGACCTGTACTAGACACTGCGAGTGTGTCACCTGCAAAAAATTTAGACCTCTTCAATGGGACTTGCTTAGATGCTGTCATATTGTTCACACTACAGCTGCAAATAATGTGCACCTTGCCACTGTCAACTTCCGCACTGAAGCTGTAATAGGCGAACATACCTGGTGTGTCAGACTGCGCCTTCTGCAGTGCTGTTCGCAGCGTAGGAACAATGTCTCTTACTGTAGTGACCGTCGCCGTAAACTTGCACAGCGACTTGAATAGCGACAGCTGATCAATGTCTTGAAGAGCACCTCGCCCCTGGCACGTGAAAAAAATTTTGAAGGAATGAGAAGAGGTCACCAGGCAACTTGTAGTGCTTCAGATACAAAATAAGTTTCATTCAGAACTCATTTTAGATGTACAGGTTCTGAAAATAGAAACAAATGTTGAATTTCGGTGAAAGAGTCAGAGCAGGAAACGGACTCTACAAGCGAGCACTCGACTCAGGCGTAAAGCAATGCCTCCAAATCTGGGACTGGAATATACAACACATGCCGCTAGAGCGAGGCAGAAGTGGAAGTTCTATCTTTCAGGTGACAAGTTGCTCAGGATATGTTGCATGTAGTTATTCTATTCCATTTTTGAATTCTCTCAAGTTCCCGTTCATACGTGGCAGTTTCAGCGTTGCTGTCACTGTCCAAATGATCGCTAGTGCAGGTACTGGAGTTTTCCGACCATAAGCTGTCGCTAGACTAAAACCTCGATATAATGAACCCGGATATAACGAAATATCAGTTATAACAAATTAAATTAAGAATATTCTTGCAATAGACATAGTTTTAGGAATACACCTTATAACAAATTTTAGATGCAACAAACTTATTTTTGTGTAAGATGCAACTTCTTTATATATGAGGTTTGAGTGCATTATCATTTGTCGTGTGTTGCATGCCAAAACTATTACTTAATAACCAAGCACGCACTGATGGGAGATCCCGGATTATTTTGACCACCTAGAGTTCTTTAACGTGCATTTCAATCTATCTGCACAAGCGTTCTCACATCTCGACCACACCGAAATGTGGCTGTTACAGCCTTGAATCAAACTGCATCACCATACTCAATGACTCAACACTGCACCTTGGTAGACTACTACTACTGTAAGCTCTCTTTAAACAAAAGCTGAAGGGTCCAGGAAAATGTGTTGCGTTTAACAGGAGTTTCATTTACTGAGAGATGAACAGGGGAGCAGAATACAAGTACCAAACCAATCATATCAGAGACAGTTGTTCCATTTAGGCAGCAGTTCTAACAGATTTCCATTTATGGGGTCTCTTGGTACAGGTAACTATGGGCATAACTTCCAAAATCAAGAATCTTTAAAAATTAGTTAAAATTAGTTAAAAGCTTTGCTAAAACCAATTCTAATACTTACTTGTTCCTAACCAATACTTAGCACAGTTTTCTTGAGGTCGACCTTTACATAGGATATCAGAAAGACGCACAAGGCATCAGCATCCAGACTGAAAATAATATCTTCATTTGCTCAGCTAAAAGATTGCGAAAGAGCAACCTGTGACAATAGGCCTCTCTGAAGTGTATTGCATGCATCTGCATGCATCCTATTATTTATACAGAGCATTAACATAAGATTTATAATAATAATTACATAACATATATTAATATTTACATAATTATTTTACATTAATAGTACATACATATATTAACCACACTTTCAGACTGCAATGCGAAAATATTCACCCTGAAGCATGGTCAAACGTACTAAATCACAGTTTATTAAAAAAAAATGATGTAGTCCGTGCTTTCCTTAGCCAAATTGTCTGCTGGATTCAATTGATAGTGAGTAACAAAGAAATAAGCCCCTCAGAAAGATTTCCCTTCTCTCATGCGCTTGGGGGTTGTACTAGAAGAGAAAGTTGGGTAGTTGATGGTTCATGCTTGGAATGTAAAAGCAGACCAAAATTAGAGACAAGGACTGAAAAATAGACGAGACTGAGTTGCGAGTTCAGCGCCTGTGTTGTCTCTTGTTCAGTACTTGTCTCTATTTTTGCGCTGTTTTTACATCCCTAGCTGAGGGGGAAGTTTGAGGCGGGGTAGAAGGTATGCAAAATGCCTATCCACTATCAAGTTCACCTTGACAGCTGTGGCAGCTGCACCGCCAAGCAAGAGCACAGGCGACTCGGCCATCTGAGCATTCTTGATCGCAGTAACAGTGTTCGTCAGACCTGCAAAAGCGTTCTTGTTATTTTGCTAGTAAAGGTATCATTAAAGCTTGAGAGAGGTCACTCAAACCTCATATCAGCCAGCAAAGCTAATTGAACGACAAACCACAGTCCCTCGCAATTTGAGTTGAAATATTGTGCCCATCATCAGAAGTGGCCAAGATAACAGAGCTGGTTCTGCCATAAATAAAGATATGATGAGCTGTGTTTTAATTAGCAATAATTTAATTAACCATGTTGCAGCTAATAATGAGCATGACTGCCAATGCTGCTTTGTTTTTCAAGCGAGAGAATCAAAATCAGCAGAAGAATGCTCAATGCTTGGCAAAAAGTTTATATACCCACAGAAAAAACAAACAAAAAGCGTGTAATTCCTAATTAACAGATCAAATATTCGGTCACAAAGACTTGCAGCTTACAATGTACTAGACAATGCAACAGTACGTTTTGCATTGAAAGCATTGCATCAATCCATGCTTGGAATGAATAGTTAAGAGAAGCAAGTAATAAGAGCTGCTGTTGCAATTGAAAAAGAGTGACAAATTATAAATTAAGCCAGACAAATCGTACAGAGATCACAATTGATATTGCTTAAGGTTTGATTCATACATTGAAGAAAATATATTTCAACAGCTACCATGTAGAAGATCATTAAAAGTGTTAAGAGGTAAAACCATCCTAAATGTTACTTATGCACCAAGTCCAAGACAGTACATTGGGGAGATTGACGTAAAACAAGTACCTGGTCCAGCTGTGACAGCGGCTACCCCGATCTTTCCAGTAAGCCTCGCCACCGCATCAGCTGCAAAGACTGCATTCACCTGTTCGTACAAAAAATTGTGATCAAATAGTCCGTCGGACAGTGCTTCACAGACAAGATTCACAGGCCGCTTTACTATACACCTAGAGAAAATTGGTTGTTGAGCTAGTTGGTTCTGCATTACTGAAGCATTAAATTGATGACAGCTTATGCATAAAAAAAAAAGATATTGCTGCTTCCCTCACAACAGTCTAATTAGCAGGGAAGGTTTCTACAGATAACACTCTATTGTCATGCATGTATGCAGAAAGACAGCAAACTGACACATGTACATCAAAGGGAGCTGCAATATCAAATTAACAATAGCACATCAAAGCAGTTGTGGAAGTAGTCAAATTAATTGAGTTATGCAATAGATGGCTGCTTTATACACCAAAGTTTTTTCTTTGATAAGGCAAGCTTTCAGTGAAAGTCGAAAAGAAGCGTTACCCCTCCTGTTTAGAATGTTTGCCTCCAAGCATTGAGTGCTACATCCATAAAGGGTATTTATTTATGCAGAACTTTTTCCTGATAATAAGTTGTGAGAGTTGAACTTGTATTCATGTCTTCCTCGTACAAGTTAGTCTACACTAATTCAGCAAATACTGCACCTCATGTTAGAAAAAAGCCAGAGATCACAGGAGGTTTTCATTAAAATGCTGATGACTATGAAACCATTACAGAAGCGCAGCATCATCCACATACCTCATGCCTAGTGTCCACAACACGAATGCCTTCACGTTCTGCCGCCACCAAGATGGGTGAAATGTGACCACCACTGAGGCAGAACAAAAACTTGACATCATGTGCCTGAAAAAACAAAATCCACAACGATGACACTGGTTGTGTGTCGAGAGCCAATACACCAAGATGACCTGCAAACCCATGACCTTTCTTTTCGCTGCACTAAGCAGTTTTTTTTATTTTATGTTATTTCCCATACTAAATTACACAGGACTAGAAAAAGAAAGGCTGCATAAACAGCTTGAAAGGCACACTGGTTATGACCGTGCACGACTAGACTTGGCATCATAGCAAAATGAAGAAAGACTTATTTTAAATTTTTTAAAAGAAAGACAAAATTTAAATTCTCTTATTACAAATATTTGGCTGAAACAAACAAAAAGTTAACATGACTTATAGCAATAAAAGTATTTAAAAATAACGTATCCAATGGAGTACTCGAAGAGATATGCACATAGTAATATTCTTAATTTATATTGCTACGTGCCAGTGAATGGAGATGAAGAAAACAAAGCAGATAGACTGGCACGAGCTAATCTCTGTGGCTGGTGCTGCTCGCTTAACCGGCAGTAAATACATCTGTGACTACTCCTCCGAGCCGGTCTCCTTCTTGTAACATAATTGGTGGAGTTGTGTGATCCCCGTCCTCGCCACGGAACTCCGAAGTGGACGCTGCCTCGCGGCTTTTAACATTACCACTCAAGACTCAGCTACATCCTCTCCGGTCGCCCGCCCTTCTGCCCAGCCTGCCAATACAGCGCCCGAAAAAACTTTCGTGATGCTTCCCGCCCTCAAAGACCCTGGCGTGTTCTCGGGCCGTGAGGGTTCCGACGTCGACCAATGGCTACGCCTCTACGAACGTGTCAGCGCCACTTACAGGTGGGATCCCCCACTTACGCTCGCGAACGTCATCTTTTATCTCGATGGAACCCCTCGTGTTTGGTTCAACAACTACGAGCATGACATTACAAGCTGGGACAGCTTCAAGGAAAAGATCCGTGGGCTTTTTAGGAACCCCCCAGTCGTCGCCAAGCTGCGAAGAATGAGTTGTCAACTCGCGCAAAAAGTTCCACAGAATCCTACATCAGTTATATTCAGGCTGTCCTCGCACTATGCTGCCAAGCTGACAAAACATGTCCGAGCCGGACAAAGTTGCGCATATTCTAAAGGGTATCGCCGATGATGCGTTCAACTTTTTGGTATTCAACAATGTGTCATCTGTTGATACCATTATTCAAGAATGCCACCGGTTCCAACAAGCTAAAAGTAGGTGCATCTCCCATCAGTTCCAGCGCCTCCCGAATACCACTGACACGTCCTTGTGTCTAGACATCTCATCCACCAGACACCTGTGACAACTTGACGTGACTCGTCAGGCGGGAAATTGAAGCGGCTGCTCCAGCTAAGGTATGACCAACGTCCCCTGACCCCTCTCCTCCAATTATGTTGCCCCTCATTCGAGCAGTTGTCCGGCAGGAAATCACCAGCTTGGGAATTTACTCTATTTCACCGCCTCCCCGCACCAACCTCCAGCCCCAATACACACCTGCGCGTCCCTGCACGGCCATTTATATTCCCGGTTATCCTGCGGCGCGCTAGTAGGGGCAGAAACGTCTGCGCAGAACCTGAACAAATTAGAGGTGTTACAAAAAAAAGTTCTTAGAACATTTAAAAACTTTTATGGGCTTCCTGGCGAACTTGGTCCTCACCAGCTCTTTATAAACCATGATCTTACCAGAGCAAGTGACCTTTAAGCATTTAAACTCATACTTCATACTCACAAAAACAAATTTCATCATCATTCGGTTGACAGCTCCTGCCGATACACTCTCTTAAATCAATGCAGACAAGTTCCCATTTCTCGCACATGTTACGGATAATGCCTTTTAAGATATCAGATACATCAGATTGAACAAATTTTCAACTAGTACCGAATTCCAACTGCCTGAACATAAGTTCAGGAGACACGTGAGAAGTCTGCTGCTCAACATATAGCATCTGCTTAAACGGAACTATCTGTATTTTATCATGTTTTTGGATTTAATCCTTTTGTATAAAAATTATTGTTTTTGTGCAAGTGCACACAAGATTTATGTAACCCATGTACAATCTGTGTGTTTGCTTTGTTTACTAAAAACAAACAAGCTCTTACTTTGGCCTATGCATGTTTAGTTAATTCCAAAATATTTTTAAATACCTTCTTTGGGCTCTCTCAAGATGTCTGCGACATCTTTTCACTGAAGGACCTCCAACTTGGTGTGTTGGAAAAAAAAACTTGACTTATACCTCCTAGTTTTCGCGGGATACACAAAAGCTTATGACGATTTTTGCTTGAATGTGCCGCGAACAGAAATCGAAGAAAGCCACAGTCCACCGAAATGCGAAGGAACTGGACGTACCTTAAGCACGTCGGCTACCAAGTCACCGCCATTCCGTAGTGACGATTTGTCGACCTGCGGCCAGAGAGAAAGACACGTATAATATTTCCTACGACTAATTAGAAACTGAGTTCGCTGTTGGGCTGTTCCGTGAACATAGTCATCAAGAAACGACACACAATTTAACGGAATAAACAATGACGCTTAAATCTGTGTGCGCTGTCTAAATCACGGCCTCCTCTGGTCAAAATATTGATTCATATCTCGCCGTAATTCATTTTTCTGTGGTGTCTTGCGCTTACATCGCGAGGAAAATATTAACCAGCACTATCCGACCGCTACTTTAGAACTAATCATGAGACATTGATTCTCCTGTGCCGCTCTAAAGTTATACAGCGCATATGAACACGATAAATAAAAGCATATGCACTCTGCGCGTGGTGCACGCATTTTAGCGAGTTTCAGCACTGCCTTCGGTTTACCACAACACGTCTAAAGTCTGCGTGTTTGCGCATGTTTTTTTTTTTTTTTCGGTTCGTTAACGTTTGGTTTGCCTGCTTCGTGGTTGTCCGCAGTATTGCGCGCTCACAAGCGTGCGCTGAGCGATCAGACAAAACTATTCGGTTCTCAATACACGCTTTTTCTTCTTTTCCTCATTGGCGAAAAAGCGTGTTCGGGCGGGATCACCTGTCTATCGGGAGAACGAGGAACTCACCTTGAAACGCAAGTTCGCGAGCAGCGACAACTTCCTGCTAATGCCCGCTATTAAACCGCCAAGCACCATGACTGCTGCTGGAACCCACAGGTCTGCCAATGTCGGGGCGCTCAACAGAGACATCATGGGACGATACAACAGGTTAGGCGTTACGAATAATACAAAAAAAAAAAAATGTTGAGCGCGCGCGCGCTTCAAGCACACTACGCAGCCGTGACGGCAGCTCACGCACCTGTTAGAATCGGGATGAGTGCAGCGGCCGAATAGCCGGAAAAAGAGAACACCGCACGCACATAACGAAGAGGGCGCAGTAAAACAACAAATGTAATTAATTCGACCTCAACAAGAAGCACTGAACATAGTAAAGTTTCCGCCACAGAAGCAAAACCCGGAATACGCGTGTGCAGTTACGTCATCTAGCGGTTAATTGCAACTTGTTGTAAGCACACCTGGGCAGTACCGCGTATCTGCATTTCGGTAGCGAGAGACATCTCAACATTGAAATATTTTTACTATGTATCTACTGTATTGCAATGCTATGGAGAACATGAGTATTTCCTTAAAGATGACTTAGGTGGATGGATGCTATGAACGGCAATGAAGGTGTCACCAGGCCCAACAAATAAAGGAAAAAAAAAATCCCTGTTTCTTTTAAATTGATTCGTTTGATTCATTCATACGTGGGATTTAACGTCCCGAAACCATCGTGGGATTATGAGAGACGCCGTAGTAAGGGTTCCGGAAGTTTTGACTACCTTTTTTTTTTTTTAAGAGGCCCTGAAACACTTATTCAAGTAACCATAAGATAAATTCACTGAAGAGCTTCTACACCGCAAAAAAAAAAAGAAAGAAAACATCCGTCTAGTGAGAGTGGAGTTGCAATGATTTGTTGAATGCTGCAATTGCACTCTTTCTTTTCTCGTTCCGACGAAAGCACCGAAAGCTAAGCAGAACTCGAGGGATTGGCATGGGCAAGGAAAATACGTCGCGCACGGCTTGTGACCTTGAGCACTTTTTCTCTTCGAATGCGCGGCTTGTCAGTGTGATCGCGCGCGCACGCGTGGACCTTAGCCACTAGAACACCGCAGCGGGGAAGTTGGCCGAATGTCTTGATTGTCTATTTCGATTATAAAAAACAAAAGATGCAAATTCATATCCCAGTACTCTGTCCAAGTTATTGAGGAACCTACCAACCAACCAACATTCAAGACAGAATGTCCTTATTTTTGACACTACTTGCTTTGTCCTTTAACTGTCTCTTGGCATTCCTATCGCCTGTGTGTTCAGCCTACCATTGTCGTCCCTGAAACCCAAGGCTTCATGTAGGCCCTGTGGGGAACAGAACTCATAAATGTCACAGCAAAATATAGCGGAAGTGCTTCAGTACCTGCATGACTAGAGAAGAGATATTGCCATGCTGAGGAACTCTCCGGCCATGAAGTCGATATTTAATCGTTATAAAATTAACTCGTGCTCTTCTGCAGCAGCAAAAAGATTTTTTTCTTGTCCATGATTTTTTTCTTGAGGCCAAACTAAGTCTGTTTACACGGCAGCCTATATCAGAAGCTGCTGTAGTTTCAGTGCATTTAAAGAAACACTCTTCTCAGACAAACAGATCTTGTGAGCTGAATAAATGCATGCATTCTTTATTTAACAGGTGTTTGTAAATGATTCGAGGGATACGCCTGACTTGCAAGTTCCATTGCGTGCAACGTTATTTACTATATTCACGATTGCTGTGCTTTACGTCTTCGCGGAGCATCAGCATCCTCAAAATAAAAAATATATATATATTTTAGTATCCGTTTTTCTGTATGAGTATTCCAGGATACTTTTTTCGTCTTTTTATAGAAGAACCTTCTAAATATCCCATTAAGTGTCAATATATATCAATATCTGTATTTTAGGCTTTCAGTACATGCATTTTGAGCCGTGTCAGTATTACGTTGGAGAACTCTGTTGCGACAGATGTAAAATAGCGGTGGGGAGAGACAGAGACAGTATAAACATTTATTCAATGACAAAAAAAATGATTTTGGTCTTCATAACTCGGGAGGACATCTACAGAGAAGTTTGAAGGAGGACATTCTTGCCGTGGTCCAACGCACCGTCATTAAAAGTTCGAAATTCAGGACGAGACCAATCTTATGAAGATACAGCTCTTAAATTTTTCCTCCTGCATACTGCCATTGTGTAACCTTTCTTCAGACTATTTTATGAAAGTGCCTGGTGCCGAGGAAACTTTCTTTGTGCCTCTAACTTTAGCATTTACCTTGGTGCCATTTGTTACCCTTCACAAGAAAACCCTAGCGAAGCACCAGATTTTGAAAATTCAAGCTTCTCTGTGCTAATGTATCTTTGAATTCTTTATTTACATGCAGGGACTGCCCTCATCTATATTCATGGATGGTATCTCACGCAATGGCCACCAAAATGCCATTGTGTACACATAGCTTTGTTTCAATAACAATTTCTACTCGTCTATCCCCTTCAGGCATGAATTAAGATGCACTGCCTACAAATTTGTCAAATTCACATAACTTCAAGGCACTCAGTATTACATTCCGAGAAAGTAAATTAAGCAATGTGTTGTGAATTTTTCCTTAATTCTAATTAGTATGTAATCAAATATTTCATTTTCTTGCAGTCATGTTCCCTTTTGACATGAAAAGAATGAAATCACGGGCTCCAATTGTGTGCACAAGTAGTTTTAGGTTGTACTCATTTTGGGAAAAGAAAAGTGGTACCTTTTATTTCAGTCCTGGCGCTGACACGTCAAACGTAGCAATACCTTCACCAAAGTGATAGATTACAGTCATAGGTAGCACACTGCAGTTTAAATTGAGAACATAAACTGCGGTGAAGGTTCAATTCACTCAATGAGAAATTATGCATCTTGCTCTCTCTGCACCACAGGTTGACACAACTAGCATAAACAAATTGTGTACACAGACGTAACCAGTGCCTCTGAAGGTCCGGTATGTTATGTGCTGCTAGCAAATAGAATGCTTCAACCAAGTACCTACAATCACCAAGAGTGCCACTTTCAAACCTGCTCTAGAAGATGTCAACTTTTACATGTCTTACACGATCTAGTATAGTTGTGGCAAAATTTCACCCAGCAGCCCTTTCTAGCACAGAGAGAGACCTATACAATGCGTAACCACAGCAATCACACAATGTTTTCTTACCAAACTCACTGCTCACTTTTTATGAATAAGAAAAATGAAGGCCCTCTCTTCAAAGTACCGTACAGTTATGTTTAAGGTCTACAGCATAAAAAAGACAGTGAGAACCTCAAGGAGATAGGCAAGACTGTGCTGAAAAAAACACTATTACAATTAGATTTCATAAATACGATAAACATATAATCCCAATTTTATCCACACAATCGTGCAAACGTTTATTCAACACGTTCCGTATTCTCTGCACTGGCACGCATGTCATAAAGGCGGTCATACACCCTCTCGTAAATTCGCCGAATGATGAATATTTCGTCGACCAGCGCCTGTGTGACCATTTGCACAAAGGCGAGCAGGATCACAAAGACGAGGCAAGCTCCCGTAATGATGGTGGCATTTTCGCGCATGAGTCGATGCACTGCGTCGACACAGTTGCCAGTGTACACTGTGAACCAAGCATCGTAGTCGGTCCTGTTCAACACTCCCTGACCACAGCTCAGGTTCACCACCTACAAATAAAGCACATCACTTGAAAGCAACTTGTATGCATTTAAAGCCCTAACACTGCCAACAAGACTTTGGCACGGTGGTGTTAGAACAGTAGCGACATTTGCTTTATATCTGCACAGTAAATATATAAACCTTTAAACTCAACTATAGTGTAACTTTTAATGCATTTATTATTGCTGACCGCACAATACGACTTTTAGGCACTGAAACAACAGACATAGTGAGAAACACGCAGAACGCCTAAATTTTGTAGTGCCTAGCAGTCATGCTTACGAAATCGCACCACAAGATGTGTCAATATTTCTCAGTGCTATGTTTCAAATAAGAAGGATTGCACAAAAAAAAAAGAAAGAAAAGAAACTGCACAGAAGCAAGAAAAAGGGACAGAACTTGCACAAGTGCCGTCACGTCTTTGCCTTCTGTGCTGTTTCATTTTCCCCGCAATCCTTCCTTTCTGAAACAACGCATCAACTAGCCCATAAACATGTGCTATTAGACTGGTATGCTAACAATGCTTCCACTCACCCCCCCCTATCCTTCCTATTTGTTTCATGGACATGCACCACGTCGACTTGGAGGACGCCTGAGCTTCACTTTCAAGAGTAAATGCGATGGCACAGTCGGACCATGTCTGTACTGCCTTTCCAGTCACCAGCCTGGCTTAATTTCTCAGTGCAGACTCAAAGCGTCTTGCAAGGTAAGCAAAAGTGCAGACACCCTCAAGGTCCGATATGCCTGCATGCGGCACAACAAAACATGACCACACGGCAGGGAAAGGCCACTTAAGAGAGCTGCAATGGGCACTTTGTGCCATCTCACCGGTGTTGTATAAAGCCATGAATGAGCCTTTGAGATGTGCATACCACCAATGCTAAGTTGTGTGTATAATAAAATAGCTCACCGTTAGTATGCTAAAGAATGTTTGCACGATGAAGAAGCGGCTAAACATATCGCACTACGGAGCAAGGGTTGGCATGTTTGAATCCCCGGTCACAAGCGAAATGAAGATTTTTTGTTATTCCTTTATTTGATTCTACCTCGAATTTTTGCTAATGAACAATAATGATTTACCCACTGCTGCTTCCTGTCCATACTCCCCTACAACATACCGGACGGCCTCCACAATTGGGGCACTGGATTGGTGCAATTGGGGTGTTTGCCACTGTGCACAATCTTGGAGGCCATGCTTTCAGTTTGTTCTGTTTCTTCTTTTTTCTTTTTCAGATTATTGCATTTGAAAGTGGGGTGCAGCCTATACACGACGGTGGCTTATACACGAGTATAAACAGTTTGAAGTGTCTCTTTAAGAATGCACCTTCATTACTGATCATATAGATCATAGATGATCTATATGAGTCTTTATATGAGTCTATATAGATCATATAGACTCATATAAAGACTGGACATTTTGTTTTTCCCAATTTTTATGAGATGTGGCACTTACGTGGTACAGAGCCATTCAGTCAAGTTTTCACAACTACAAGCACAAAATCTGCAATCATTCTGCAATTGCGCACCCTCACAAAAGTGATTGCCAGATTTATTCATCAACTTGTATATGCCACACAGTAGACTACTAATTTTTGCATACCCATTTCTTCTACTAGCATTAAATTCACCAGAGAAATTGTGAGTTCAAGTGATCTTCAACGTCACCTATGCAGTTAAGAGATACCAGTTAATTCAATGCTCCGAGCCATTATTTGGAATTTGTCGTGTAGAATTGATGTCAGTACTTGGGATGCAGAAATCTAAATTTCCTTTTTTTTGACATTTATTCTCATTTGGACTTGCACTTTCCAATTTCACACTGCCATGTTGAGGGTGCAGTTCTTATGTGAGTCTATGTGGCACCACTTCTTTGAAGTTGCTGCCTTCTCAATGCCTAATGAACAAAGCAAATTACTTGCACACCTCTTCAGTGCTGTTTCGCCTGCAGCAGGAGTAAGGGACCGAGCAGCGCTCACTGCTGGGATTAGTTCGCGAGCAGTTGAAGTACATGTTGCTGTTCCAGTCCCGGAAACTCCTTTGTGACAGCCCGCAGCACTGCAGATCCTGCTGTATGTGAGAACACCCAAATTATACAAGGCTGCGATTATTGCTAAACAAGTGCAAATTAAACTGGAATGCTTTATACCTTACCCTAGCATAGTATGCTCTGGTGGGATCAGGTGTGGTTTACTCCATATGCTCTGGTGGGATCAGGTGTAATTTTACTCCGGCAAGTCCGGATGTGATAAACACATCAAGGGACACTAAAGGCAAATGGAAACTTAGTCAATACAGATAGATAAATAGTAGGTGAGGTGATCTAGGGCATCGATGTTTATTTATCATGCCAATTTAGAGGCAGAGATATTGTAGTAAATGTTGGATACAAGTTGGGGCTCCAGCAGGACATTTTAGTACAAGCGTGACACAACGCCACCTCACAATGAATCTGTCCCCAGTGCTTAGCCATTCACGATACACAGACCAATGCAGCATGCAATAAAATGCTAACTCGGCGATGCTAATTATTTCTTGGAGAATGAATCCTTTCTGCATTACCTTAAACAGTGCGCAAGCTGGCATTCTTACAAAGATTTCAGTCTAACAGATACCAATCTGTGGACATGAATACAATCTTCTAGCTTTTATTACCATGCAACTAACACACAGAAGCTCATTTCTCAGCTGAAATGATGACAAAGCATCAAAAATGCTCCGAAATTTGTACTCGGGATATGCTTCTACAGATGTACCAAGCTGAAATTCATTTTTCACTAGAAGTGAACAATGCTGTCCTTGCTTGTGAGCATTTACTTTGCGACAGGTGACAAATGCAACGTTGCAAGGATGGCCTCACCAGGCTATATGGTGCCCAAAGAGGTTTAGGAATATCTGAAGAGGAGGCTGTCCATTGAAATTAAAGCCATCCGTGGCCATCTTAACCACGAGAATTCATTAATAACAGCACACAGGTATATATACAGGATGTTTTTTTTTTCTATACAGATTTTTTTCTCAAGGTTTTCTTATTGTTCCTGGTGAGGTTCCTGCGTGGCATGCCATCACTTTATTTATGTAAAGGGAAGTTCTCATGAGACACAGCATGGAGACTGCCCTTCCGGCGCACTTGGTGCACTCAATTCCTGTATCTCCGGCATAGTGTTCGGGAAATTAGACGGCGGATCTCTCGAACTATGCGCAATATTTTAGATTTTAAAAATAAGGCTACCGATAAATTGTGACATACAATAACTTTGCCACATAAACAACCACCCTTAAATTGATAATAAAAAGTTCATTTTTTGTCAAGTCACCCTGTTTAGTAGCAGATATAAAACATTTCCTACAAACAGATTGCTTGCTCTAGAAGTACATATGATGCACTGGTTTTAGCGTAGAAACTTAAATGCCACAACTACTTGTATAAATGATACCAGTAGTCCAAACAAGACACTCCAATTTTTTAAATTAGTCTAGAATACAAATTAATGAAGCAAGAACAATTTAATTGTGCTTACACAGTCTCCAGCTGTTCGGTCAACTCACAAAGCATATGTGTACGTAGGCAAGCACTGACTTTACTGTTGTTGGCATCATTCAGCATGGGCTGTCCCTACAGAATTTTCTTTCTGAACTTCTTTGACAATGCACGCCACCAGCTAATGGGCAACGTTACTAACAGCACGTCCCCAACCTCTCGATCAACGGAAGGGCGGGGAGGTGCTGCAATGGCTTCCCCTCCCCCCTAACGGAGAACCGTGTGCACGCCTATGGGTAACATCTGTCCTCTATCTTTACTGGCGGCGTGAACGTCTTTCCATCAAGTGTACCTACCTGTCGCAGTGTTCTAGTGGTCAGGGTGCTCAACTGCTGACCCGCAAATCAGCAGGATCGAATCCCGGCCACAGTGGGGCCGCATTTTGGATAGAGTTGAAAATGCTTAAGGCCCATTTACTTAGATTTATTTAAGTGTACGTTAAAGAGTCCCAGTTCGTCGAAGCTTGCAGAGCCCTCGGGGAGGGCATCTCTGCAGTCATAAGGTGATTTTGGGACGTGAACCCCAGTTGTTTATTATTATTACTGTCATCTATCTTACCTGTACGGAGTCAATGAGGTGCTGCAAGTCGGGGCTGTCCCGGTAGTGCACGACAAGACGCGTGCTCAATGTGTTAGCGCACCATGCGCTTCAGCTGCGAGGGCAGCGAGAACACCAGCAGGCCCACGATGAAGTTGAGCAGTAGCAGTGCAGTGATGAGCGACGAATAGGCGTTCAGCAGACAGGTGTTCTCGCGCAGTGCTCCAACGCAGCCGCAGAAGGACAGCAGCACTAGCAGTGTGCCCCCCAGCATCACCGTCAGCTCCACGTGCACCACCAGTTGACTGTACATGTTCGAAATTCGAAAGCTCGCCTACGTCATTAAGTGTCGTAATATAATAATAACGTATCACGAAATCATACAAAGATTACTAAATTCATACTTCATTATAACAAAGTTACATTTTACACAAAGATAAGTTCGCCATATCCGAAAATTCGTTATAAAAGTTTATTACTAACACTATTGCAAGATATACGAAAATTCGTTATAAAAGTTTATTACTAACACTATTGCAAGATTATTTTTCGATTACTTTGTTACAACCAATATTTTGTTATACCAGGGTTCGTTTTATCGAGGTCTGGGTGTATGTAGGTAAGAAGGGGAACCGTACAAGCTTACAGCTCATTTCTTTCTTGGACACAATCGATGAAACCAAGAGCCAAGGAAAGAATCAGGGGCGTAGCCAGAAATTTTTTTAGGGGTAGGGGGCAGCTCCCTTGATTTTGGGGAGGGCACTCCCCAAAATGGTCACTGATCTCTCTGTATTTTATGGAAAAAGAACAAAAAAATTCAGAGGAGGAGGGGCACATGGCCCTGGTGCACCACCTCATGGCTACGCCCCTGGAGAGCAGAGAGAGCATCATTTGTTATTGTTTTTCTAGTTTCATTGTAATGAATTACAGTTATGACATAAATTGAAAAGAATTAAAGTGGATGAAAAAGCACCCTTTTTATTCCTGGGATTCATACCTACAGCCTTCAAATTAAACATCCAATGCTCAGCCGATTGAGCTACAATACAGTGCACTTAACTTGCCAACGTCTGTTGGGTATTTATATGCATTTAAAGCTTGCAAGTGCTAGCCAGTATCACTCATAGCCAAGGCAGCGAATGTAGAACACACTTTTCTTGCCAAGAGGCATCACGAGCACAAAATTCGATAATTGTGGGTTCAGACCCCACCGATGAAATGAGTACTTTTTTTTTGTCTACTTCAATTCTTCTGTATTGAGGTCACAGTCACTACAAGTAATGTCCCATCTGCTTTCTTTGGCTCCATTGTCTGTTGGTTTTAAAGATTACTAAACTGTATGGAGAAGCCAGTGTTCAACTCTGTCGCAGCTCATAGGCTAGTAAAAGCCAAAAGGGTTGAGTGTAAGGACAGCATAACATATCACTTTAGCAATGTACTGGACGGAGGTAGCATTAGCAGTGTCTTTTGATGCTACAATCAAGGGCAACTAAGCTATAACAATGTTGGCATAAAGCCAACAATGGAAGTATTCGCTTGCCTCTGATAAGGAAAATAGGGAGAGCTGGTATTGATAGAGAAAGGTTCTGGAGAAGGTGGAAGATTGAAGAGATGAAAAGAAATTGCAGACATGAGGCGAGGGAAGAGCAGATGTTTCGAAGAACTGACTTGTATTCATCAAATTTTCAAAGGCTTACATCGGCATATGTTCATGTGCACGTTTTGTACGCTTTCCTTAGACCCAAACATGAAGAGGAAAGGGCGAGAGCGCAAGCAGGATGGGGGAAGCACGGGCACAAATTGGGTGAACCGCAAGAAAAGGAAAAAGAAAACGTAATGTGAAGAAGAAAACGCATCCTTGGCAAGCAACATCACCTCCACTTGGGTACTGGGTCCTGGGCTTAGCTCGCTCGCCTCGTGCTGATCGTCGCCGGCATCTGCTTGACCGTTGCACTGTCCCGATCGTGTTTTCGTCGTAGGGCCACCGTCGAAATACACGCCAATACACCCCTTTTCAATTGGTGGAGGGTGCTGACATTCCCCGTCGCTTGAACCTGGGTGCTGCCATTTGCCGTCGCCTAAACCTGGAGCTGCGCAACCGAACGCTACCTCCCATCATGGCCACCAACAATGCGCAGCCTGGCTCTTCCACTCCATCCTCCAGCAACCCCGGCATTCTTCGCTTCCGAGAGCCGAAGGTCTTTAGCGGAGCTGATGAGACCGACGTAGAAGACTGGTTCACCAACTACGAACTGGTGAGCGCAAACAACAAGTGGGATGACGCGGACAAGTTGACGAACGTCATCTTTTACCTCGCTGACGTGGCCGAAATGTGGTATAACAACCACAAAAACGACATTACGACGTGGTCCATCTTCAAAACATTGTTTGCTGACGTTTTTGGCCGACCCGCTGTCCGCAAGTCCAGAGCCGAACAACGCTTGCGGACTCGGGCACAATAGCCAACGGAATCTTTCACCAGCTACATCGAAGACATTATTGGTCGTTACAACCGTGTGAACACCACCATGCCCGAGTCGGAGAAGATTAAACACATCCTCAAAGGGATAAATGACCGCGCATTTAGATGCTCCTGGCCCGTAACCCTGCCACCGTTGCGGAACTTGTCACTTTGTGTCAAAGTTTCGACGAGTTGAGCAAGCAGCGCGCCCTGACTCGGCCATTTTCCTCACACGCCGACTCGCTCTCCAGTCTCACTTCCGTTCCCGACCACTCACCAACCCTGCAAGAGAATAAGGACTTTGTGCGTGAAGAAGTAGCTCCGCAGTTGTAGCAGGCAGCGCATTGACGATGCCCTTGACAGCCTCCAAGGAGCCAAATTCTTCTCCTCCTTAGACTTACGGTCTGGATACTGGCAGGTTCCTATGGCAGAAGCTGATCGCCAGAAAACTGTGTTCATTACACCAGATGGCCTGTATGAATTTAACATAATGCCTTTTGGGCTTTGTAATGCCCCTGCCACGTTTGAACGACTCATGGACAACACACTGCGTGGACTGAAGTGGTCTGTGTGTCTATGCTACCTCGACGACATTGTCGTTTTCTCTCCCGATTTTCCTACACATTTGCTTCGGCTCCAACTGGTTCTGACGTGTTTAACCAACGCTGGGCTCCAACTGAACCTTAAAAAGTGCCGCTTCGCCGCGTGTGTGCTGTCCATCTTAGGGCACATCGTGTCCAAGCATGGTGTTCTACCCGACCCTGCAAAACTGCGAGCAGTCGCCGAGTTCTCGAAACCTACTACACTAAAAGAATTACGCAGTTTCATCGGACTATGCTCGTACTTCCGGCGCTTCGTTCGAAATTTTGCGTCGATCATGTCACCACTGACCAACCTCCTACGCGGTGACGCAGAACTTTCATCCTGGTCTCCTGACTGCGACGTCGCGTTCGCCACGCTCCGTAGTCTGCTAACATTGCCTCCCATTCTACGGCATTTCGACCCAACAGCTGCAACGGAAGTTCACACAGACGCTAGCGGGGTTGGTCTTGGCGCTGTTCTCGCCCAGCACAAGCCGGGCTACTCCGAATACGTCGTCGCTTATGCGAATCGCACGCTCACTGAAGCTGAGGCCAATTACAGCGTCACTGAAAAAGAGTGCTTAGCGCTAGTGTGGGCGCTTCGCAAGTTTCGCCCTTATTTGTACGGTCGCCCATTCGACCTGGTAACGGACCACCATGCACTTTGTTGGCTCGCCACATTGAAAGATCCTTCTGGCCGCCTAGCTCCGTGGGCACTGAAAATCCAGGAGTACGACATTCGCGCGATCTATCGCAGCGGACGCAAGCATTCTGACGCCGACGCCCTGTCCCGTTCGCCTTTACCTCCCGACTCGGCTTGCGGAACCACTGGTACCAACTCCATCGCATCTCTCGACCTGGACTCGTTTGCCAGTGAACAACACAAGGACCCATGGATCGCTTCCCTTTTTGACTGTTCTCTCTGGATCGTCAACCACTGTGGTATCACGATCTCTCCGACGTCAAGCTGCTCATTTCGCCATTCGTGATCGGGAGATACACCGACGCAACTACGCCCCTGAAGGTTGTAAGTGGCTCTTGGTTGTCCCCCGCAGCTTGCGATCACAAATATGCACCACCTTTCACGACGATCCCCAATGTGGCCATGCTGGAGTTTTCAAAACTTACGAACGCATTCGCCGTCGCTTCTACTGGCGCGGAATGTATAATTTTGTTCTAAAATTCGTTATGGGCTGCCCTGACTGTCAACGTCGCAAATCACCGCCTTTTCACTCGTCCGGGGCACCTCAACCTGCTTTCGTGCTCTGCCAAACCTTTCAATCGAATCAAAATTGATCTCTATGGCCCTCTACCGACAACATCAGATGAAAATCGGTGGATCATAGTCGCTGTGGACCATTTAACACGCTACGCTGAGATCGCCGCCCTTCCAAGTGCCACTGCGCGGAACGTAGCGTCCTTCGTCCTCCATCGATTCATACTACGACATTGTGCTCCTTGAGAACTACTAAGTGACCAAGGACGAGCCTTCCTATCAGAAGTTGTCATGGCTCTGCTTTCTGAATGCCATGTTGTTCATCGCAAGACCACGGCATACCATCCGCAGACTAACGGGCTCACGGAGAGATTTAACCGCACACTTGGCGATATGCTCGCGATGTATGTGACATCTGATCATACTAACTGGGATCGCATTCTTTCATTCATCACGTTCGCATACAACACCGCGGCACAGTCCACCACTGGATTTTCACCTTTCTTTCTCCTTTATGGACGCGAACCATCCCACACCATCGACACTCTCCTTCCATACCGTCCTTGACGCATCTGAATGCCTATCTGTGTCCGAAGCTGCCCGAAAAGCGGACGAGTGCCGTGAACTCGCACGCACCTTTACGTCACAAGAACAGCAGCACCAGAAAGAAAACAACGCCGGCTCTTCACGAAGCCACAGCTATTCCCCAGGATCATTTGTATGGCTGGCTGTTCCTTACCAAACCCCCGGCCTTTCCTCAAAACTCGTCCCGATGTACGAGGGTCCTTACCGCGTTTTGGAGCAAACCTCGCCGGTGAATTTTCTCATGGAGCCACTTTCCCCATCTGACGACATGCGCCGGCGTGGACGTGACATCGTCCACGTCGCCCGCCTTAAGCCATATTATAGCCCTCTGCCTCCAGACTCTTAGGTCACCAGCATGGCTCTTTTTCAGGCGGGGGAAAATTGTGAAGAAGAAAACGCATCGTTGGCAAGCGAACATCGCCTCCACTTGGGTACTGGGTCCTGGGCTTGGCACGCTTGCCTCGTGCTGATCATCGCCGGCATCTGCTTGACCATTGCACTGTCCCGATCGTGTTTTCGTCAGTAGGGCCACCGTCGAAATACACGCCAATAAACCCCTTTTCAGTAAGTAAAAAATATAATGAAGAAAGTGGAGGTCGAGGAGGGGATTCAAGTCGGAGATGAGAAAAGAAGCACACAAAGTGACTGTTGATTCCTACCTGTAAATGTTGAGAACAGTCCCAGAGGGCTCGGCAACGCTGGCCCGCGTCGCTGTGCCAATGTAGGCATACAAGCCGCCGACAAAGAGGAAGAGGCCGAGCACCCAGAGAACACAGTTCATGACTATGAGCGGGTAGCGCACAAACGGGTTCACGTCCAAGTTGAGTCGCTGCTGCCTCTAGGCTCGCAATAATCGATGCCGGTGTCGCAGGGCATGCCGGTGGTGCAGGGCGCGTCTGTGCAGGGTTCCGGGCACCGACATCTGCACGTTATGATCAGGCACGGGCCATTTGGTACGTATTCCACAATGAAAAATGCACATGAGCGAATTCACAGCTTTCAACAAGAAAAATTAAGTCACTCAAACCCGGGGGCTCTGGAAACAGTTGAGGAAGAACAAGGAGCTTAATCACCAATTCCTGTTTGGACGAGGGAGCGCCATCCAAGACAGTTGTACACAAAAGCAGGGTTCAGTACAAACTTTAAGATTACACACTGCACAATCGGATGTTTTCTATTTAACATATTATGCGACCTATTGAACTCACGAACTTGAATCATTTCAGTATTGTTTTCATATGAAGCAATTAACAAGACTTTTAGACAACTGCTTGCTTATATTTCCTGCTTTATTATTATTATCTCTAATTTCTTTCTCCTCATGAATTTCATCTCCAGATTTTATTAGACATACAAAAAAACTTAACTGAATTAAACTGGACTAACCATGCCGATAAAACAAACCTTTGGTCTGGGTAGCAATAGAGGCATAGCCGGCAGTGTCAAGCCTGTCCTTGGCAGACAAATGTTTCTGTTCCTTGGCTGTGCCGCTGTCCTTGAGAAAAACACGCGGCTTGGCTGCTCTCTCCTGCACCGCATGGTAGGCAGATATTGAGCCGACCGAAAAATTTATCAAGACCGTGCATGATTACAACTGAAGTCCCTTCCCGGCTGTGGCGGCTGCATTTCCGATGGAGGCGGAAATGTAGTAGGCCCGTGTACTCAGATTTGGGCGCACGTTAAAGAACCCCAGGTGGTCGAAATTTCCGGAGCCCTCCACTACGGCGTCTCTCATAATCAAATGGTGGTTTTGGGACGTTAAACCCCACATATCAATCAAATCAATACAACTGAAGTCCAGCATCAGCTGAAACTAACCACCAAAATGCGTACACGTTAGGGCTTACAGAAAGTTGTTCTCAAAGAATGGTTGGTTTATGCTTCAATCCCACGCTACCTTGTGTAATTTGTGACTTCGTGCAATCGCACAGAAAATCTTACCAGTCCTTTGAGACCATTTGTCACATGGGAGTAGCCAAGAGGTGGTTCAAACTCTCACTAAAAATTTTGAGTATTCCTTGTGTATATACTATACATGCATGCACAAACATACGCATGCAGGTATAGTATATGCACAAGCAAAACTCAATTTGGTGAGAGTTTGAACCACCCCTTGGCTACTCCCACGTGACAAATGGTCTCAAAGAACTGATAACATATGCGTGCGTGTATGTTTGTGTGCATGAACATATGTAAAGTACTACTGAACCTCCCCCCCCCCCCTTCAAAAAAAAAAGATTTGCTATGCTCCCAATTTGTGAAGTGCCCCATAAAAATTGAATATATGACAATCTGTGTGCATAATTTCTTTAAACTCAAAAAATATATGACAATCTGTGTGCATAATTTCTTTAAACTCAAAAAAATGTTGCAAAATATTAGTGGCTGGGGAGCCACAGGCATATGTACCAAATTCTGTCAAAAATGGCTGAAGGTCAGTAGTGCTTCTCTGAGCAGCTTTCTTGAGGCCTTAGCAGCACCTTATTTGAAACGAACCAGTGCAAGCACTATAGGCAATGTATTTTATGTCTTGTATATATAATGCAAGATGTTTAACCTCATCGTAGGTAATGTTGTCATTTTTAGGTTTTACTAAGCAAACATACATTTCATAGATACTAATTGTTATAGGACACTAAGCTATAGGCACTAAGCTTTACGAAAAGGCTACCAATTAAAGGCAACGTTTTAGGCCTAGTCTACATACATGTCTTACGACTTCCGTCTGCAGTGCCAACAATGCTGCTAAAGCGAAACAGAATCACAAATGCACAAATAATAATAATAATATATGAGTAGAAACAGGGAATTCAAACCTCCATGGCTGAAGCAAATGCGTGTCAGTGTCACTGAGGTGACAAGCTGTCACACACCCAGATCATGCAGTTCTTCTTCTTCTTCACTAGGGTGGAACAGCTTGGCAGATGCCATGAGCATGTGAGAAAATAAATCTGCCCAAAGTCTAGCGATACAAGTTAATCTATATATGTATACATGTCATTTTAATGTATTTTTTTGCACACAACAATCTGTATATGGCACATGGTTATATATCCATGGTTATATATACCAGCCTCTTTTGTCTAATGATGGTAACTTAATGCAATTTCATAAAAGAAGAAAATGAAGGCTCACATGAGAACTTGAGGTTCGATTCTTTTTTTCCAATTCAGAATCCCACTTTTAGACGTAATGTGAAGATACATCAATAAACTGGGACAGTATTCTGGTCAAAAGCCTGTTGTACAGGCAGCGGGAAGACAGGCTTGACAATATTTAAACATTAGTGATAGCAGATTACATGAGACCATCCCTTCCTCACATGTTAAGAATATTAAAAGATAATAAATCATGCATCCATTACTGGCAAAAAAACAGTGGAGATCACTTATACATCATAAGGAAGACAAGGAAACAATCTCCCAGAAAAGCAGAACCTAATGACACAATCTTCAAAATTTGCACATATGAATAATGGGCATTCTTCCAAATGTGTAAATGTAATGGGAATTTTGCCAAACATACGATATACATACATACATACATATCTATATATATATATATATATATATATATATATATATATATATATATATATATATATGTGTATATATATATATATATATATATATATATACACACACACACACACATAATAATACAATATTGCCAATCAAACAATTAATTGGTAAGCCTCATGCATGTGAAATAAGCTTCATTATTGTTTGCCACACAGATTCAATAACAGAAAATAAAAATTAGATTGCTCTAACCATGATGTAGCTGAAGTAAGAGAGAGAGAGAGAGAGAGAGAGAGAGAGAGAGAAAACATTCATTGTGTAAAGCTTGTGAGAGAAAACATTTATTGTGTAAAGCTTGCAAGTGAAGGTGGGAGGGTCCCTCATTCCAGGAATCTTCTGACCTGGACGACCCGCCGGGCTCGAGTGACGAATCGACACTGGTCGACCAAGTCCAGCTGGGAGATAGCAGCCTCCCATGCTTTACTTAGTAGGTTTGAGTACGCATCTGTCGCTGCTGCTTATAGCCTTAGGACCCTTACTTTGCACTGCAGTAGGAGGTGCACCAGAGTGTCTGCCACATTGCAGTGAGGGCAGATGTAGCTATGCAACGTTGGTCTCATAGCAATAGTATGCCGTGGGTGAGCGCGCTGTTTTGAAGGCCCCTGTAGTCGGTGCCTTCGTCTCTTGAGAGTTTTGGATGTGGCAGAAGGTTATGACCTGCGTCCGAGACGATGATGTTGCAGTAATGCACGATTCGTTAGCGGTACGAATTTTTCTGCTTTACTTGTGTTGTTGAGCGGGAGGCACCTCATATCTCGTGCAGGGATGCCGGCTGATGCATTCGTGGGCCATGGTGTGTGCTGCTTCATTTCCCTTGAGACTTTTGTGACCTGGAACCCACACGACGCATGTGCTGGAAGCACATAATAAATTAAGCCAGCGTATTTGCTTGCATGCTGGCCATTACACATGAAGGTTCTCAACACGATAGTCAAAGTAATGGAAATGATTCAGTTGATGCTCTCCCAGATCAAAGCATTCACTTGCCTGACTGACAGAACTAACGTCATAGCAACATTGCAGACCTTCTATCGCGATTAAAGCAAGAACAACTCCCTGGAATCTGTAGTTGAACCTGCAATTTTCTTTTTATACCGAGTTCCTGATCTTCCACTTGGATAATTAGATGATTACTGCAGCTAGCATCTCCCCTTCACCTAATGCCCCTGCCAACTTAAACACTGCCGTTCGACCATGAAGAAAATAATGCCACCAGAGCCACTACAACGAGCCAAAGCTGCCCTTTCAGCAGGTGCCACTGCCACTACGTTCACAGACGTAAAATTTACTTGACATCTACAGGCAACATCACACTTTCCGTGATGTGTAAAGTTTGCATACTAGTCCCGATAGTATTGCGCTATGTCTGAATATCCCAGCATCAATACTTATATTATGTAAGATATATTTTGTGTTAAGCAATGCTTTTGATCACTGAAGTGTGTATATACTACAAAAAAGTCAGAAATGAGAAAAATCAGCATTTTCTACCATGTTAAAGATCTATTTGCTTAATGTGGAGTCCCTAATTTAAAATCAACTTACCGGCGGCAGGTTCTTTATCGACGCGGCCCAGTATGGCAACGGCAATAGTTATGCAGCAGAGTTGATCAACCACAAGGGTTCAACCATTAAGGTCGTTTTAAAAAATACAATGCTCGTCGTCGTGTGAAGCCAAGCAAGCAACCATTGCCTTGGCCCTTCAGGATGACAAACGTGACAATATCTTCAGCGACTCCAGGCCAGCCATACACACCTTCACCGTCGGCACTGTGTGTAACGATGCCTGTCACATACTTGACGTCAAAAGCGTCATCACCCAAACTCTCACCTGGTTCCCCGCTCACATGGCATCCTTCACGGGAGTCGCCACAAACTTATATGAGCTGGCTCGCTCCAAGGCGCAAAGCCTCACTTTTTTTCTTTCTAATCAGACACTCTCAAGTCAAATTGCAAAAAATCGGCAAACACAACTCAAACTTATGTCCAACTTGACTGTTACCGAAACTGGCTTGCCACACTAAAATTGCCAAGACCTTGAGGCAGTTATATACCAGTTGGCTTATAACTTTGTTTTTCTTGTTCACTGACAGAAAATCACTGTGCTCAGTGCCGACCAGTGAAGCAAGAAAATAATAGCTTGTGTTGATCAGCTACAACGCTCTTTGATATGACTGCATACACAGCATTAAAAATGTAGAATATTATGTTTGTTTAAACCGATTGTCACACAAAAGTTGGACGAATCGTGAAAATGACTTTTTTATTCAGGTAAAGAAAAATATATTAACGCACATATAATCCAACATCATGCACAACATTTTCAACAATGTACACTGGCAAGCTTCGTTTCGTGGATTACTTTCAAAGTGATGCCCTGTTATGAGGAAATTGCACATGTACAGTCATACATCTTACACAAATGAACCACATCATCATGTCATGTCAAAAATAAAGTTCACAAATGAATACCCTCATTTAAGAAAAAAAAGCCCCGCTGCCGTGGCCTAGTGGCTAAGGTATTCGGCTACTCACCTGCAGACCGCGGGATTGGATCGAATCCCGGCTGCAGCGGCTGCATATACGATGGAGGCGAAAATGCTGCAGGCCCGTGTGCTCCGCTATAGGTGCACGTTAAAGAACCCCAAGTGGTCGACAAATTTATGGAGCCCTCCGCTACGGTGTCTCTCATGATAACATGGTGGTTTTGGGACGTTAAACTCCACATATCAATCACTAAGAAGAAAACACTATTTTTCTCACCGGTTTTCGAACTCCATTCAGCAGAAATCCATAAGATGCATAGCATATGCCATATACAATGTTAGAAAACAGCTGAAAGCTTGAAATGGCAGCTGCAGAATTTTTTTCGAAGGAACAGTTCAATCAGTGTTGTTCTCTCGCTCAATAATATATGAAATACAGAAATTTTGCAAATCTGAAAGACTGACTGCATACATTCCTATAGTTATTTCCTTTTGTTATTTGCATCCCTAAAAGATATGTTGAAAATGGGTGAAGCAAGAAAACATAACGGAACGTAAATCTGAACAGGATCTGAAGAAGAACAGATCTTCATTGTTTAAGATTAACAAAAAACACCCTCCCTGCACTTCAAGCAATATCTGTCACAGTGTTTAAGCTGTCTTAACTACCACACTGCACACTACCCAAAAGAACAGCACTGCCTAATGAATCTCTAATTAAATAAATAACTAGACTCCTCGGATTTCAGTGCAACGACAAGGCAATCTTCAAAGAACTGAAATATCTGCTTCGATGGCAGTTTGAACCATAAACACAACAAGTTATTATTTCCTTTTTCGGTTTTTTTTTTGCTCAGTTCTTACAATTTTGTTAAACTGAGAGCCTTAAGAAATAAACTATTCCCTATACAAGGGCACATCTGCACTTCTGAATTTCTTCTAGCCGGACGAAATGTGGTATGTAAGAATTCCTTTAGCATTTTCAACAGAATGGCGAGAAAGTCATTGTTTGACACCGTGGGCATCTTCAAGGTAAAGCAGAATCAAACTGCAAGACTGAGAATGTGGCAGCAACAACATCTTGTTGAAAGACTGGCAGGCCTGTAGTCGTAAAATCATACACATTTTTATTTAAGTGCGAAGGAACATGTAGCAACCATCAAAGAGAAGACTGTCAATGACTGGCAAGTAAGTATAACAGAATTGTAAACACAACTATATATATAAGCATATACTATATAAAAGTAAAAAATAAAACAAATTTCAGGGATATCACAGCACGCATGTAAGCAGAAACATGCCGCTCACTCGAAAAGGCACCGATAGGAATTGCAAAATTGCAAGCTATGAGAAGGAAAGAGTAGGTACCTTTACATAGAAGCCTTACTATAGTTTGAGTACAATTTTCGAGAGATCGAAACAGCAGATTTGAGAAATGAGAAAAACAAAACTTCCCCCAAAACAGCAAGTGTACAGAAGCGCATCACAAACGTACATATATTAAAGAAGTGAGGAGAAATCAAACGAAAAGATCTGGAGTACAACAAGCCATGGCAATGATCTGATTACGCGACATATAAAGTGCTTCAAATCACTACTGAAATTCTTAAAATTTACTAAAGGTCTGCTGTTGCATGGGATTTGTGCCATCAACTGGGTGTTGCACGGCTGAAGTAACAAGCTGTAACAAAATGTAAATGGGAACATCAGAAGAACTCAGCAAGGAATGCAATCAGAAACCAGAGGCTGCAGAAAATAAGCCATTATTAAATGTAAATATTGATTTATGGCTCAATGTTAAAAAAATACGAGATCGAAAAGCATGGTAGTAATTAAATTGAAAAACAGTAACTGTAGAAAACATAGCACCATAGTGCTAAATATTTGTTTGCTTTGGTCCACGCTCACAAGAAGAGCTTTACAGTGAAAGCTTATATGAGATCACAACACGGGTCACGCGCAGCGCTGTTGTTGTCAGCCGCCGCCAATGTCCGTAACCACTATCGCACAAAATGAGAAAAAAAAAACTCAGATAAGAAACAGCAAAGGCACGTGGTGACATAGTGAGATTAAAACCCGAGTCCACTGCGTGCCAGCCCAGTATTCTACCGCTGAGCCACGCCGGTGCTTGGGACTTCGTTCGCAGACTTGCCTTAGCAGGCTTGACTGTCGGGAAAGGAATCTCGTTAATATGAGTAATAAAGTGTTTTATAACAGCAAAGAAACAATCAGGCCTCACACTGTACGAATTGCATAACGAGTGGGTCGTCCAATGCTCCAACACATTACAAAAGCTTCTTTTTCTTCCCCTATTAACTGTAGCACATAGCCACTTCAGGCGCAATTCTTCAACGTCGTCAGCCATTGAATGCCACACAAAATTCGTTACAAGTGTTTAGTGGATACCACGCTTCTCGGAAGATTGACGAAGGATAGCATAGTGAATGCCGGCCTACTATGCAGATATTATGAATATTTATGGCGTAGTGGGTACCCAGCAAGCATTTACCCAAAGAGTGTTTAGAAAAGGCTCTGAAAGGCTGCTCTTCGTGCTTTAGCTGCGACTGTGCTGCGCCTTCCGCGCAGACCTGGCATTCTTTTGAAATGACCAAGATATCGTAGATGTTTCTAACAAGGCTGGAAGTCCTAAGATCTTCCAAATGGCAGCATGCGCAGGTAAAGATAAAACATGTTATTTCAGAGTTTTGAACACGTGTCCACCCCCACAGAAATTTTCAGAAAGATTCTTGATTATTGCAAAGTGCATAAAATGAGACAAACACAACGTAGATCATAGATAGTGGACTAACAACAAAGGTTGAGTACCCCACACTTTCCTTCAGTTATCTGGCCATAAAAAAGAATGCATTGTACTTGGAGCCTGTTAAACAACCTTGTTGGACACTTATAGTCACGACAATGGTTGCAAAAAGCAAGAAATGTGCAGAAAGTTCAAACTGTTCGCATTCAGACGGAATGAAATCTTGTGCTAACGTGACTTATAGAAGAATTTAGGTTACAATGACATAATTACGAGACTATAACCCAAAAAAATGGGACAATAACCAGAGAACCTCAATCCTCTTCATAGCAGTTAGCCCATGCCCCAACTTAATAGTTGCATCTTCGGCAAGATTGCAATAAGAAGTGCTTTACAAGCAAGTACAATTGAATGAAATGAGAGCAATCACTAAACTGCTGAAGCACCAAGCTTGTTTAAACTGCCCGCCCTTTGCAAACATAATCCTAGTTCAACATCACTTGTCTTTGATATTGCTGTTTCCGCGACACGCACACATCTCTAACTTGTCTGACAAGACACTCAGACCTAGACCCTCTACGAAAGCCTCACATCTTTAGCAGTGCGGACTCCGATAGTATCGTAAACTTTTGCATTTACTTGTTTGCACTCTATGCCCTCGTCTAGATAGTAATCTTTAAAGCCTCAAGCTGTACGTCTAAGCAAAACAGGGAAAACTGGGTTATTTCAGGACGTGACCTTTGACGTAACTAACGTGAACAATAACACATATGTTCATCCATTACTTTCGGGTACTCCTTTCTTCTGTACCGACTGCTGCATAAATAAAGCATTCAGGAACAAAATGTACCTTGCAGCTATGCCGCAAGCTTATTGCATCCCAGATTTTGCATGGGGGTGGCATTTTGTCGAGCATACATATACTTTCATCTTCATTCCAATGCAGCGGATGGCACATTTTGTCCGAAGTGGCAAGCTAAAAAGCGGGAGTCACTTGCACCGATGCCAAGCGAGAAGAATGCAAACTGGCGTTATATATTAGTTTGTTAAGGATAGTACAGGACTCAAAATAAAACTGTGCTCAAACAAAGTAGTAAGCAAGGAGTCCCATGGCACTCTTTGCTTCGTGCTTAGTTCAAGGGCAGTGTTTTTTTTTTCTTTATCTTACGTTCGTTTGTCGAACACTTACTCTCCTCCCTTTCCGTCAACTCGACATTAACTCTACCAAACAAAACCTCCCGCTGACTCAGAGCGCGGGTGTCCGGCGAAAGTAGCACTCCATTCTACTCGGCAGCTTTAACTACTACATAAGGAGGATAAGATTAGCACATCGCTTTGGTCCCTCCACTTATGTGACATAGTGTAGCTTGGCACATTAAACAGCACAGACTATGGCTATGACTAGTCTGGGCATTGCAAGGCACCTCGGGGAATATCACAGCTCTGTCATCACCAGCAGTCACTGCTCAAGGAATGACTCAATATCCTTCTTGACCACGGCATCACCGAGCCACGGCTGCAACACGAGCTCCTCGAGAAACCAGCGCTGCCAGTCACGACCCACGGCTGACACCAGCAGGTAGTGGCCGCTGTGGCTCATGTCTCCTCGAATGTGGACCTCCTGGACACCAGACCAACCGCGAAGCAGCTCTTCCACTTCCTCTGGGCTGTGACGAAGCAGGTCCATGAGCTCGGGGTGCTTCACCTGCAAAGAGAAGTCGTATCAACTAAACCTAAACTGCTTCGGGGTCTTGAACTGCACAGCACACTGAAGAGAAGGATGTCTTCGAACGTACACTGGGACGCTATTTTACACATGTAATGTGTAGAGGAAGGAAGAAACCTCAGAAGTAGCGTTCAATGTGGCACAGATTCATAATTCATTTTATGGCCGGCTGTTTAAAGGCCAACTCTGGCGATTTTTCGAGGTAAATGGATGTCAATGGAGTTCATTGGATACGCTCATTTGCACGTTTGCGCCATTCAGGCCACATAGCAGGCTTGAGAGTATCGCAGATTATTTTCAAATAAATTTTTTAGCTTGCTTCCAAACACTTAATTACCTCGCTTGCCAGAATTAGTGGCAATATTGTGTGTGTGACAATTTTCGCAAAGCAGAAGTGACGGAAATAATGTGCCGCTGCAGCATCTGCTTGTATGCTATACATTGTGTGGGCTTGGCCGGCGCTTCCTTGGTTGAGTGTGCGGTTTTCTTTTCCGTGTTGGTGAGCGTGCGATGGGTGCGAAGTGGTGTTGTGTTGTGGGCCGCACACAATTAGCCATATATTCACCATAACAGCGAAAGCGCTTTAGCCGGTCGACACAGGCACAAACTTGGATGGCCTGGACAAGTTGTGCCATCTGGTGGCATTACGCACAACCAGGCAGGTTCTGGCAACATCATACATTGGAAGTGCACTCGGTTGGGTTTCGGTTTTTGTATTACGATTTATTGCTTATTAAAAATGATTTTCGAATTTGTTGAGCATTTCAGCTATCGGGCACATGACAAGAGTGTCTCGGAACATAAAATTACCATTGCCCCGACACGGTCAAAAGATCACCAGAGTTGGCCTTTAAAGAAGCTCAAAGTATCGAGCTTAATGCCCATGAATTGATAACCAACATTAATACAATGACTCGTGTTCCCCATATCTCGAGATAACCACATCATATTGCTGTGAGTCTGGCCGTCAAGTTTAACACTGGCTTTGATATAAGCGTTCCAAGCTGAAATTACCCTAAACATATGACATGAACCTTCAGAGCAAGAATTATACAGAAAGCTGCATACATTTCACAGAAATACAGTATGCTTTGCTTGTTAATTTCTTTTTAGGTCATCAGCAATATTCCTTTACATTTTCTATACAAAATATTTGACAATTTACTCAGAAATTCTATATGCTTTAGTTGATGAACTAAAGCTTTCCATAATTTTCGATTTTGAGGGCCCGAAACCAACAACATTCTTTTTGATGCCACAGAAATCAGTTGTCAGACTTCAGGTACTTGTCCCTGCAGTTCCGGCTTTCCCATGTGGTTCCTGTGTAATCTACTGTGCCTGTGCGGTCTGTTGACATCGGCCATTTTACTGAACGACCTGCGGTGTGTAGCAGAAGTTGGAGTTCCCTTTTTTTTCGCTGTACGTTTGGTTCTACAGTTGGAATCGAGCTCAATTGTGCCTCAGAAGTAGAGGATTCAGATGTTCAGACTGAATTATGTCTCAATATTAGGAAACCCATGCGTAACAACGAATTTACCGGGGGAATTGAACGGCTTTGCGAACGTCCAGACAAACCTTGGGCAGCGTTGCGATACACGTTTGCCTGAAGTGTAAATACCTCCGTCGCTGCGCATGCCGTTCTGGCTGCCCGGTTACTCGAGCACACCACGTACACTGGAAAATTTACTGAGAACCGCGAAGCAGCACATAAGTTACTGAAAACCCAGTGACACTGGCACAGTACGAGCGCTGGCAAATTACTGAGAACCCTGAAGTGGCATGAACAAGGAAAGCTGGAACTGTAGGAGCAAATATAGCCACCAGATGTGGTGGCAGTCTTGTAACAATGGCCCCCAAGTCTGGCAACTGACTTCTGTGACACTGAACAGAACCTTACATCAAAAGCATAATATGATCACAAAGCATTCAGTCGAGAACTACCAATTATTTTTGAGCACCTGGAGTTTGAAACTTTAACGTAAATCTAAGTGCACTAGAATTTTTGCATGTTGCCAAACTTGAAGTGCAGATACTATAGCCAAAATCTGAGCCCACGTTTTCGTACTGAGCAGTGTGACACCCCATTGCTGAAGTGGGGACATGGCTTGTGGAGTATTTGCTGCATTTTGTGCTCAAACCAGATAAAACTTGTTAATTTTTTCACTCCGATTTAAAATATTCAAGTAATATTATTGTGGATAAACTAGCTTATGAGATACACAAAGCTGCCTTTCTATTGTTTCCAGAGAGTATAGTATAAATAAAAAATCATGCAGCAGAAAGTGTACATTATTAGATAGCTACATATACAATAGGTGCCATGCTGTAAAGTTTTCAAGTAAACCCATAACTTATCACTTTCTAGATGATCAAAATGTTTGTACCATGACTGCCACAAAGAATAAACACAGTAAAATATAAAAAATTTGGCTTGTGTGAATAGTGAATTTCAGGTTTGAAGTGAATTCGAAGCAAATAGTACTTTTTTTTTTTCAAACGATTTCGAATCAAATTCGAATAGTGCATATATCTTATTATATTAAGTAATGTGCATATTTATTATTACTCACCTAACCTGCACAATATCTTTTCTTTAATTGAAACAAGGCCTGTTCAAATGCCATTTCTCTTGGTTTAAAGGAAGTGGAAACAGATTTGAATATACTAGCGGTAATTACTTTCTAAATGCAAACAAAAACTTGTAAAATATATTACGTCATAACATTTACTATTGATTCACACATAAGCCGGTATAAGCTTGTATATATATCACATACAACATATAGGCCGGTAAATGAGCTTTTAAACTTTAAAAAATGATGAATCAATGTGAGGGCAATACGTTCATTTAACCTTGAAGTGAAGCTTCCTGGCAGTGCGGACTTTTTCTGGATAGGTTTTCACGCTTTCGCATCCCTCCTTCACAGCAGTGAAACCACCTTTACAAGAACTTAAATTCGAATTATTATACACCAATTTGTTCAGTTTGAATAATTTGCAATTTCCAAAAACTTAAATTAAATTATAAGTGAATCCGAATAGTATCGTAATATTCATTCGAACATTCAAAGCATTCAAATATTTGCACGAGCCTATAAAAATACTTTTTTTTCTTAATTTTTTTTTTGCCTTCACAAGCACCCTCTAAAGCTTTTCGGGATGTTAAACACTTCACACTGATTTTCGCTGACACACCAGTTACATTAAGTAAGATTTTACACTGCCTCAAACATACTTGTATCCGAACCGGGTTTCCCTCTTGGACTATCTGCACTGGCTCGTGGAGTTCTGGCTCGCAGGGCATACCCAAGTGGCACAGGTCTCTTGTGATGGCAAGCAGGCTGTAGGTTCTCACGGCGGCCATGGTGATCGTCCGAGTCATCGACAGGGACCACTTGCACTCCCTGCAAGGCGGGAACTGCACCCTGGCACTACTCATGTACCTCAGGAACCCGAGCACCAGCTCACCACCGGTTAACAAACTGCCGCTGCACTGGGCGTTCTCTTCTTCTTTCTCTAGGTCCCCACTCCCCAATTCTTGCTGCTGCATAGTGGCCTTAACAGAGTCCTCAAAGATTTTGGACAAGCAGGACTTGCAAATGGAGGAATGCTTAGCTTTTGAATCCTTCATCAGTTCATCTTTGACGGCCCACTTTGTGATTACTTCGAGGGCGAGGCCCTTCGCAGAAGCTTGCGTGGATTCTTTAGCAAACGCCGCATTCAACTTGGAAAGCAGGAAGTTTGGCGGGATCTGGGGTACTTCAGTGTCACCATACAGAGCTTTCACGAGTGATAGCAAAGCGTCGGCCACAGCCCATGGAAAGCTGCAGCAGCGAGATTCGTTCGGCGCTTCAGAGCTGTACGTCACCATGTACCACGCAGATGCCACCTGCAGAAGCACCGTCTGCCTTTGGTCATCCGTGGTGACGGCCTTGTCTTCATAGGCGGCTTCCACAATGTCGAAAAAACACTGCCGTGTCTCTTTGACCAGGTGCTGGTACTGCTTTGCCACTAGAGTCTCGACGTTCGTCTTCTCGTGGGAGGTATTGTTGAAGTCGAAAACCTTGTTGACGAGACCTGCAACCACTTCACCCTCGCTCCTGATACCATGCTGGCTGAGGATCCTCTGCATTTTCGAGGCATACTCAGCAAGCGCCCGTTCCGCACTCTCCCGGTAGTCTTGCCAGCCCTCGTACTCAAAGAGCTTGCTCTGACAGTCACTTTCAACGAAGTGGTTCTCGAAGTCGGTGCTGATCACAGCTTCCAATGACCGGTGAAGCCGGTACAGCTGACCCAAGATCCGCTTGGACTGATAAGTGTTCTTGTGGCAGCCCTTGTTCATGAAGTCAGGGTACGACGGCGGCTTCTCCATCTTGTCGAGATGAGAAGGCATCCCAGTCTTGGCAAAGTCGAGGCACACCGAGATCTTGTCGGCAATTTTCAGGCAGCAGTCGGAAAAGATGCCGTCCTCAAGCTGATCGGCCCAGGCTAGGTGTGCATTAGCCATCACACCAATGTTGTCATTCTTGATGTAGCTGCAGATGAACTGAATCATTGCTTCTTCCTGCAATGCGAATCCTCTTTATTAGCCTCTGCCAAGCTTTCTTGCCATACAAAATGGGAATTATGCAAGAACAAAAGTGCTGTGCACTCTGATATACACTAATGACCGTGCCTTTTATATAAAGCATAGAAGTGCATTAACGCACCAGGTCATAATCCGAATGACCAGCGACTGTATGGTCCCTGAAGGTCATGGGCTTGCGGTTGGCTCCAGGAAAAAAGAGGTCTTTGTCCCATATGACCACGTACTCGTCACCATCCAAATCAGAACCTGGTAAAAAAAGAAAAAGCAGCATTAGCATTTGTTGGATGACTCAGCGTACCGGAACTTAATTTTGCATCAGTGAGGCCAAGAGGTGATGTGTGCACAATGATTAAACCGGTGCTGCCCATCGAAGGAAGAATGAACTCATGTTCACATATTGAGTGGTGCTCAAATTGAGCACCAATCTCAGGACTTTGGAATCAAGAGTTCCACAAGTGAGTGCCGGCATGAAAATTTGCACAAAACGTGGATTAAGCAATAACAACAAAAAAGCCGGTTATAAGGTTGCAAGGCAGCAACGAGTCACTTGACTCGCTCGACTTCCAAGAACCATGTGGTTAGAACATTACTGATATAACGGGGAACATGGTCTTGACATAATCGTTACCAGCATTGCTTTCAATATTTCTATACTTTAGTGGCCTAGACAGAGAAATAAAGAAACACAAAAATACTGTAGACAGCCACTACTTCACTATGATATTACATGCACCAGTCTGATTATTTCATTTTCAATTGCTGGTCAAACAGCCTATCAAACAGAAATTACCAATCAGGCTCAAATGAATTGTCACAGTGTTATAAAGAACACATTATGGCAATGCCAAACATGAGACAGAACACATCATTCTTTATCCCAATTCCTTAACTATGCTTAGGAATGGTATTGTAAAAACCTCGCTACATATAATATTTTCCAATGAAGTTTTTGCACAAGCGAGTTAAAGCACTGAAGTATTTTAACACATGAGCTGAAAAACTGATTCATTGAGGTAAATGGATTGCAATGAAATATATATATTTCACAAATCACTGATTCATTCATAACATTCTTTATTGTGAGGTAAAAAAAACAAACCCTCGGCCCGCACCATAAACATAGAGCAGGTAATTAATAATATTCATAATATACAGCAGACTCTCATTAAACAGAACCCAGAAAAAGCAGAAAAATGTGTTCAATTTAACAGGAGTACCGTTTACAGAGAGATTAGCAGGGCTGAAGAATCTAAGTACAAAACCAATTATAATAAATACAGTTTCTTAAGCAGCAGTTCTGTTTCAATCAAGAGATTATCATTTACTGGGAACTACAGTAACAGCATGGGTACGTACAATAAGCAAACTTTCTCTAAGACATGTGGTCAATAGTAGGTTGACTGCTGGTACACTTACCAGCCATCTCATTTGGGTGAGGCCTCGGTCCTTTTGCGGGAAACACGATGCAATCCTTGATGTGACGTAGCTCTGGCACATCCACTGCTTCAAACTTGCGCACATCACCGGGGTGGTGGCATGGGCATTTTGTCACCAGCACAGTGCCTGGAATGGGAAAACAGGATGACGTGATGTTCAATCACACTTTATTGTTAGTGTTCATCAGTAGCAGCACCAGGCAACCTGGTCTTTGAAGAGGCCGAGAGTCTATCATACAGCGCTATGATGAGTCTTGGATGGTCACAAAACGGAGAAACATTTGCTTGCTACTGAAGGCTGTTTCACATGTCCCTACTGCAACGAAAAAAAAAAAAAATCTATCTGTTCACTCCATTTCCTCTGTTTGCAACCGCCGCTAATGGCGGCTTTATTTCACATGGACTGCAAATTCGCTACGGTTTCACAACAAGCAACGCTTTTTGATGCTGTTCTTTGTAGCAGACACTGTAGGATTTTTCAAATTTATTGTAACGACTTGCAAATCATCATATTATGGAGTTTTCCATTAAGAATAACAAAAAGCACAAGTATTTCATATTTAAAAACACTTTTCAATCTAAATTCATTTTAAAATGCACAAAATCGAGCATTACCAACACAAACAAATCGACACATGTTCGGCAGCTAGGCCGGCCCGTCTCTATTTAGACGACTCCCGACCAAAGAATCGCTCTGCCGCTGCGATCAAAGCAAGAAGTTTCCAACATGTTGGTAGCTCGCTGCAGACCTCTGCAGCAATAGTGAACTTCAGTTTTTCATTGCTGCGAGCGAATTTGCAGCCTGAAAATCAATACTTCTTGGGTCATGTGAAACGGCTTTGAAGCCTGCAAAGGAATAAGCCGAGGGTGGCAAGCCTGCACCTCGTGTCAATGCCTGTCCATGTATTGTACTGGAATAAATCTGAGCAAAAAAAAAGACGAAGCACAACAAGAGAAGATGGTCATCTTTGGTTGATGCTGGACGAGGATGAAGAAATAAGGAGCACAGGAGAGTGCCAGTCCTATGCTCCTCTGTCTTCGTCCTTGTTCCAAGAGTGCTGCTTCAACCAAAGATGAATGCCTACCAACTTCGCTAAAGCTTCTATTATTATAAAGAAAATATGACTACAGCCGATCACGGATATATCAAAATCGAAGGAGATTGCGGATTAGTTTGATGTATGAAAGATTTAATATAAAGAAATAGAGGCCCCAAGAGCTTACTTGTAGCGAATCATCACCTACAATAGGCACATTCAACGAATGACAACTCATTCCGCACGCTGCCACAACAGAATTATTTATTTGCGTGAGAAAAGGCACTTATCTTGGCCTGCTTTTTCGTTTTTGAAATTAAGTTGAAGACTGCTAGTCTCAATCTTATCAAGGCTGTACAGGTGTGACAGCTCGGTTCCCTCCGTGTGGCCGATACGACGAATGAAACCAATTAAGCGGCGAAGTACGAGCGTGTAGCCAGAGCCACGTGCTCACTTCTAATAACTAGGCCTAGGGTGCCTTTTCTACATTCCCGTGGGCAGAAGAGAGCACATGACAGGCTCTTGATGTTCTCTGCTCCGCCTTCTTTGCCTTGATATCTGCCTTGTTTTTCAACAAGGTACTCAGAAGTGCTCCGTGGTATCCCGAAGTCGTCCACGATGGTCGAACATTTCTCGCCCTGCCTCAACACGCTGAATAGCCTTCAACTTAGTCGCAATGTCAAGGATCTTTTGCTTCTTGACGCTGGCCATAGCTACACGAGAAGTGGACAATTCAAGGAGTCCGCAGCGGCTTTGCACACCACGCACGCAAAAGATAAATACTGCACACGCGGTGGTATGTAGGTGAGGCGACAGCGAAAGCAACAAAGCCCTTGCGAGGCGATAGCCACGTGCAAGGGCAACAGTAAAAGGCATGAGCTGTAATTGGTTGATAAAAATTTGCAGAACAGCAACAAAAAAATAGAAGAAAAGGCGAAAAGAGGAGGCCTTTGGCTCCTTCACACCTGCTCTTCGAGCCGACGGGTGCACGGAGAAAGCATGATAGAGAGAAAAAGAGAAATGAAAAAAAAAAAAAATTGTTCCGCATGTTAGAGAGTGCAGTCTGAGCCCTCTCACCCGAACCTTTTTTTGGAGCGTTTCAGGTTTTAGCAGAGGTCGCCGAGTACTCCGAGTGCCAAAAGCACGCCTTCCAACTTGCGGGGCTGTCGCGGAGATTGCGGTAGGGGGGTGGGGGATCGAGTGCCGAAGTGCATCAACAAGCTGGCGCGGCGTTCATGCATTCGAAGGTGGGTAAAAATACCATTCGATATAAACGTGCGAATTTCTACATTTTTACGAAAGAGTTTAAGGAGATAACTTACGAGTTTGATATACCCAAAAATTCGATATATGTGGGTTCGATATAACTGTGTTTGACTGTACACAAGCGCTCATCTCAAAGGAATTTTTCTTCGCAGAAGGGTCATCGATAGTAGAGTTGTGTGAATAGCAAGACATTGAGGGTCAAGTGAATTTGAATATGAAACTGTGAATGTAGATCAAATAGAACATTTTTCTAATATTTCTTGAATACTTTCACATAGTACTTTGACGTGACATTGCAGAAAAAAAAAAGTTGGAGAGGACTTTTTCCAAGTTGATGAAACGCTGGCGGGGTAGACTTTCCCAGTTGTCTTATCAAGAATGAAGCAATGCAGAGGCCAAATTTACGTACACTGACTTTGTGCAACCAAAGTGTTGCTGACAACAATTCACACATGAAAAGCAAAGATGCTATTTCCTCAGGATCTCCTCCTCTTTCCACTTTTGTGGAAGCCCAACTGACGTGGCCGACAAGGGTATGCTCCCCTGGAGTCTGGAGTTCTAAATCTGCGTAGTAGACATCAACCTATGAGAACATCTGAAATATTGGACGCTAAAAATCCTTGGTGTCTGATTTATCAGACTTCTTGCCCGAATTCCAGGTATAAAACAGCATTAATTAAGTCCCACATCTGGCACATCTATTATATCTGCGTTGGAATCTGGGTTTTCTAGACTCAATAAAATTCGCGACCGTAGCAGAGCTTGAAAGAAAACTTTGCTGCAATACAAGTGTTACGGGGTGAAGCATACTGAAAATGTGAAGGGGCCACTGCATATCTCACTGTATTTGTCTTCGGGAAGTTTGAATAGTTTGAATAGTAAAATACCAGCAGTCAATCAAATAAAATAACAAATCGTATGCAAAAAAATGTTCAAAATTTCAAAATATTCACACACCCCTACCTGTGACATGTGACACTGCCATGACACTGGTGTTCCAAGTATTGTGTAATGAGTCGGATCGTGCAGCACGACAAACCAAGAAACAATGGCGTGTCACAACCACAAAATGTTTATGAATTGTGTAAAAAATGAAAAGCTGCTGCTGAGTGTTTTCACCACATTGCGTATACATAGCCTCTTACAGATCACCCAACAGTATCCAACAGATTGCTGCAATAATGGCTGCACATTGTGGCCACACATAAAAAATTTTCAGTGTTCCGAAAAAAAAAAAAGAGAGAAAAGAAAACAGGGAAAAAAAAGGGGGACCAACAAACCCGTGAGGATATGAGTTGCCTTGCTCTCAGTGCCCAGTTCGGTGTACTGAACGAAAACCTGGCCGTACTGAAGTTGGCCCGTCTCGTCCAAGACACCCAGCATGTTGCGGCCTGCATCGCTGGCCACCGCAATGCGAGTCTTGGTACGCAGTCCATCTGAAATTGAACAATACCACCCAACTGCATTCATTCAGGTTTCTGATAATTAATGTCCCAAATTCGCAAGGACAAAAGAATATGCAGCTGCCACAAAACTTGTAATGCACAAATTGGATTCTCAGATCACACGCTCCAACATGCAACAGTCACTCACGGGCTCCCCCATAACTCTGAAGTCACACGGTATTTATTTATTTATTTAGTCATTCATTCAGTGCGTACATCTCCTTCGCAGGCATTACAGCAGGGTGGTCATATACATCACTGGGTCATTTGACATTTATTTCTACGCACAAAGCACGGTAAAAGTCATCATTACATTGAATTTCTGCAATATTTGACGAAAGGGCATTCAACTCGCTCACGGTCCTAGAAAAGAATGAATAACGTAAAGTGTCACCTTTAAAAGGAAATCAAAGAACTTTCAAGGCATGGTCCCTTCTTGATGAAATATATGATGGTAATGTGATTGATTAATTGAATGTGCTGACAATGCAAGATTAATACAGTAAAGCATCATGTTACTAAAAAATGCAATTAGTAGCGAGCATTACTCCCAATATTCAAAACCAGATGAAACAGAGTAACTGTTAATTGCAGGCAGCGAGAGCTCCACTGGTCCTCATCTCAAGAAAAATCCTACCTGCTGCATGCAACCTTACAGCCCAACTAGCATCAATTATACTGTCAACATGTCACTTATAGTTGTCAAGAAAATCAGTACGTAATTGAAGCTAACTGGTTTGTCAACTGGTGATTGAGAGAAACTCTAAAATCTGTCATAAATCTCACAATGTAGAAAAAAAATCTTAATCTCTGTTTCTTTGCATTTCAAAATCACATAAAAACACTCAGCACACGATCACCTCAGCCCCTATAATCACGAGTTTGACAGGCTGCCCAGGCCACCGAGTAAAAAATCCAGGAGCCCTTCCACTATCGAAAAAATGTAGAGATGTGAAGCTTGGCAATTTTGAGCGTGACCTACTACTTTTGGGGGCGACGCTCCGAAGGGTCGAGCTTTGTCCCTCCGATGTCTGTTGTCTTCGCTTGCACGCACTGGGAGTGGCGGCCACGAGCTCGCCGATCGTAGGTAAAAGAGAGAACGAATATCGCAGGTGCGCTCGTAGCACAGCTGTTTCTGTCACTACGGTGCCCCAAGAGCTATAAAATGAGCTCATTGTCAGCTCTCTCTCTCTCTCCCTCTAGGTAATGGAATGCTCTTCGTTATCAACGAAGACACGACGGCTCGCAGCACGGCAACGCAGTCCAGAGTTTCGGGCTGTCAGAGCAGCTGCAGCACAGCAGTGCAGAGAAACGGATCCAGACTTGCAGGCTTGCAAAGCTGCAGCGAAATGGCAGCAACAGTAACCCGACCTGGAGCTGAAGGCTCGCGAAGCTGCTGCGCCAAGGGAACGTTGTTTTCTCAAATTTCAGGTTGGATCTCACGCAAGAACCCTTAGCTTTATATTTCACCGATCATAAGGCGGTCATAACGAAAGGAAAACTGCCGCCCACATCTCAACACCATATGCCCATTGTAATTAATAAACAGCTTTGTATATACTCTACATGTGTGTTGTCACGTCTTTCCCTGATCGAGTGGGAAATGTACGGGTGTTAATGATCCACCGGAGCTTCGACTACTTGCCATCATTCACTTCGTGGATATCCTGTGATTTTTTCCTTTCTTTTTTCTTTTTCCTGTTGCATTGTACATGACGCCTCCTAACTTTGCCCTTCCTTTATGCCGGGAATCAGATTTTTCAACCCCGCGCTTAGCAGCGCAACACTTCAGTTAATACAGGCACCAATGATGGTCATACGTTCCTATTTGGGTAACGATGAAATGTAGCAACATGAAATCACAAATGACCTCAATAAAAGATCACACTGCCATACCAGAAACGGCTGATCGTTGACAAGCTCATGAATGAGAGAGCATTAATTATAGAAAAACAGTGCATACAATTACAAAAGTCTGACCTGCGAACCTTTGAGATCGACATTTCTGTACACCCACATTTCTGCACAGTTGGCAGCACCAGTTGGTTCATTTTCCTGCACTTGCCAGCACCAGGTACACCAGGTGCAAGTGAACACAGGGTTCCCTTGCCAGCACCAGGCACAGTGGACCACAAATGTTTACGAACCCTGTGAGCGCATTGCCGAAACCCTCTTAGTGACAGTTCCACTGCATCAGCGACCATAGACAGCACCGCAGCGGCCGAGATGCATCCCTTCCCAAATCTATGGCTCGTCTGTTTTCTGACTGGGTACAAATATTTTTCTCGTTTCCCTTTTTAACATGAAACACTATTTGGAAAATGCGTCTATGAGGTGCTTTTGCCTCGAGAGCAGTTTATGAGCATAACTGTTATCAGTCGCAATCTTCATCACAAAATGATACCTAGGCACACCGCAAAAGTGCTTCGCATGGAAATTGTGAACAAACAGTACACTTTGCGTAAGTAAGAAATTGAAAGGCCAGTGAATCAGAAGGGTTATTTTTGGGCTGGCACCGTGGTTGATGATAGACGGTACACCATTAGGCAGTGTGGACAGGCAGTTAGGCACGTGCTCGCGAGTCCGCAAGCTTATCTGGTTAAAAGTACATTTATGTATGCTTTCCAGCACTTACCCATGGCACTTTTGTACACAGTGCAAAGAAGCAGGCGCACGAAGGGATGCCGTGTCAGCAGAAACCCCCGACTCTGAAGCTCTCGGAAGAAGAACGGCACTTGCACGTAATTTCCTAGCGTGTCCAACGCGACATCCTCGCAGACTAGTGCATTGGCAAGTTGAAGCACCATGTTCTGCTGGAGGTTCACAAAGGCGTGCCCGGGAACGCCCAGCTGTTCCAAGATAGTGATCAGGGGCCGGTTCAGGCAGACTGTACCTACGAAGAGCAGCGAACAAAGCACACTCAGTCGAATGAAATAGATGCAAACTTCCTTTCTCTGGGACATTTTTTTTTTTTTTCAGTGATAAGCAGCTATCGAAGAAGGAATGTCACCGGAGTCAACACTTTGACCAGAAAACTTGTCCTTGAACACACATAGTTTTAGTGGCATGAGCAATTTTAATGGCATGGTCAAACATTAATAAGAAGTCTTCTAAAAAAATAGGAATTGATGGTTCTAATTCAAGTCAAGAGTTATATTGGATAATGATATCGAAGAAGAACTTTAAATATGATTTGGTTCAATTAACTGAAAAATAATCAATGAAAATTCATTGAATTCATTGAAAGGCTGTGAGCAGCTGGGACTGCTGCAACAGCTGGTGGAGTATATTTCGATTATGCACTGCCTTCAACATGGCCTCCAAGATCCACAGCGGGAAACGAAAGCGTAAACCCTAGGAATACACCGAGGCACCCGAACACAGACAATTGAGTGCCATAAACTGACATTGAAGTCAAGGTTTAGGTTCACCTCCAGAATTTCTGTCAGTTTCAGAGACATTCCTAATTGATTGATTTGTGGGGTTTAACGTCCTAAAACCACCATATGATTATGAGAGACGCCGTAGTGGAGGGCTCCGGAAATTTCGACCACCTGGGGTTCTTTAACGTGCACCCAAATCTGAGTACACGGGCCTACAACATTTCCGCCTCCATTGGAAATGCAGCCGCCACAGTCGGGATTTGATCCCGCGACCTGCGGGTCAGCAGCCGAGTACCTTAGCCACTAGGCCACCGTGGCGGGGCTTCAGAGACATTCCTAAAGAGAAGACTTATCATTTTATGAATCTATGCTTACCTCAAATACTGTATTTATTTGTGATTCCTTTCGTCATGTAATCTGACTACTCGCCCTGCAAAATTCTGAATATCCTGGATAAATTAAAAAAAGCCCAGCATAAGATTTCTGAATCCCATTTCATGCCAGTCCTAAAGAGGGGAAAGTCCCTTGCATAAGCACCTGTGCAATGCCCACTGTGCACTCATCATGTCAATGAAATGTAACTAACAGATGTGACAAGCCTTCTCGTAAAGCATTAGGGCAGTTCATGGGCAGAGAATGAAGAGCTCTCTTATTTTGTCAATGTCCTCAGGCGTGCCAATGAAAATGATGTTACAGAAGATTTCGAAGAGCCTTGCTTGTGCTGCGAAGAAGACCCACCGGCTGTTCATGTTTAGTTGAAGTGTAGTGACAAATACGGGCTCTAAAATTGACGAAGAAGATGTTTGTTGTAGCGGAGGCTCGTGCTGCTGCAGCTGCTGCTGAAACCGCTGGTTGCTGTCTTGGTGCTATTAGGCCCAATAAACGGTTGCTCTACCCCGGCATGCGTCTAGCAGTATTCTTACATTTGGTGGAGAGTGCTGGTTGTCTCGAACTAGGAACGGAGTGCTGGTTGTCTCGAACTGGAACTCCGTTCCTGGACTCTACCTCAGCCCCTCGCCTCGCCAATGCCTGACAACATGACCCAGCCCCCTGCAGTGATAATCCCATCTGTCACCTGTTCCGGAATGCCACGACAGCGAGATCCAGTGATTTTCAACGCGACCGACGACCAAGGTGCTGAAGACTGGCTGTCGCAGCATGAAGCGGTAAGTGCCCACAATAAGTGGGATGACACAAACAAGCTCGCTTACCTCAATTTCTATCTCGCGGGTGTGGCAGAACTGTGGTTTAACAACCACAAAGCGGTTGGCCAACCTTCAAGACGCGCTTCGCAGAAGTCTTTGGCTGACCCGCTGTTCGCAAGCTCCACGCCAAACAGCGCCTGCGCTGCCGCGCACAGCGCTCAGGCGAGACCTTTACCTCGTATATTGAGGCTGTTTTGGACCTCTGCCGTCGTATCGATTCCGAAATGTCTGACACTGACAAAATACGGCACATCATGAAAGGTATCGAGAACGACGCCTTTCACATGCTCGTTGCAAAAAACCCGCAAACCGTCACCCAGCTTGTTCAGCACTGTCAGAGTTTCGACGAGCTGCAGAGAGAGCGGATTTATACTCGACGTCCAAACCTCGACACGACCTCTACATCTGGGTTAACCATTGGCGCAGTTTCCTCCGAACAAACCACGCTAATGCAGCCAATCCAGCAGTTTGTCCGAGAAGAAGTTTCGCGCCCATTGTCTGTTGTGCCGTACGTTCCGACCAGTGCGCACACACTGACCCCAACGCTCCGCAAGGCAATCGAAGAGCAAGTTTCTGACGCCCTGTCTCCACATACAATCTTCCGCCTATCTCCGCCCCTCTCACTTACGCTGAGGCCGCCAGACGATCGCCGCCGTCGCTACCAACCGTTACGGATCTTGCTAGACAGCCCAGTCCCCTCTACGCAGCAAGTCCGCCTACCTGTCACCACCCACCTCCTGTTCGCCACCCCACACAACTATCAACAAACCCTTGGCGCACTCCAGACAACAGGCCAATTTGCTATTTCTGCCAGCTTCCTGGTCATGTAGCACGCTACTGCCATCGTCGGGATTACAATCCAACTGCTCGTGAGGCGACTTACGACTCCTATCGTCCAGAGCCACCACAGCCGTCTTCGTTCCACTCCATATCGGATCAGTCACCGCCACGCCGCCGCGGCTTCGACAGGAATCGGTCACCCTCACCACGGCTCCGCTCTATTTCTCCGATGCTTCCTCGATCACCACCCGCCCAAACGGAAAACTGACCATCGCAGTTCCCGAGGCAAGAGCTGCACATATATCGAAACCTTCAAGGCCTCCGTTTTTACCTGCTAATGAAATAACTGTGCATATTCATGGTGTACCTGCGAAAGCGCTCGTTGATACTGGTGCTGCCATGTCTGTGTTAAGTGGTGAACTGTGCCGCAAGTTGAAGAAGCTTACGCTGCTGCTTTCCGATGTCTCTCTCCACACGACCACTGCGCATCACATCCAACCTTCTGCGGCATGCCCAGCTCGACTGGTCATCCAAAATATTTTGTATGTAGTCGAATTCGTTGTGTTTTCCCCATGTTCACACGATATCATCTTAGGCTGGGACTTGCTCTGCGCTCATCATGCCGTCGTTCACTGTGCGCGTGCCGAACTAGAGTTGTCGACGATGTGTGAACTGCCCCTGTGTGAAGCGCCGACGTCTGAAGGACCTTCTTTAAAGCCGCTATCTTCCCGAGTCACCGTAGCCACGGACACTCGCATACCTCCTCTATCCTATGTTCATGTGCCACTCTTCTGCGACGACGCACCCTCTGTCACCGCCCTCTTTATTCCCTCCGACAACTTCGGCTCTCGCAAAAGCTTCCTTCTTCCGTTCGCAGTTGTCACCGTAGAAAACTCACGTGGCTCCATTTATATAACGAACTCGCTTCCCTCCCCGGCCATATTATTCCACGGCGAACTCCTCGGTCACCTTGAGGAAATTGATTCTGTTTCATCCAGTCACCTACCTGATGACTTGTCATCATCTCATTAAAACACCATTACCTCTGATACCACTCCCACTTCATCTCCGGAGGTTTTTCCCCCATCCATTGAACCTAAACTTCCCGTTGCTCAGCGCACCCAACTCCTGGCTTTACTCAATCACTTCAAGATGTCATTTGACCATAGCCAACCTTCTTTGGGTCGCACGTCTGCCATCGTTCACAAAATCGACACCGGTAGCCATGCACCTTTGCGCCAGCGCCTATATCGAGTTTCTCACGCTGAACACCGTGCCATCGATGATCAGGTGAACGATATGCTTCGACGTGGTGTAATAAAACCTTCAAACAGTCCTTGGGCCTCTCCGGCTGTACTGGTGAACAAAAAAAGGATGGCGGCATCAGATTTTGCGTTGATTACAGGCGTCTTAACAAGATCACCAGAAAAGATGTTTATCCGCTGCCCAGAATCGATGACACCCTCGATCGCCTGCAAGGAGCAGAGTTCTTTTCTTCTTTAGATTTTCGATCCGGCTACTGGCAGGTCCCTATGAATGAAGCCGACCGCTCCAAGACTGCGTTTGTAATGCCTGACGGATTGTACGAGTTTAACGTCATGCCATTCGGCCTCTGTAATGTGCTTGCCACCTTTGAGCGTCTCATGGACAACATCCTTAGAAGCTTTAAATGGAACACATTCCTGTGCTATTTGGATGACGTCGTCGTTTTCTCGAAGGACTTCAACTCCCACCTCAGCCGCCTCGCAAGCGTCCGGACTTGTCTTTCGAACGCTGGACTGCAGCTGAATTTGAAGAAATGCCACTTCGCTGCCTGCCAGCTTACCATCTTAGGGCATGTTGTTAGCAAGCATGGTGTCCGTCCTGATACAACCAAGCTTCGCGCTGTCGCCGTCTTTCCCAGGCCAGCTACACTAAAGTAACTCCGCAGCTTCATCGGGCTCTGCTCACATTTTTGCCGTTTTGTGAGCAATTTCGCCACCATAATCGCACCCCTGACGCAGCTACTTGCCGACAACCAAGACCTCTCGGCATGGTCCCCAGCATGCGACGAAGCATTCGCGTCTTTACGCCATCTTCTGACATCACCACCTATCCTACGCCACTTTGATTCAGATGCTCCAACCGAAATCCATACAGACGCTAGTGGAGTTGGCCTCGGCGCTATTCTTGCTCAGCGTAAATCTGGCTTCGATGAGTATGTTGTGTCCTACGCTAGTCGCACCCTTACTAAAGCGGAAAAGAACTATTCAGTCACCGAGAAAGAATGCCTTGCCATTGTTTGGGCTATCGAAAAATTCCGACCTTACGTATATGGCCGCCCATTTGACGTCGTGACTGATCACGCATTGTGTTGGTTGTTGTCATTAAAAGACCCACCTGGTCGTCTAGCTAGCTGGGCACTACGTCTCCAAGATTACGATATTCGTGTAATTTATCGGTCAGGCCGCAAGCATTCGGACGCCAACACTCTTTCTCGCTCGCCACTTCCCCACGATTATGTTGCAGCGTCTGTTTCCAGCTGC